CCTGGGGGTTAGGACTCAGACATCTTTTGGGGTGACACAGTTCATCCCATAACGACGACCCTGAAAGTCACATAGCCTCATTTCTGCTCTAGTCCTATGCCCCCCTCAACCAGGTTCACAGAGAGGGAACATCGGCTCCATTTTTGGATGGAGGGGTGTCAGAGTTACATTATAAGAAGAGCACATGAGATGGGAGATCTTTTGCAATCATTTGGGGAAGATTTGATCTGCCACAACAAAGCTTACTATATATATATGTACCTATAGTTGTTAACATTTAGGCATAAGGGAAATTCACATAAAGTTTGGGTTTCTGGTTCTTGAAGAATCAGAAAAGCCTGGAACATGGGCCTCTCACCCCACCTCACCCCCTCCCAGTGGCAGCAGTCAGGGAGACCTGCCCCTTTCCGGAGGGCAGCGGGTTCTGCCGCTGACCCACTTCCTGAGTCTCCCTTCTCTGAGGTCCAATGTCAGTTGTCATCTTGTCACCGTGCATCGCTGTGTGTCCCTTACACTCAGCCTGCTTCTCTCCTGTATGGCCTTGCAGCCCTGGTCCAGGCTGTGCAGAGGAAACTCCCTGGGGCAGGACCCCAGGAACTCCCCCTCAGGTGCAGTCACGGTGTCAGGACGGAAACAATTCCACCCCCCACCCCAAGAGGTGACAGAAGGCCACGGAAAGGAGCCGGCCTCTGATTCAGGGCCCAGTGTATGCAGGATGGGTCTAGGCAGGAGGACAAGGCCGGACAAGCACAGACAGCTGGCTGATTGCAGAGGGCAGGGTGAGGAGGAGTGGGGAGGTGAGCTGGAAAACTGCAAACAGATGTGGTCATTCGCCCGGCCCCGCCCCCACGGGTCACCCCGCCCACCCTCCGCCTCCTTCGGCCCCGCCCCACCGATTTCCTTCCAAGAAATGACGTGGGGACCACTTCTGAGGTGGCTTCTCTGACTTCCCACCATTCCCATCCGTTTTCTAGAGCCCTCCGGATCTTCCCTGCTATTGGCCAAATCCCTTTACAACCCATGCCACCAAAGTAAACAATCCAAGATCGCCAACTGTAGTTCAGGGTCATCCTGGGAGCCTTGAACTAGACCAGTGATTTTTCTCTGCAGAAGGGACCATGGATGGGAAGCAGGCCAGCACTGGGAGTTAGGGGACAGGCTCTAGCTCCGGGTCTCAGGCAGGAGTGTGGGCAGCTCCCTTCACCCCCAGGGGCTGTCTTCAAGCTGGAACCCCTGGTGTTTTGGCTGGGGCAGTCCCCAGGCATGGGGGGCATCCCTGGGGGCCCTGGCCCTGTCACTTCAGGCGGGTTACTTGGACCCTCTGTGTTTCAGTTCCTGCCTTTGTGACACAGAATGAGTTAATTTGTGCAAAGTGGCTAGGAAAGCGTTTGGCCAAGGGTGAGCTCTTGTTCGTATGTACCCATGTCCTTGACCACATCCGGGTGTCTTCCATCTGGTGATGTACTGTTGGGTCCTAGCAGAAGTTGGGGAATGTGGAGCCTTGCTTTGTGAGGGTATGCGGTGTCCCCACCTACCAGGCACTGTGCCAGACCCAAACAAGCAGGTAGGTCCTGCCACTCCCTCTGCACTTACCCAGCAATGGCCACAGAGGGAGAGAGCCTCCCCGCCAAAGAATTCTGGTCACCGGCGTCTGTGATTAATATTTTGCAGATTGGTGGCGGGTGAGGGTTTTTCCTGACCTCAGGGAATGACTGTTATTTGGCTCTTACTGAGAGGTGGAAACAATTTAAGAAGGGGGGAGGTTGGGGAGAAACAGGAAAACAAGCATCCCATAGTTGCCAATTTAATTCAGGGCTGGCTGGTGCTCTTCTACAGAAAGCTAAGACAGCTGGGGGTGGGAGCGGAAGGGAGGCCTGAGGTCTGGGAGGTGCCTGGTCCTGGGACACTGCCAGCCTATGTGAGTCTGTTGAACCTAAACCCTCCAAGATAAAAGGCACACACTGGAGCTCCAGGGAGAGCCGATGATGCGTTCTCCAGGGCTGCCGTAACCAAGTACTGTAGACGGGCGTTGGCTGAGACCAACACAATTTTATTCTCTCCGGTTCTGGTGGCTGGAAGTCCAAAATCAAGGTGTCCGCAGGACCACACTCGCTCTGAAGGTTCTAGGGGAGCCTCCTTCCTGGCCTCCTCCAGCTTCTGGTGGCTCTTGCAGTCCTTGGCGTTCCTTGCCTTGTAGACACGCCACTCCCATCTCTGCATCTGTGTTCACATGGGCTTTCCCGCGTGTGTGTCTCTCTGTGTCCTCTCCTCTTCTTATAAGGACACCACTTGTTGGATTTAGGGCCCACCCTACGCCAGTATGACCTCATCTTAAATAATTGTATCTGCAAAGAACCTACCTCCAAATAAGGTCATGTTCTGCGGTTCCAGGTGGACATGGATTTCAGGGGTTCATAAGTCAACCTACTATGGTACCTTTGACTCCCTTATCTGGGGGTCATGCCACAGAGCTTCCAGCAAACATGGACTTGACCAGAAGCCACTTTAGAACAGGGGTCAGCAAACGCCACTTGTTTTTATATGACCCATGCGCTAAGAATGATTTTTACATTTTTTAAATGATCCAGAAAAAATAAAAACCAGAATGATATTGCAGTACACGTGAGAATTACAGAAAATTCTAATTTCAGTGTCCCTAAATAAAACTTGATGGGAACACAGCTACCCATTCATGTATTTACCTTCTCTGGCTGCTTCCTTGCTAGGACACGGACCATGTGGCCCGAAAAGCCTGAAATATTTACCACCTGGCCTTTTAGGGAAAACGTTTGTCCACCCCTGTGAAGGTCGCTATCTTGAAACAATGTTTCCTGCCTGGCCTGCATCCTTCCAGAATGTGGAGGCCTCCCCAGACGTCTAGGTCGAGCAGTGTCTGACCCCTGGCTGGAGGCTGCTTGGTGGTTAAGGGACGGTGGGGGGAGAGGGGTCGTGCGCAGGGAAGCCAGGCAGGCCTGGGGTCCAGTTCTGGCTCTCACACTTACCTGGCTTTCCACGTCTGGGTGTCCTTCTCTGGTAAATGAGCAAGAGGCGAATTCCTGCATCATGGGGCCGCTGTGAGGATTAATGGAGTGCAGAAAGGGGCCTTCAGCACAGTGCTCGGGGGTGGGATGCGGTCAGTAAAGGTCAACTGCTCCTCCGGCTAGTGCAGGCGATTGCAGCCAACTGAAAGTCAAAGACCTTTTAAATTCTAGAATATGCCAGAAAATCCCACCTATTCTGGCGGAAGCTCCCAGCAAGCCTATTTGGGTCTAATTCCACTCTTCAACGTTGAAAAAAGAGTAAGAGAATTGAGTGGAAGGGTGGAACTTCCACGGGGACATGAGCATCAGAAGACACACCTAAGCGCTGCTGTGGGCCCGCCAGCCACTGGGTGACCTTCCTGTCCACCTTTCTCTGCACCCCCGGGGGGAGGCCGGCCCACATGGACTGCATCCCATCGCCCTCTGACTTCCTGCTGAATTTGGATCATAAGGAGCCCAAAAGGGAGGCTGGAGGACGGACGGAAGGCGAGCCAGGCCCAGGTTGGGAGGTGGTGCTTCTCCGGCTCCCAACTGGCCCCTGTGCGGCATCTCTCTCTCCATCCAGCCTCCTCTGTCTGCAGGTTCCAGTAACTTCCTCTTCCGTCCTCTGCAGGCCTGGGCGGGTAATGGCACCAGGTGATCTTGACTTTGGGTCCCGTGGTGTTCCTTGAGCTCCCCGGCGCTTTACTGCAATTTTGCAACATTTTCCTTAAATGGCCCTAATTAGAGGATCCTGTTGGTTTCCAGCATGAGTGATACACTCTGAAAAGCAGGCTTCACTCTCCTCCCAGGGACGCCCCCCTCCACCCAATGTCTAAGATTCAGGAGTTTTCTACTGATGCGTTTTCCAGCTAGGTGACTTCCAAGCTCCCTGCATGTGGAACTGGACACTGCAAGTCCTCAATCCATAATTTCTATACATTTTTGCTTTCTTTTAAAGAAACAGACTGGAATTCACTGATGATCCATGATAGATGTGATTTATGTAAGAAAAGCAACAAAGAACTGTATCTATGGAGCGCATTCTTGGGAAAAGAAAAACGCCACGGCCCAACATGAACAGATTGGTGAATGAATTTACATGTGTGTTTTAAGAAAAAATAGCGCGCAAGGGTGTATATATGTAGATTTTTAAATTCCCTGCTTTGTTTGGATTAGTTGAGCAGTCTCTGTGGGAGTGTCTGATGTACATTACACAGTCGACTTTGTAAAATAAGTCTGCTCATCGAGTGGCCTTCCATGAATATTCCCATCGTTTGTCCTTAGTTCCCTTTCTATTTGAATCTGACTATATGTGGGAGAAATGTGGGATCGTGTAATACCAACACCACGGTACTCAGAAACTCAGCCATTCAAGCCCTCCCTCTCAACCCAGGGGGACTAACTAGGTTAATTCCACCAAGTACCACGGTGGCTCCTGAAACACCCACATCAGGGTCTGCGGTGCTGGCTTGGTAGGAATGAAGATGAACATGGGCAAGGAACTGGCCTTAAAATATCACAGAGGCAGCCAACACCTCTGGGGCCAGACGGCTTTAGGGCAAACCCCGGCTTTTCCAATTCTCAAGGAAGCCACTTAAATTCTCCCTGATCCGGTTTCCCTCCGGAAGGTACTGTCAGGACTCCCCGAGGTAATCAGTGTAAAGCGGTAAGAACAGTGTCTGGCCGACAGTGAATGGCACACAAGTGTTAGCTAATGTCATCCATCAGTGCCGTGTTGCCTCTCATTTGTTGTGATCTGGGTGGCTCTTATCCTCAAAGCGTAAAATAAATAAAATAGCGCGCTTCATTTGAAGGCATGGATGGCCACTCACCTACGAATTGAGAAGGCAAGTGAGTGGGACCCCTGTTGCTACAAAAACACAGCCTGGCTAACACTGGATTGCTTCAGCATGATGCGAGGGTAGCAGTCCCCACTTAACCCTCCAGGGAGGAGAAGAATAAATAAATGTCACTTCAGAACTCCAAAAAAAAAAAAAAAAAAAAAAAAAAAAGTTTATTTATAAAATACTGACAAGTTTGACAGGCCATGGGACATCTCGTAGTATATATTTCAAATCAATTTCGTTCTTACCTTTCATTTAAAAAATAAACCCGCTAACAAGCTATGTGACGTATAGATATATATATTTTTTCTTACAGATAGAGACACCTGCCACAATGAATACTCTCCCCATAATTTATTATATCTTTTAAATCAAAAAATAAAGATTTGTGTTGGGTTTTTGTTTTTGGAGTCTATGTGTATGAAGAAAGGTAACAGGTTTGAATGCTTTTGGTTATTCTTACGGAAACAAAGAGAAGGGGGTGGTCCCAAGAGAGGGGCAGGACCTGGGCAGGACCATGCAGAGGCACTCGGATCGGGCGACTGCTGCTAGGGTTGGGGTGGGGGGGGAGATCGCCCCCGTTCCTGTCCTCCGGCCCCTCACGCCATGGGCACCATGGGAAGGTGAGGGGAGCCCCTGCCCCAAGTGGGCTCTGGGAGGCTCTGGCACCTTTAAAAGCTCTGCCCAGGGAGGTGTGGGCAGAGACAGAAGGCCTCGAGCCAGCGGTGCTCTGGGCGGGGGCAGCCAGAAGTGTCCTTGTTCCTTCTGAGTCACGGCAGTGTCAGGTGAGGGGACGAGACAGGCGGCCTGGGTTTGCAAGCTCCCCGGGGCCCTGGGAGAAAGGTGCTTCTGGAACCGGAGCCGCTTTCTGGTTCGTCTTGGCAGCCTGGGTGCTGAACGGCTTGCACGCTGGAGGCGTGGCCGCGAGGGGGAAGGGCGGCGCTGGGGGGCCAAGCGCAGGTTGCCGGGTGGACCCCAGGTTTCCCCAGGGGCACGGTGAGGCAGAGCCAAGGACACAGAGGGGTCCTGCTGTGAACCTGCTGCAGGTGATCACGCAGACAGGGGCCCCGGCATCATCGGCCCAGGGAAGTTCCCTGTTACCCACGGGCAGTGCCCACCCAGCACACCGTTCTCATGCGGCCGGGGGTCTGGCCGGGGGGTGGAGGGCCTCCACTGCCCCAGCAGATATGTAAACGAGGGCAGAGATGTCCTCTAAGAACTCTAGAGCTCCACGGCGGGAGACCTGGGCTTCCCGATGTGGGTGGGGCAGCGGGGCAACATTTTGGGTGGGTGGATGTGGACTGAGGGCTTGGATGTTCACCTTGGGCCGTGTCTGCCTTCCGGCTTGCGCAGTGTCCTCGCCTGAGACAACCGATCCCGGCTGGCTTCGGGGGCAGGGACCCCGGCTGCCCGGGCCTCACGGGGCACAGACAGCTTCGGCCATCAGAAGGAATCGCAAGCCTCTTTGTGAACACACGCCTGGATGTGTGTGTGTGTGCGTGTGTGTGCGTGAGCCCAGGCGTGCACGGGCACCTTGCTGAGTGTGCATGGGTGTGTCAGTGTGGGCGTGAAGGAGCGTGTGGGGAGGGGAGGGTGCACATCTCAGTGCCCCAGGCGATCCATGAAAGGCAAAGGAAATGTGGCCTCGTGTGCAGTACACACATGCGCGTGCACAAACACACACACACACACACACACACAGGGCTTCACTCGTCCCACCTCCCCCCACCCCACACACACACCCAGAGCCCCCCCTGCGCTGGGCTCAATTCATTCCCCAGTGCAAACTGGGAACTTCCATAAATGGCTAAACACACAGCAGATAAGGAAAAGGATGAGGTTGTTAAAAAAAGATGAGATGAAAAAGGAGGAGGAAGCGGGAGATCACACGCCAGCCGATGTGCTACCATGGAGACATGAGCTGTGTGTACAGGGCAGAGCTCGGGCCTGTGTCCTCACAGCCCGGGCCAGTGAACTTCCCTCCCCAGAGCCCCCTCAGCTGGTGTCGGCCTGTGGGGCTGGGTGCAGACCCTCGCTTTCCTTGGCTTGCTCCCCAAATCCCCCTCTCAGGCCTCCCCTAACCGTTCCCCTCAGCCCCCGAGATGGGGCCTATGTGTGGCACCCCCAGAGAGCCCTGTCCCACGGAGGGCCCCACGCGGAACCGAACAGGTCCCTGCAGGACCCTCTCCTCTCCTGGAGGCAGCCGTCCACCCAAACCCGCGGCGCTGGGCCTGCTGGGGGCACTTGACTCTTTGTAAACCGGGTGCTGGGCTGACCAGGCAAATTCTGGGAGCTCTGGTTTCTAGACCAGGGGCTTGGCCCACCCCTCGGGGCTTCTGTACCCCTGTGCTTGGCGGGGTGGGGGGGGGATGTGTTTTAGATGTGGATCGCTCTGGGGTGAGAGTGAGAGGGACCACACATCCCGTGTGTGGAGTGAGTGTCCCGTTTGGCTAGGACCCACAGGGATTTGTCTTGGAGAGGATCTCTAGACCCTTCTCCCTGCCAAGTGCATGGGGGACCTGTGTGTGTGTCTCAGGAGGAAGGGATCTATCTAGGGACAGGGGTGTGTCTGCCTAGATGGCCATTCCTCACCCTGCCTAGCTCCCCAGTCCTGTGCCTGCCGAACTTCCTTGTCTAAGAAGCTTCCTTTCAGGAGGGAAGAAAGAGAGAAGTCAAGCTTCTTTCTTAACGTTCTTCATTTCCTGCCTTAGGGCCCAGTTATCCCAGTGATGCCTGGCCAGTGCCCTGTACCTCTGCCCCCCGGGTTCACCTCTCCTGGTCTGCGCTCAGGAAAGTGAATTCAAGTAAAGCCATAGCTGGGTTCAGTGGTGCTGGGGGGGGGGCTCTCCCCACCCTCCCCACCCCCAGGCCCCTCTTCCTTGGATTCACCACAAAAAGAGTGTATAAGAAACAAAGAGCTAGCTAGGCAGACTCTCACCCCTTTGTTAGTTTCCTTTTTCTAAATAAACCAGATGCTTGGTGGAGACGTTGAGCCAGGGAGGGGACAGCAGAGTGTGAGGAGCAGGCCAGGGGGCCGGGCCGTCCATCCGTCTGTCCGAGGCCTGCCAGTGATGCATGGGGAGGGGTGGGCGGGTGCAGAGAGAGAAGGTGAGCTTTGCCCTCCCACAGGGATGCCCAGCCTTGCACACCAGCCTTGCACACCAGCAGTCAGCCGTGGGCCCAGGGCCCCAGCACATATGGAAGGGGCAGCTGTCAGGACTTCCAGAAGCTTCTCGTCCCCTCAGCACGCTGCCCTACAGCTCTCCTGGCCTCAGCTTTCTCGCCGCCCTGCCACCTCTCTCAGGCCCGGTCCAGCAGCCCCGACTCTGAGCACAGTCTGCAAAGGGATCAGAGAACCCCACAATCTGGAGCCGACCAACCGTCGGCCACGCAGAGCCTCCCTCATGGCTTCCTTCTCCTCCTTCTCAACACCGGCTTTGCTGGCCCTGGAATCTCTGGAAAAATAAACTCAGGAGGTGAAAAGTTGACTTGGTTTCTTGGTGTTTTTGTTTTCTGGCAGGCAGTGCGGGGAGGGGCGGACGGGGAGTTTGGTGCCGTTTTTTTTTTTTCTTTCCTTTCCCCCTTCCGACGTCAAACAAATGAGGAAAATCCTGCTATAGGAGCCCGGGAGCCGGGGGTGAGGCTGCTGGGGGGGCGGTAGAGGGTGCTCTGCTGACTCGGGGGGTTCGGGGGGTTCTGGGGCGTTGGGGTCCGACTGGCCTTGGGCCGGAAGAGGCTGCCCTGCTGGGCGCTGTTGCTGTTGGCCACGGTGTTGGGGTCCGGCTCGCCCGAGTCGCTCTCCGTGTAGCTGTAGGCCTGCGCCCGCGAGATCCCCTTCTGCTGCCGCCGCCATGAGTTATAGTATGTGGGGTCGCTGATGTAGTGGTTGACAAAAGAGTGGGCCTTCTGGTGGGTCGAGTCAGCCTCGTACTCACTGTCGCTTCCCTGGGAGGACAGAGAATCGGGGAGTCAGGGGCCCCGAGGGGCCAGCTTGCAGCAGGTGCCCCAGTCTGAATCTCCCAAGCCCTGGACGAGGGGCCACCACCGTCCCCTCACCACCAAGGGGGCCCGATGCAAAGTTGGGCCCACCTCCCCTGCCTTTGGAGTGGATCGTGGGGCCGAAGGGTCTACCGTGGGGCTGGCACACGGCCTGCAGGCACCTGACGTGAATCTGAACTCGGAAGACCTGAGTTCTAATCCTTTTTTTTTTTTTTTCCAATTGAGGGGAAATTCATAGAACATAAAGTTAACCGTTTTAAAGCGTAAGGTTCCGTGGCTTTTAGTCCATTCACAATGTTGTGCAGCCATTGTTCTGTGTGGTTCCAGAACAGTTTCATCAGCCTCTGCCCTCATTCCCCGTTCCTTCCCCGCCCCCACTCCGGGTGACCACTGACCCGCTTTCTATTTCCGGGGATCTACCTACTCTGGGCATTTCATACAGATGGGATCGTACAGTATGTGGCTCATGGGCCTGGCTTCTTTCACTTAGCGTAATGTTTTCGAGATTGAATTCATCCTGCCTTTTCATTTGCTGTATTTCTGATGCTCTGGCACCTGAGGCCTTGCTGACTCTGGAGAGGAAATGGGCTCCCGGGGCTGGTCGGTCCCTGCAGCTAGCGATGCCTTTTCCTATCACACTGACTCACTCTCCCCTGCCCCTCGTCACCCCAGGGCCGGGTACCAGACAACCAAGGGACAGCCCCTCTACCCCAAAGCCCACTGAATTTAGTCAAACAAACCCAAGCCTGCTCCCACAATGAAGGCTCCTGCCCACATGTCCCTCCTGTTCCCTCTGATTCCTGGGGACCCCGGTGCCTCCCCAAAATGGCCCTGCATGGTGTGATATGTCCCCTCTACTTGGGAACTGTGAATAATTCGATTTTTCAAGGGCGGTCATCTCCTGATCCGTTCGTGCATGATATACTGAGTTCCACCCTTGGTCTACCTCTGACTTACGGTGTGACTGGGGACCGAGCCAGGGCCAGACCTGCAGAGGCTCCTGGCTCCGAAGAGAGATGCTGGTGCCCACCCATGTGTGACCCAGGATAAAAGCAACCCTCAGTTATAAAACGAGCATGCGAAAAATAGCAACAGAAGGTCCGAATTTCACACGATGACTGCCCTGTGGCTTTTTCTCCTAAACGCAAAACATTAAATTATTCCTAAAACTGTCACTACTTCCATGTCCCACCGTTGCTTCATCTGCCTATGGGGGAATCAGCAGGAGACAAGAGTCAGGCTGGGTTGTGAAGTAAAACAGCCTTCGCTCGTTGGGTCGGATCTGCATCGTGGAGCTAAAAATATCAAGCGCCCCTCCCCCACGCCCGGCTCCCAGCACTGTTTTGAGAACCAAGAAGAGGACAGATGGGAACACCCTTAGAATGCTCTGGAAGAGACATGCTCTGATTTGAGCGAACAGTACACTCTCAGGGCAATGCAGCTCCGAAGGCCTGCGTCAGGTTACCACGTCCCGGCCCGAATACACGGAGACAGTAAACGCCATCAACCTACTTCGGATAAAAACAGCAAGAGAGCCCAGTGGGCCCAAAGTGAACGCGTGTGTGTCCTTCTTGACAGGTAGAGCAGACGGAGAGCTGCTGACCTTGCTGCAAGGTGTCGGAGCCACGGGGAGTGCAAGGTGCACCTGCCCTCAGGAGCCCGAAGGCCCGTAGGGCGTCGAGCCCCTCTCGGCAAAGAGCTCCAAGGACAGAACTGCGGCAATGCCAGGTCGGGGAGCAGGCCCTCTGCCAGGCGGCAGGAACCTGTGGTCAACTTTCACACCTCGGGGTGGTGGCGGCTACCACTCCGCGAGTACGGAGAACCCCAGTTCTCTCTCCTGTGCAGAGAGGGTGAGGGTTCGCCCCGAGACACACAGAACCGAGGGACTCGGGTCTGCCGGATGTTCCAAAGCCCACGCGTGCTCTGAACAAACCCCCTCCTGTCTGGAGACGGAACGAGAGCCCTTCTGCCCTCCCAGCAGGGATTGCGTACTCCCTCCTGGATCTGCAAATTCCTGTTGTCTGGCCCCTCCCCTCCTCCACCTCACCCCTCCACAGTCCTGGCTGCTCTCCTTACCACCACCCTGCACACCCTCCCAGGACCTCAGTCCTCTTGGCAGCGGAACTGGCTGCCAGAGACAATGGAAAGTCCCTCGCTCGTCCCATGACGCAGAACAGCACAATGCGAGCCCCTTTCCTTGCCTACTGCCCAGCTGCTGGCCCAGGAGGGAACAAAGGGGCCATACAGACAGGGGCTCCATATGCCAAACGTGGGGAGGGGGCTGAGGACTGGGCACCTGAGGCCTGGGGCTTCGAGGTGGCGGCCCAGAGGCAGGAGAAGTCTGAGCAGGCTGTGGTAGATGCCATGAGGCAGGGGGCCGGAGAGGGGAGGCCCTGGTCCAGGAGCAGCAAGGGTCTGTAAGTGCGGGACATGGGAGAGGGCCACCTCACAGTTCTGCCTATGGGTCAGGTCTTTCCAGAAGGGCCTCCACCAGCTGGCCTGAATAGCTGCTAGCATCCTTGTTAGAGGTTCTAGAACTCTGGCTAGCCCCGCAGGGGAGTCCCCATCACTGCAGCCCCATCTAGGAGGTGACTGCTGTGTGGCCAAGTTCTGACTCTGTCCCTTGCTAGCTAGATTAAGTTTGGACCCATCACCTGGCCTCTCCCAGCCTCAGTATCCTTGTCTGTCAAATGGGTAGATACCTGCAATTCACAGGGTGAAAAAGGCTTGGAAGCGGCCCCCCAGGAGGGATCAGAAGGAGCTGGGGTCACAGAGGGTGACTCAGTGCTCAGGCGGCCGGGAAAGGGGAAGGATGTTCAGCTTCTGCCCTCCCCTCCAAAAGTAAAGCATCACTAGAGTGGCGATGGGCCTCTCTGGCCCTCCCGGGGGCCCCAACCCCAAAGCCCATTCATGCACATCATCACGGGTCTGACGGCTACCAACTGCTGAGCACCTACTGTGTGTGGGACACTGTGGGGCGGCCTTCCTGATGCGCACGGAAAAGCGGGGGAAGCAAGAGTTGCGCGGGGGGGGGGGGGGGAGGAGCAGGGGCTTAGAGATGGGCCTGCCCCACCCCCAGCTCTCCGAAGCCTTCGGGAGAGGGGGGTGCTTTGCCTCAGCGACTGCTCTTCTGCCGCCACCTCCTCCAACATCTGTTTCTTTTCTGCATGGGGGTGGGGTGAGAAGGGGAGAAAGCAGGCAAGGGGGGACCCAGGGCGCCCATTCCAGCTTTCAACTCTCACGTGGGCCTCGGTAATTGAATGCAGCTTCCCAGTAACCGACCCAGCACAAAGGAGACCTTTCACGGGGCAGTCCCGCCAGGCCGCCAGGCAATCAGGGGACTGCTCCAGCTCTGGGCCTCTTAACAGCTCCTCAAAGCCACTCACTCAGCAATTACCAGGCTTGGGGAGGGGCGCGGGGAGGGGGCCAGTGGGAGGGGGGACCCCGACAAGAGCCCGCAACAAAAGAGGGGGGGCAAAGGAGAGCCTCTTGTTCTCCTGCTGCTGCCAGCATGGGGTGGGGGGGGGTGGGGATCCTGCACCAGACTCAGGAGGCGATGGGCGTGGGACCCGGGGCCCAGGCAGGGTGCCCTCATCTTGTTGAGGCTCCTGAGGTCTGGCAGGAATGTGTTGCCCCGGTTGACAGGAGGTCCCCTGTACCCGCTCCTTTGGAGGCTGGAAGCTGGAGCCCCTCCCTCACCTATGGCCCAGGGGCTCTCCGCGGGGGTCTAGGCAGAGAGGCCAGCCCTGCACCCTTGCCCTTGAGCCAGTGGGCCTCTCCTGGGCATTAGAGGTGGGGGTGAGGATGTGCTGATTCTCCCTCCCTGGAAGCCCCCTTTACGCACAATTTTGTTAGGGATCTGGGCTTCTTGTACTAAAACAGCTAGAAATCTTCTCCCAGGAATGTCCTTTTAAAAATGTCAGCTCAGGGGTGCCTGGCTGGCTGAGTCAGTTGAGCGTCTGCCTTCGGCTCAGGTCATGATCCTGGGGTCCTGGGATCGAGCCCCGTGTCGGGCTCAGCGGGAAGTCTGCTTCTCTTTCTCCCTCTGCTCCCCCTTCTTGCTCTCTCTCTCAAATAAATAAATAAATCTTTAAAAAGTGTCAGCTCAGACACAAGGTTACCTGTGCCCCTGACAGGTGAAGTGACAGTCAACATGTCCCCCACCCACCCCGCTGTCAGACATGCTTGCATTTGGGGGCCTCATGGGAGGTCACCAGGATGGGAGGTGTTGGGGTCAGTGAAGACCTCTCTCTCCTTCCATCTCCCTTCTGTGCCAGGCATCTGGGCAAGGCCAGGCTGTCGGAGCCGGCCAGACCCAGATTTGAATCCCCACTGCCTGCACTTCTGAGCCCTGTGATCAGGGGCACGGTGCTGGACTTCTCTGAGCCTCAGTTTCCCCCAACTGTTAACCAGGCGTCCTGCAACTTGCATGATGGGACGGTTAGATTTTAAATGAGAATGTGGACAGTGCAGGGCCCAAGAGGTAGCTTTGCCTCCTTCCTCCCGGACTCCCTCTGCCCTGCCCGGAGTGTATTTCTAGTTTGGCACAAGCTCGGGCTTCCTCAGCCTGTATGGGTCAGCCTAAGGAGAAGCAGGAGACGGGCCTCAGTGAATCTCTTAGACTCATGGCCCAGCTCAATGGACAAGAGGCAAACACGAACACAAAACCAGACACTCGGAGGGGATGACAGAACCACTCAGCCAAACACGAACCTATAAACCCTTACCACTCCCTTCTATGCATGACCCAGTCCTGTTCACACTTGGAGGCCCAGCTGAAATGCCACCTCCTCCAGGCAGCCCCCTGGGACCTTCCCCCAAGATTCCTCACAGGGCTTTCTATCCATGTGCCATGAGAAACAGGAAGCCTTCTGCTCCCCATTTTTCTCCTAAAGTTAGATACTGTGGTGCCATAAAATTTTAATGAGAGATGAAAACACGGGGTTATTTGAAACATGTGGTCTTCCCTAATGGGTCCTAACATACCATAATGCAACATTCATTAAGAGCCGGTCTTGCTCACTAATGGGGCTGCCATGTGTAAGCCATGCTCGGTTCTGTTTAGCGGGTGCAGAAAAAATAGTTGTTGAATAAATGCACCGAGAAAGGAATGAACAGGTTCCAGGGAGGACAAAACCAGCCAGGTGCTGCCCAGCACCTGATCCGAGCATGACATACAGTAGGGGTACAGGGGGCTAAGGTGGGTGGGCCTGGCCTCGTCGTCGTCGGAGGCTCCCTGACTCCTGCAACAGAAGCCTGACTCAGGCTTCCCAGAGCGCTCTGAGGGCCAAGCCGTACCATTCTTGAACAATCCTTAGGGTCATTCCTGGCCGCCCATAAGGGCTCATAAATGTTCACCCTTATGACGGGGTGCTCAAGAAAGCCTAATTTGTCCGGTGTATTTTACTTTTCCACATAGGCTTAATTTCATTACAATGAGCTTCCCAGGGCTTCCCAGGAAATCACAAAGACTGAATACTTATTCGTAGAGACGTGCCATTGGCTGGGAATTCATTTTCCATTGAGATTTGCTTGTGCACTATGTAATTTTTCTCCCATACTTGGGCTCTTACTTTGAAAATGACCTTGGAATGCAGCCATACTTCGTTTTCAAAAGTTGCATCAAACAAGCCCTGGGCTCTTCAAACCTCAGCCTTTGTGTGTCCCCTGCCTGGAACCTCCTTCACCAGCACCCCTCTGGGGACCGCCCGCCCCCCCTCAGTCTTCCCACAGCCCCGTTATGGCCTTGCTCACATCTTATCATGTGTGTTTGTTTATAAGCAACGTGGACTCTTGTTTATTACCATATCACAGGAAAAGGGCTGGGCAGATTTCTGCCAATTTTGGAGAGTCCGTTTTGGGTGGTCTGACTTGGAATAGAAACCAGGCAGCCCATGCAGAATTCGCTCTCAGAGGACCTAGGGGGAGGGGTACTTCCACAAAGTCAGGCCATCATTCTCCAGAGCCGCTGAAAAGCTGGGGACCCCGCTGCTGACCCCCAGGGATATGCCGCTGCAGACGCCATCCCGGGCGGGGGGCTTGCGGGGCATCCGCCATGAGCCCCAAACGCAGGCTGCGATGGCGGATGCTCTCCATGCCAGAGGCTGGCATGTCGCTCTGCTGCCTCCCACGGGGGCCAGTGAGGAGTAATAGGATCTGCTTCTTTAGGTCTTCAACAAGGGCATCCGAGGGAGACCAGCTGCTCTGTCTCCAAGTCTGTCCCCTCCAGCCCACCAGGAGCTCCTTGGAGGCAGGGTCATGTGTCCGTCACCCCTGTGTCCCTACAGAGTCTACGCTCAAGGAACGAGTGTTGAGTGACCCCTGAGCCGTGCACCTCTGAAGGTGCCAGTGCCCCGGCAATGGCCTCCTGGGTCCCAGACCTCCTGCAGTGGCCCCAAAGCCACCTGCCTGGCTTTCAGGAACCAGTCCAGAGCGAACAGACCCAAACGATCCTGCCTGCCTTGTCCCGGGGCCCCGTGACGAGCCTGGCACCGCACGGGCCCGACTCCATCCCCCGCCACGGACTCCGAGAACAGCCGCTTGGACCGGGTGCCACGGTGCTGAGCGGGGGTGGGGGGGTGGGGGGGTGGGCTGCGAAGGACCCCTCCCCATCCCGTAGTCAGGGAGGGGAGGGGCCGGGATTCAAGCCCAGCGCCGGACCCAGCCACAACTACGCGCCGCCGCTTTTCAAACGAGTGTCTCCCTGCTCAGAGCCACCCTCCGACAGGGCCGGCTGATCACCTGAGTGACCCGCTGGGCAAAGCTCCTAGGGCACCCTTCTTGGGGACGACCTTAATGCCTACGGCACTTTGCTCTGAGCGTGCGTCTTCATCCTTTGAAGACGAGCTTGGGTTTTGTTTTTTTTGTTTTTCTTTCAAGAAAACCCACAGTCACTTGTTCTCGAGAGTGTCTCACTGGCTGGTTCTGAAGGCCTTTCCAGAAAGGTCTGCTGTGAGGGTGGCATCACGGGCTTTGGGACAGGGGAGGGCAAGGAGCCCAGCTGGGCTCTGGGTCGGAAGGGCCCGTGGGCAGGGTCTGTATGCTGCACTTCTTGGCTCTAGGGCCTGAGCCAACTCGGTAAAGCTCTTTGAGCCTCAGTTCCCCATCTGTACAAAAGAGAGGACACTAAGGGCGCTCGGAGGGTCACTGTGATTATAAAGTGGTAAGGCACGTGGGACGGTGAGTGCAGCCCCCAGGGCGTGACCATGGCCATCGGAGTTACTGTGAAGGGCCACGCCTCTCCGAAAGTGTGTGTTCTGACCTTGGTCCAAAAGGAATGGCTTGACAACCGTGAACATTTGTTTGTCTCTCCTGCTAACCTGCTTGGTCTTGACTAGCTTGACCAGCTTCTCCCATGACCGACCCTTCCGTGCTTTAACGACAGCGTACAGAATGCCACGCACCACGGGCCAAGACGGACACTGGGGAGGTGACTGACCTCAGGACTGTCACAAGACAGGACGGTCTTCATGGAACTTAGCTTAAAATAAATAAACCCACCCGAGCTCCAAATCAAACCTCAAACCATCCCCAAGCCCGCAGGTGGGGCTCTAGGCCTGGGCTGGGCTCCCCCGCGCCCCCTGAAAGGGGACGTGGGAGTTCTGCTGTGACAACTGGCTTCTGGAACCAGGAGGCCTCCCCTCCCCAGGGCATGTGTTCCCCGTAGGTGCCTGGTTCCAGATTGCTATGGAAACGGCATTCAAGTGATGGGCTTGTTTTGGACAAAAGACACTAGGGGCAAAGCGGGGGATTCCAGGGACTCTGCCCGCCTTGGTGGTGACTGAAATAGGATGGTCTCAGGATGAGCATTCTTCTCTCAGTGCTTTCTCAAGGCTGGGGTCCTGGCCTGGTCTCAGGGACCAGCTCTGCGTCCTGCAGGAGGTTCCTCCTGACTTATGTGGAGATGGCCACGGGCCATCTGAGGACACCTGGGCAGGATCTCCTGCACTCAGAGGGCTCCGTCCCCGGAAGGTCAGTGCCCAGCCAATGAGTGTGCAGGAGTAAGGCCCTCTGTGGAAGGTTGAAGGGGGCTGATCGGAGCCGCACGGGGAGTCCCTTCTGCTGGCCACTGCTTCTGCTCTCCATAGACGGCAGCGTGGCTTAAGGAGCCCCTTGTCATAGCCTCACGAGCACAGGGAGTCCCTTTACTTTCTTTGAACTTTCCCTTGAGTTCCTCGAACCTAAATGCTCATTGCCCTCTTTGGGGAGAAAGAAAGAAAAATCATGTTTCAGTGAAGCATGGCCTTGGAAGTCCCAGTACGTATATGGCTGCGAAGAGTTAAGTACTTAAAACAGGAAGCCATAACCTGAGTCATGTGAGTTCCTGTGTTAGCCAGGCTAAGTTGGGGTCTCTGTCCCTGCCAGGTCTGTCTGAGCTGGGGTGTTGCTAGCTCCAGGCTTGCAGGCTCTGCCAAGCCCATCAGTAACCCTGGAGCTGAACAAAACAGTAGTGAGCCAGAGGCCCGGGCTCCACCGGGCCCACGACCGGATCCCGGCATGCTGGCACCTCCTACCCAGCTGACAGCCTCCCTGCTGGCATCCCTTGGCTCTTGTCCTCTCCCCACACTGGGCAGAAAGGTCTAGGGCGTGGGACGCAGTGGCCTTTCTTGGCCCCTTCCTGGGCAACCACCAGGCTTGGCTAAGGCCAGGAGGGCTGGGTGGGAGGCCATGACGTTACTTCATTGGAATGTGCTCAACCCCCTCTCCCCATTGCCTGGGACAGTGTCCCCGTGTGGCCCACCTAATGGCAGCCTCTCTAAAGCTCTGTGTCGCCCAGAGGCACCATCTCCTTCTTCACATAAAGGCTGACATTTATCGGATAGTTGCTGTGTGTGCTTGCTAAGCTTCTCTGTGCCTCATCTCAGCAATCCCACTGCCCCATGACAGAGCCTCTTACTGTCCCTGCCTCTTCTGCAGATGGACAAACAGGCTCAAAGAGGTTGCCTACCCCACCCAGGATGCCCTGGCCTACAGGCAGCAGAGCCGGGATTCAAACTCAGGCCGGAGCCTCCAAAGCTTAAGGCCTCGCTCGTCGGTACTACTCCCCCCATCCTTGGGGCTCCAGGACTCACAGCTCCCAGTTTCTGGAGCTCACTCTGACCCGAACTAGCTAAGCTCAGCCGTGGCAATGCAGGCCTCCTTGTCCTCACCTTCACGAGCTCCTCTGCAGGCCAGGGCATGTGGGGAGACTCCGGACACTCTAGAGGACTGAGCTGTTGGGGGCTCTTCTCTGGTCAAGGTTACAGGGCCCCCATGAGCCCTGAAGCAAACTCTGAGCAGAGCTTAGGAGGGCACGGCGGGTCCCCATATGACTCCCGGCTAGTTTCCTGGGCCTGATAAAGGCCAGGAGGCAAGGAAGCCCAGGTGATGGGCCACCACGCAGGCCTGCACTCTGGCAAGGGGCTGCTCTGGTCCCCTCTCCAAGACGCTTGGCCCTCCCGCCCCTCACCTGAGAGTCGGAGATTTCTGAGGGCTTCTCGGTCAGGCTGCTGTTCTCTGCCGGGATGAGGTCGTTATACTTGGTGACATCCTCGTCGGAGTAGTGGAGGCTGCCTGGGCTGGGCCGGGGAGGCGACCTAGAGGGAGTGGGGGTGCGGCTGAGTGGTGGCCTCCCCCACAGCGGCCGGCCTGACTGGGGAGGCCGCAGCGGGGCCTGGAAGGGCACCGACCCTCGGTGCCTCCGTTCTACAGCCCTCCTCTCTGTCTGGTCCCCACAGGCCTGGGCCTTGAGCAGCGGAGCCTTGGGCGGGGGGCCCCTCAGGGGTGGGAGAGGCTCAGCTGGACCAACCTCCTGAATCAGCTTCAGGGAAATGGGGGGCAGCAAGCCACGTCCCACTGGATTCTCCACTCGTGGTTTTAAGGCCTCAGGCACCGGGATCACTTGGCAGGGAATGTTACAAAGCCCCTTTGAGCCCCCCTGAGACCTCCTGAGTCAGAATCACAGGGGACGCCCGCATACCCGCACTGTCATTCTTTTTTTTTTTTTTTTTTAAAGATTTTATTTATTTATTTGACAGAGAGAGACACAGCGAGAGAGGGAACACAAGCAGGGGGAGTGGGAGAGGGAGAAGCAGGCTTCCCACTGAGCAGAGAGCCCGATGCGGGGCTCGATCCCAGGACCCTGGGATCATGAGCTGAGCCAAAAGCAGTTGCTCAACAACTGAGCCACCCAGGCGCCCCCGGCACTGTCATTCTTGACAAAACCCCCACATCATTCTTGAACTCACCAAGGGAGCTTTAGAGGGTTAACGCAAAGGGTTAAGTGAAAAAGGCAAACCACTGCCTCCTCCCTCCAGATCTGCTCAGAGACCAGAAACGAATCTGGAATCTGGCGCGGAGTCCTGCCCTACCTTTGAAAATTAGCCTTGGAGAAAGCACATTTCCCACTGAGTTAGACACCCGCTCTGTGTTACCTGCACAAACACGCAGGACAGGGCGCCTCAGCCCTCCACCTGCCAGGGGTGCCCGCAGGCTGGAGGCAAGGGCTGTGCATTCTTGGCACCACCTGAGCTGAGGCTGCGGAGAGCGGGCTGGGCAGGCTCCTGGGGGCACCGAGCAGGTGGCTGGGGTCTTTCATGACCCTGCCTGGTTCCTGCTTCCTCGGGACCGGGCTCAAGGGGGGGCACTGCCCAGGGCCTGGCGCCCTGAGGTCTGCCCAGCCTGCTCTAGGAAGAGGCTCTGGGACCGCGGCTCTGAACGCCAGCTGGCCCCACTTGGGGCCAGCAGTGCTTTGCTACAGAAATGCTGTTCTGGGAACAATCCCACGGCCTGGGAGCATGTCACCAGCAACCTCCCCGCCACCTCCGACCTCTTGGGACTATATTCTGCACTGATTTGATTCCAAATAACAAAGCTGCATCCTTAACTACTTAAAAATAAAACCATAACAATAGTGGCAGTAGCCTCGTGTAGACAAGATGGGCAAAAACGTGACGCCGGGAGCAGGGAGGAAACGGGGTGTCAGGCTCAGGCCGTCTTGGCCACAAGCAGGGTGAGTGGGGGGCTGAGGGTGTCACCAGGGCTGGGTCAGACTCCCGGAGTCTGGGGCTGGTTTGTTGCAAACAGGGTTTCTGTGTGTACACAGCAGGGTGGGGGACACGTGGGGGGCCGCTGTGTGTGTACTCTGGGGGCGTGAGAGGCAGGCGAGGCCGGGCCATCCGTGAAGCGCCCCCTTGTTCCATGTGGCAGGGCCCCGGAGCCAGCCCGGCGGGGCTGCGGCGGACCTGCTGGGCCCACCACCTCGGCCTCAAATGGCTCTTTCTTTGGAAAGCTAGCTTTGGCGGGGGATGAGAGGGGGGCCTGCCGGCCTGCGTGCCCCTCCCTCTGTCCTCCTGACAAACACACACATCGCCTCCTCCCTCCAGGACGAGACAGAGAGAAGCTTTGTGAGCTGTGCCTGGCCACCGTGCCCCTCCGATGAACTGGGAATGTTAATAGGGCTGAGGCCAAACAGACAGGCGCTCCCGGGCTGCAAGCCCTCCCGAGCTCTCCTGAGCTCCCCAGAGCATAAAACTGCCAGGTCACATCAGGGGAGGGTCAGGTGGGCCCCAGCAGCTGCCCTTGCCCTTGGAAATGGGCAGCCCAGCCCGCCCCAGGGAGCGGGGCGGGGTGTATGTGTGTGGGGGGGAACCTAGGGTTGAAGAGAAGTCAGGAAGAAATAGGAGTCGCAGGCACCACCAGCCAGGACCTTTCCTGGTTGGCTGTTCTCAGATGTTGCCCTTTGAGGACAACGCTGGAAGCACAGACTTGTGGGGTGAGTAGGAGAAAACTGCTCTATAAGAGGGGTGCTTAAGGACCCAGGGGAGAGGGTGTCCACACTCTGAGTGCCCTTTCTTTCCAGAATGGGGAGGAGACAGGTTAAGGCATAATCCATGATGGGGGCGGGGGGGGGGCTCCTGGCACCTGTCACTCAAGTGTGTCGGCCTCGCCTACCTTGGCCGGCCCCCCCACTGTTGGGGCGGGCGGCGCTCCATGCTTCAGGCCTGCCCCTCCAAGCGGCTAGCTCCCAACAATAGTAGGCTGGGTCGCAAAATTGTACAAGGTCTTTGCATTTGGCTGCCATTGGCAGAAGCCCTGTGTCCTCACCTCCTTGTGACTTCCCAGCCTGGTTGTGCTGCTTGGGCCCTGCTGACTGTCCCCAGCCCGAGCCCGAATGCCATCGCTGGGACACTGAGACCAAGTGGGCACTGGTTCTGTGGCCTTTGCCAGGAGTCCTCCACACCCCGGGCACTGCTGGCCCCCAAGCCTCCATCCTCTGCTCCCCCGCCCGTGCAGAGAGCTCTCTACCTGGTATACAGGCCATTCTTCCGGCAGAAGGAATTCTTGACGGAGAGCCTCCGGTTGTTGAGTTCCAGAGCAGGGAAACTGCTTTCATCCAAGCTCATCATCTCCGCATGGCCAAGGGCACCAGACTTGGCATTGTTCCCTGGGTTGGGGCAGGGGGTGGGGGACGTGGAGACAGAATCCAGTCACTCATGCCATCCCTTCAGACCTCTGGCCTCCCCTCCCGCCCTGGCCGAGCTGCTCTCTTTCTCCTCTTACAGGTTGAGACCAAACAGGAGATGGAGGTTGTATGCCGGGACCCCGGGCTGCCCCACCTAGCAGAGCAGGTGCCTTCCTAGGAGAGAGAGGGAACCCCCGACCCCCACCTTGCCGAAAGGGAGGCAGACCCGTCTAGCTGGTTGGGCTTGGGGCCAGCTCACCAGAGTCTGTCTTCTTGGCATATTTCTTGCTCTGGCCTCGGATGATGAGCACAAAGACCAGAAGGAGGATGAAGATGAGGCCGACGAGGGCAATGACCACCAAGAACCACCACTCCTCGTAGAAAGGGTTGGCTTTCTGGGCTGGAACAGGAGTGGGGGTGTCAGGTCCAGGCTGCTCAGCCGCCTCCTGCCTCCACACCTCCCACTCTAGCTGGGACCCTACCACAGACCCCAGGCAAGGTCTGGGCCATCTCAACGAGGTAGAGCCTAAGACAAGGTTGGCAGGGACAGTTTACTCTCAAGCGCCGGCTCTCATCCTTCAGTAAAGGGATGCCTGGAGGGCTGCTTGGAGTTCTGAGGTTGCTTCTGGACTCACCAGGAAAGAGTGCAGGGATTGATTAGTGATGTCCGCCAAAGACACAGGACGGAGAAGCCGCAGTGTGCGTGCTATTTTTCGTCCCCCCCCCGCCCCTTCTTGCCACCCATGGCCGAGGGGCTACCTTGACAGGCAGGCCCCAGATTTGTATTGGAAAAGTACCCGTCGGGCCCATGGTAGGTCTGGGAGAATTTCTCCCCAGGGATAGGATTCAATCTTTCTCCGGTAGCTGAGAGCGAGGGGAGCCAGGAGGGTGGACGTGAGTGGTTCTTTAGAATGCTTCCTCCAGCCAGGCCTCTCCTTCCTTCAAAGCCCTCAGTACCATGCTTTTTGCACGTAACCACTACTAATCCAGGGGGCTACCTGACGAGGGGCTGGCTCTTCTCTCTCTCATGATGTTGTTCGATCAACTGGGACAAGGGAGAATGTGTGTAGGAGGAGGGAGGCAGTCAGGTTTCCAAGACTCACCCAGTGGGTTACAATTCTGAGCTATGTTTCTGTCTTGAGGGGAGGGGCATTGGTATTAAAAGTTGGTTAGTGATTGGATTTGGGGTCATGGGTTTTGGCATTAGAGTCCTCTGTGAGTCCTCCAAGACATGCTGGATGGGAAGGATGAGAGGAAAAAGGGGAGGGATGGCAGTCCTATCCCCTCCAGCCCCGGACACTGCTTCATAGGCCACTGACTCTGTTTTTTGGGGCGATTTCCATAGAAACATGTAGTTTATGGCCTGGGTGAATCTCTTGGGTGATGAGCTCACAGAAGTGCTCACCTTGGGCCCACTGATTTGTCCACAAGCAAGCCCCACTAAGCCCCCCGTCCAGGGTTTCTGGAATCCTTGCAAAGGAACCCCAAAGATGGACCGCCCCCAGCTTCTTCTGGAGCTCAAAGCTGACCCAGGCCCTGGCCCAGAGTTCACTGCCTGGAGAACTGAGAGGACAATACATTTTGGTCCCCACCCCAATGCATCTGCTGCCCTGCTGTCTGCCTCGGTCTTCCTTGCCTGCCACCAGCCTCTGCCACAGGGTCTTCCATGGGGTGCCCCCCCCCCCCACTGGCGGTACCTGGCACAGACTGGGAGGGGCTGCTGGGGGTACCGAAGCCATAGTCATTGACGGCGATGACCCGGAAGTCATAGCTCACGCCTGGCTTCAGGATGTCCATGCTGAACGTGTAGGACGTCACCTCCTTGGGGATGTCTTTGATGAGGATGTCCCATAGCCCCTCGTCTGCAAGAGTGTCGAGAGGGAGATGCCCCATGAGGGGGGGCCCCCTCCAATCCCGCCCGTTGCCCCCTGAGAGCAGAGCCTATCTGGTCTGCCCTGTCAACACTGAATCTCAGCAGAGAGTTTTCGAAAGATCCCTTTTGGAGTCTCTGACCCTTTGTTCCCTTTATTAAAATGCCTGTAAAATATTAAAAAACCCTGTAGTTTGCAGAAAGTACAGTACCAACCCCATGCCACCACCCGCAGGAGGAGACTCAGCATTTTGGCAGCCATGTAAAAGTAGGCAAGTCACCTGTTTTCGCATCCTTAAAAAGTGCTGGTCAACGTGACTTCCCCAGGCTTCCTATGATTGTAGCACATGGGTATACCCTCCTTTCCTTAACTGGGCCCCTCTTTTTCTCATCCCCCTTCCTATTCAAAATATACACGATGGTGGCATCAGATAAAAAGAAGATCCTTTTTTTAAATAGCTGCAGGAGGGGCTGGGCTCGCCTGTGAGTACGTGGACCTACGGGGCCCATCCTCAGTGGTCTCCTTGCTGAGCAGCAGAGATCTGAGGAGAAAGAGCTCAGACAAGCCTAGAGGGGTCTCCCATCTGTTCTCCACCCACGTTGTCCCCGACCACCCCCACCCTTTGAGCTCCTGACTTTCCTTTCAGGCCTGCTCCTTTGTCCGCGGCTCTCCGGCTCTCTGGGTCTTGCCTCCTTGGGGCCTAATTCATTTCCACCTCATTCAGAAGGAGCGGCGAGCATGCTGCCCCACACAAGAGAAGTGCAAGCACCTGCAGGGCCCTGTGATGGGGAGGCTGGGTGGGGGCCCCGGCCAGAGGCTCCATGCGGGGCCAGCGGGGATGGCATGGCCCTTGGAAAGACGGTGAGTCCCCCTGCCTGTGCTGGGGAAAGGCTGATTTGGCAACTAAAGCGTCAGGCCACCCTTTTCACATGGCCCAGGTGACCAGAGATCTTAGAAGGACCTCGGTGGGCTGGGCTCCTAGGTCCTCCATACTGTGCATCTAGGAAGGTCACCTTGGGGCCCCAGACGAGCTCCTGCCTCAGCCTCAGCAAGGCACTATTCCTCCTCATCCGTTCCTGAGCTCCTTCTGGGAAGAGCCGCCTGCGGGTCCACGGGCTACCCCCTAACTCCAGCTTGGCCCTTCCAGCCTCTTCCAGGGGCTGATGGATTCGGTTTCCTTCACCACGCTTGTTACCGGCCCACTCACGTCAGGAACTCTAGCGGAGGCACCATCACCCCCCTCGTCACCTCTGAACTGTGGACCAAGAGTGTGCCGGCACCTTCCGAACGTTGTCCTACCCGTCCAGATCCCTCCAACTGGAAGGCAGCCGTGGGGCCCCGTCTATGTCCTGAAGTCCTCACAAAGGCTTGGGGTCCTGAGCTTGGCCTCAGCTTCCATCTCACGTCTTTGTTTTGGGCATCTGCCTCATGCACCCTGTGACTCTCCCCTGCTAGGCTGTGCCGTCTCTCCAGGGCGAGGACTGTGCCCGATTCACCTCTGCAGCCCAGCACCCAGCGCCCAGCACCCAGCCCAGGCGTCCCCTAAGTGCTGGTGGGATGGCTGAACGAAAACCTTCTTCCCCGACCTTCTCCGAACATCACGTGCTCCGATTTCAGCACTGCATGCCCCGAGATCCGAGTTTTGGGGTGCAAATCCATTCTCCTCCCATGCCCCTGCAAGCTCTCATTCCCTTTCAATGACAGTCACAGTGACAACAACAATCATGGTGACGACACTCCCTCGTTGAGCACTGTGGTTCTAAGGGCTTTACTTTCCACACCCATGGCAGTGCCGGGGAAAAGGAAGAACCACTGTGCCCATGTTACAGATCAGAGAGAGAGAGAGAACCTGTCCTCCCAGGCTCCGGCAGCCCTAAGTGGCAGAGGTGGTGCTTCAGCCTAGAGCTGTCGGGCTCCCCCCAGCACCGAACGCCAGCTGGGTGTCCAGGATGGTGCCCTTCGAGATCCGCAGCGGATTCAGTGTTGGCTGGGCGGGCTCGTCCAGGACCCTGCTGCCTGGCAGAAGATGGGGCCTCCGGCCGGCTGTCTGACCCACCTTGCTCTGCCCTGTGCAGAAACAAACGGTGGGGCCCCGGCAACGGGGCCAGGCCCGAAGCTGCTGGAATGTCATGCTGGGGCCCTGGCCTCCAGCCCCAGGAGTGGGCTGATGCGCACGGCGGGTTCCACGGGGCCGGAAACCTAGAGTGAGCCCCTCCCCCTCCTTGCCCTGCGGGGGCCGGCGGTTCCCGGTGTGTAGAAGGCGGGCAGGTTTGGCGATGCTATCTGGCAATGCCGGGGCGGGGCTGGCATGGGACAAGAGCAGTTTCATCTTGGAGATGAGGAGGATGTACAGCCCGGGGGCACAGAGGAGGGGAGATGTCTCCAGCAGCCCCAGGGAGAGGCCCGGCTTTCCCCTTGCCCTCCACTCACTCCATCCTCACAGCCTTCGATCTCTGTCACAGCTCTCGGGCACTGCTCCCCATCCCGACCCTTTAGGGGGTCCTGCCTTGAATCCATCTGTGCGCACCAAGGCACAGCCCCAGGTCCCATGCTGGAAAATCAGCAGGCCCGGAGTCTGGAGCCAACATTCCACAGCCGGGCATCCCGGCCTGCCGACGTGGATGGAGAGCAGAGGCATGGGCCCTGGTGGGAAGAAGCACGGGGCGCTCTCCTGGCCAACTCAGCAGCCCGCACCGGAGGGCCGGGGAGGGACCATCTGGGGTGGGGGGGGGAGCCAACCCCGCACACACCTTCCAGCTACACACTGGATGGGAGTTGCTAGATGAAATAGCTGTTCGCGCTGCAATTATTAGCATAAGATGAGGGCAATGGGGGCGGGGGGTGGTGGCTGCTTCCTGGAATGGCCGGCATTAACTCTCGGCTATTAAGATATTAGCGCTCATACCTGAGGTATTAAGCTTGCCTTCGGGATCCTTCGATGCTCTCATTAGAAGTATTAGCTACTGATATGCCTGACTACCTCCCATTCTGATTATTACTTGCTATTCGTGCTGTTTGCCTTTCTCCACTTCAGCCGGCTAATCACAGGACCGTGGGGTACCAAGAACAAGCCTCCAGCTCTCCGTGGGCTCTGGCGCCTCTGGTGAACTGGGAAACCTAGCTGGCAGGGAGAAGCGGGCGTCACGGCGACCGACAAGGATGAAGCGGGGAGCGCGGGGAGCAGCCCCCTGGAGCGACTCATCAGTCGCTGGTCTCCTGATGGCTCTGGAAGCTCTTGTGATTCGATTTCAGGCTTGACCACCCCCTGATACCGTTACCGGAACTGCTGAGATCATCAGGATGGCAGAGGCGGACCTCAAGGAGGCGGCCAGCATCCCCGGGGGACAGCCGGCCTCCCGACGGGACACTGGTCAGGGGGGTTTCATGAAAGACTTGGCGGTTCATCGGGGTGGGGGGTGGGGGCAAACTTTGCTCCTCTGGTTTCTGGAATGATCTTCCATCCGAGTTGGTCCTCACCTGGTGCTAAGTGCCATTCTCCAGGGAACCCCGGGGTGTCCCCCACCTGAGGGTGCGACTCTCCATTTCCCACTCGCCCCAGGGCCCCCTCTAGCTTCACCTGGGGTGAAGCTTCACCTGGAGGTGCCTTCTCAGGAGGACACAAGGCCGCCAGGTGGAGGGACTCCAGCGGGAGAACGCGAGACCCGGAACCCGCTCCAGAGGGAGGCACTCAGCCTGGGGCAGCGCATACCTGATGGCCTGGCCTCTATTACGTAGCGGGTGATGGGCCCTTTGCCAGGGTCTCCGCTGGACCAGTGGATGGCGATAGCAGAGCTGTACCGCACGATGATGGGCACTCCAGGCGGCCCGGGGGCACCTGCAAAGCACATGGTGGGCAAGAGGAGGTACGGCCCCCCAGCCCAGCTCCCTGTGCTCTAGCAGGGGGGCTGGGCAGCCAAACAACACCCCCCGCTCCGAGCCCGGCCAGAGTCTCCGAAAACCCTGCGAGCGCCAAGGCCCGAGGAGGGGGTTTTAGGCCGGGCCTGCTGATGCAACTGTGTTCTCTGGGTCACCTACACCCCCTTGTTCCAAATTCAAGGCCAGGAGAAGTATATAGGGTAATGCCAGGAAGATCCCTGGAGCAAAGTCAGGAGACCCGAACTCACTAGATGGGTGAATTTGATCAAGTCACATAGCCCGCCAGTGCCTCAGTTTCCCCATCTGTGAGACCCTTTTGGAATGTAAGGCTTGAAGGGATGTGTCCTGGGGGGATGGTGGTAGAGGTGGGTGTGATGATGGTGGAGTGGGCCTAGGATAAGTGGGGGGTTGGTTTTTGGGGGGCTGCAGGGCTCCCTGACATCTTGTCTCCTGGCCTAGGATGGCAATGTCCTCCCTACTTGCTGCCTGAAATACGCCCACCCTCACTGGGCCAAGGAGGAGGCTAGGAGTACAGGAGGAGGGTGGAGTGGGCTCTGCCGCTGGCTGTCCTGGCGGGTCCGTCAGAGTGGCCGCCTGTCACGTCAGCCACCTGGACACCAGCCCCAGGAGCCGGAGCAGGGGAGAGCTCACTTGCGTAGCCCGAGGCGTGAGCCAGTTCTAGCTCTGGAGGGTCCAGAGCCCCGCCTCTCTGGGGCTGCCCGTCCCCTGGGCTCTGACCGTCCCCAGAGCCCTGACCCTGCGGTCCATCTCCTATATGCCTGTTCATCACTGGACCTTAAGCCTTGCACCTGCAGAGCTGGGCACTTGTGGGACGAGGGGAACAAGCTGGTGAGTGAGTGGGGGGGTGATCGCTGGGCCAAGTGAGCGCCGAGTGTCGGCTACGGACGCCTACGGCAAAGGGCCTGGAATCCAGCTCCAGACTGAAGATCCTCCAGGCCCAGGGCAGTTGGCAGGCTGGACAGCAGGCCGGGGACTCACGACCAGAGCTTGGCTGCCCACCGCCCGGCCCGTGTCCAGTCCCGACCCGTGACCTCAGAGAGCCTCATCTTCCTTCCTTCCTTCCTTCCCCAATGTACATCCTGCCTACAGCTCAGGGCAAAGGCGGCTGAGGGGTCAGGGGGTGTGGGACAGAGCCCAAGCGGGGTGTGAAGGGTGGGGGGTGCTCTCAGGACCCCGAGTTCTCATTCCGCACAGGACAGAACTCAAGGCTGAGAGCTGTCATCGACTCCTGGACTAGAAGCTTCTAGCACTTCTGGCGACTGCCTGGTCTGGATGGAAGAGGATGCGTGATGGCACGTCCTTTCCTCGCCCACGCTCACCGGGCACAGCTCTGCTCTGTTTCAGAGGGACCCCCACCGCCTCCTCCGAACTTCCTGCCTGCCCCCTTCCCACGCCCCGCCTGGGACACTAGAAGCCTCAGGTTAGAACAACCAGTCCTCCAGCCTTCTCCTGTCCCCGCCACTCTGCCTCCCTTTGTCCCTGCCAGCTCGCTTCCTGCTTTTGTTTCCCAGGGAAGTTGGCTCAGGTGAAGAGGCGGCACAGGAGGGCTGGGGGCAGGTGCAGGGCAGGGGGGCGGCTTCCTCCGGCGGCCCTGCAGGCTCCGTTCCGCAGGAACCTAGAAACCAGCCGGCTTCTCTGTAGAACCCGGGGCGGAGAACAGAAAGTGCCCACAAAGAGAAAGTGCAGGGTGGCCAGCCCAGCCCAGCAGGGGAGAACGCATCTGCCCACAGGTGAGCGGCAAGGACAGGCCCCCTGCTCATCTCCCACAGGCCTAGCTAAGCTGCACTTCGGCCCACAGGGCAGGGAGTAGGAGGAGGAGGAAGAGGAGGAGGAGGAGGAGGAGGAGGCGGAGGAGGAGGAGGAGGAGGAGGAGGAGGAGGAGGAGGAGGGATTTCAGGGAAAGTCTGAGATGGGCTGTGTCCTTTCTCAGGGAAGAAGGGAGCAGAGGTTGGTTGTGTTCAGCAGAGGACATCCTGCCTGGGTGACAAGGACTTCGGAGAACAAACCTCAACCACAGCAGGCGGCTGAACAAGTCCCCCAGCTCAAGGCTGACCCCAAGAAGTGTCACAAGCTCAGACAGAACCCTCTGCGGTCCTGGTCCCCAGCGTCCCCCTCCCCATCCCCCTCGGGCCCAGTGCGCTGCCTGATCTCTAACTGCCCTGCTCCTTTCTTCCCTCTGTCACCTCTGTCTAGGGAGGACGCAACCTGGCAGGTCCCCCTGCCTGTGGCCTGGATGCCCGCCCCCACCCCCGGGAGCAGGGGTGCTCAGAGCACTGGGCAAAGAGCCACCCCAGCTCTGGTTCAAATGCACGTTCCCAGGGTGAATGGTTGGAGATTCCGATTTCCTGGGGCTCAGGGCCCAGAACCCTGGAGGGCTCTGACTTATGTGGCACCTCAAGAAACCCTCTGATGACAGGTGATCCTCCAGGGCCCAGGCCCGCCTTCCCTTGCACCTGGCCGCCCAGCCCTCCCCCTTCTCCTCTGCCAGAGCTGCCTTAGGATACTCCCAATGCTGGCTTGTGTTTTGGTGTGTCTGTCTGAACGCCACCCCCCGATGAAGTCCTCCTTAATCACCTCCTTTAAATGCCTCCCTCGTCCCCCTTCCTCCCCCCCCAGGCCCCACCCCTGTACTCTCTCAGGCTGTGGCTCTGTCCCCTCTAGACCCCGTCTCCCTCATCTCTGCACCTCCAGGATCTAGCACAGCTCTGGATAACCCCTTCTGACTCAGGGGCTGAACGCGGTGTGTGGACGGCAGCGGCCCCCTTGTCCGTCCTGCGCTCCCCTACCTTCTCCTGGGCCGGTGGTGACGTTGGCCTCGATCTCTGGCCCATAGGTGAAGGTCTTGGCTCTGATGCGGAACCTGTAGGTCATCCCCTCGGCCAGGTCCTTCACCTTCAACCACAGAGGGCTGCTACCCTTCACGTCCACTGTCACGATCTTACTGACGCCTGGGAAGGAAGCACAGCATGTGGTGGCTGTGGGGGGCCTTCAAGTCAGGCCACGCAGCCGTGTTTCCCAAACATGCAGTCCTGCAGGCCGTTCTCGGGAGAAAGGGCTCCTTGGCAGGAGAAGTTTGAGAAGAGCCAGGGACGATCTGTCTGGGGAGGACGCACAGGGTCCTTCAGAATCTGGTGGGACATGACCCCCCCCCCACCTGTTTCACTGAACCATTGTACCCCAAATGTATTCTGCCCCCCGAATTCCACAGAACTGGAATCCCAAGGATCACAGGGTCCTTCAGCATCTGGTGGGAAATGACCCCCCCACCTGTTTCACTGAACCATTGTACCCCAAATGTATTCTGCCCCCCGAATTCCACAGAACTGGAATCCCAAGGATCACCTTCTTCTACAGAAGCCCTGAGTCCAGAGTTGGAGGGGAGACACCTGCAGCCAGTCCCTACAGCTGAGGACAGCCTCGGGTCCGTCAGCAAGGGCTGGGGGCTCACAGCGGGCCCTCCATCAACTGCACCCCAAATCACAGCAACTAGAGGGGAGGCTGGGATGGTTTTCAGGAGGTCGAGGTTTGTGCTCCATGCTTCATGGCTCAAATCCTCCCGACCACCAGCCTCCCCAGGGGTCGGGACTGGGGGTGATCTCCCTTGTCCTCCCAAGCACGGTGGTGGCCCCTAGGAGCTGGGCTTTGCAGGTCACAGCCCAGTGCGGGCCCTCCCCTGCCATAGCTTTGGTTTGTTGTTCTACTGAATGAGGGTATGGATAGCATCACAGACAGGATGTTATGAGGCTAAATAAAAGAGCACCTGGCACCTGGCATCTGCCCAGACTATCTTACGAATAAATAAGTACCCAACGACAGAGCGATGGCTGCTCGAGGGGTCCTTCTGAAGGAAGGAAGTCACCGCGGGGCACCCAGAACAGCAGCGCTGGGTACCTGTTCCTTGACATTTCTGAGCAAATCCCTCATCAGTCTGGGCCGTGGTTTTCCCAGCAGGAAAGGGGCGGGGGTCATCGCTGGGTTCTTGTGAGGCCTGTTTGCTGCTGACTTGAACCCTGGGCTGAGGCATGGCACAGTGACACCCAGGGCCTGACGGTCTCATCAGGGGCCATCGCAGAGTGGATGGGACTAGGCGAGCGCATGAAGTTAGTTAGGCGGCCAGACCGTGCCGGACCGAGGAACGGGAAGGCCAGGTGCTCACACCTCTCAAGGGCTGGGAGCCCCCTGGGTAGGTCAGGCAGAGGCCACTGTGAGGAGAGCCTGTCCTGTCCGCCTGCATCTTGTGCCCGTGACCTCTGCCCTCTCCTTCCTGTCCGAGGGAGAGACGGCCCCTTTCCCGGGGCCTGCACCTGACCACATCTCCTGGCCCGCCCCCCCCGCCAGAGGCCCAGAACACAGTGCCGCTTTGCAGAATGAACTAGCTGCTGGTAGGCAGGTGACGGTGGGAAGACTGAGGGCCATTGTTCCCTCGGCTGGCCCGGGACTGCTGGCCCCTGTGGCTCTCCCAGGGCTCCGCCCCTCGTTCTGGCCAGGCTCTGTAGTCAGGGAAAGGTGAGAGTGAGGAGGTGACCTCAGGCCATCAGGCCACCACCTGTGAGCCAGCCACACCCCCCGAGTCCTCGCTGGGCTCTGAAACTGGACCCAGGCAGCCAGAAGCCCCTCTAAGTCGATGGCCGTGCTTTCTGGGCTCGCCCTGGGCTCGCTCACGTCAGCGTGGGGCCGGAGCGCTGGCAAGCGTCTAACATCCACGGTCAGGGTTAGCACAGCCTGGCCTGGGCGCCTGGGAGTGGGGAAGGGTCCCCCCAGGGGCCTGGAGGAAGGGGTGGGGCAGGGGCCACTGGGGGCTCTAAGGACAGATAGACGAATGGGGCTCCCGCTGAGAGGAAGGTGACTTGCACATCGGGGTTCTTGATCGGAGGTTCACAAGGGAACAGGGGTGCAGCGACTCCCCCCAACTTGTGCTTTCTGGGGAGAGGCTCAAACAAGTTCCTGACCCCACGAGAGGCAAAGACCTATCCAGAATAAGGCTGACACCCTAAATTTTGGGGGGCAGGCACGGGAGGGGCCATCGGGGCTCCCCCATCTTCCTGGGCCTGACAGCAGCCTGGCCACCAGGCGGCGCCATAACTCCTGCAGGCTCCCTTCCTTTCCTCCTCACTTCGGCCGGATTTGGGAGACCTAGGGTGCTGCTCAGCTTTGCCCCCCGCTCGCTGGTGGGGAAATGCTCCTTTCTCGTCTGGCCCCCGTGTCTCCCTTTACGAGCCAGGGAGACGCTCACTGCATCTGACTCTGTGCAGTGACCCCGGCGAGAGAAAGGCCTTGGGAGCCGGGCTAGGAGGGCCCCACTCACCGTCCACTGGGGTGCAGGGCTCGTACACCAGCCGGTAACCTTCCAGGACACCGTTGGGGAACTGCGGGGCCTCCCAGGACACGTTCACCGAGGTTGTGGTCAGCTCACTGAACTTGACCGAGCCGGGAGCACTGGGGGCTGCAGGGAGACAGCAAAGGGTTTGTTTTGTTCTCACATGGACATTCAAAGCCCTGCTCGGCTTCCAGAAACCAGCAGGGGTGGTTGGGTCTGGGCCCCAGGGAAGAGAGCGAGGACAGGGGGTCGTCAGAGGTCATCCGTGCCCCTCCCCTCCCCCACTGACACTGCTAGCCTCTCTTTCCAATACCAGAGTCCAAGAACGAGGAGGAAAGAGAACGGCCTTTTCCCTAAAGTTAGGAAACTCAGTTTCTTCCTGCTAAGTGGTCCTGAACCTCCAGGGTCGCTGTGGGGCCAGGCGAGGTCCTAGCTTTGTAGGGCTTGTCTTTGGCCTTCCCTGGTGGAGAAGGCAGGGCCGCCTGGGCCTCAGAGCATGAGGCGGGTGGTGAACAAGAAGATGACGGAACTGCAGCCGTGTGGCCTTTCTCCGGTCCCTGGGGCTCCAGGGCTTGTCACGGAGAGACCACGCTTGTCAGAAGCAGCCCATAATAGGGACGGTCAAACCATCTGGAAGAGATGCTTTCTTGGCCGAGAAGCCTGGAATGACCCTGAAAGCCTGGGGGCCGTGGGGGACTCGGATGGGGAGGACAGAGAGGAAGGGAAGGAAGCGCAGAGCTGGCTTCAGGCGGGATGACCACGCTATTATTATTGTCCGGTGCCGCCCCCCGCACTGAGCCGAAGCTAATCTGGACCCTGCTTCCGCTCCAGCTCTGGGAGGCAGCCCCAGCCCGCAGTCTTTGAAGGAGGGAGGCGAGCTCCAGGGGCCTTTCCTGCCTCCCCTAAGCAAGAGGGACATGGGTCAGAACACTTTGTCCTGCTGCCGGAAGCTTCCAGGCTCCCAGGGGCTCACATCCGCCCCATGACACTGACGGAGAGTGGTCTGGACAAGCAGGCAGACAGACAGATCAGACCCTCGGGAGCCAGTGGAGGAAAAGGGCTGCCCTAGAGCCATGGCTTGGCCCCAAAGAGAACAATGCTTAAGAACTGACTCCACGGTCTGGTCTTCTCTTTAAGAGAGAAGCTAATTTACAGGCTGGGAAGCAGCAGGCTGGGAAGGATGCTGGGGGGGTGGGGGTGCTCAGGACAAAAGGCTTGCATTTAATGCACCAGGAGGGAGCTCCATGACAGGCGAAGGAGTTGCCGTTCAGTGAAGACAGCCCAGGACCAGCTCACCTGCCCTGGCCTCCAACCTCTGCTCCCCGACTGGCGGGCCGGGGGGTCCTGGGCAAGAAGCATCACTGCCCAGTCCACCCCTACTCACTGAAACGGGTGACACCTGCCCTGCCCATGCCAGGGCTTCTGGAAGGAGCTAGCGTATCACTGCCCGAAAAGTGTCTTCGGACTCTGTATATAGGCCCAGCTCTGCACGTGCGGGCAGCAGGGTTCTGACCATCACCATCCAGCCTTCTAACCGGCCTCCCTGCCTCCCTCCTCTGTTGGTCTGTCTCCCACACGGCTGTCAAGCAAGTTTTTAAAAACATAAGCCGGATCCTGTTGCCCAACTGCTTAAACCCACCAATGATCCCCCAGTGCTCTGAGAATCCATCCCAGACTTTCTTCCAAGGGTCCCTGACCCTCTTGGGCCATTTCCTCTCAAGCCACACGGCTGTTCCTTTAATCCCCTCCGGCCTCGAGGCCTTTGCACCTGCTGCTCCCTCTGCCCGGAACCTTTCCTCCAGAGCTTCCCACGCTGGTCTCTTCCCACTCAGGTCTCAGCTGTCAAACCTCAGAGGCCGCTGCAGGCAGATCTGTCCAAGGCCACGTGTCCACCCCTGCCCCCGTCCTTCTACTGCTCGCACTCACCGCCACCTGAGGCCGATTCACCTAGATATGTGTTTATGATCTGTCCCACTCCCTAGGGTGGGGACCTTGACTGTTGTGTTCCCAGCATCTAGCACAGTGCGGGTCCCTAGAAGATGCTCAGTAAATACTTGTAGAAGGAACAAAGCCGGCACCGTATAAGAAAGCTGGGTAGGAACAAGGTATGGGCAGACCTGGGCTGGCGGGCTACAAGATGTGGGGAGGGCTGGGGACATCTGGGGGCTCCCTCCAAGGCTCTCTGGGGACAGCCTCTGTCTTCCTAGCCCTCTCATGTAGGCCCCTCTTTTTGGGCTGTGCTCCCCACCTCTGGAGGCCGTCTCGTGGGGCCTGGGTGTCCAGCCCAGACATCTCAGCCGATAAGACAGCTACTCCCACCACACCCCCCGCCCCAGGAGCACAGGGGCCCCCCACCGCCCTCCCCTCCTGCCTCTCTCCCCCACCTGCTTGCTGGGTCTGGCCCCGGGTCGGGGGGCTCCGAGGCCCATCCCCCGCGGCGTTGAAGGCAGCCACGCTGACCATGTAGGTGGTATAGCCCGTCAGGTTCTTGAGCTTCACGCCGTTCTCCGCCAGGAAGAGCGTCTTCACCCGCTCCGTGAGGTTGCGCCGCTGGGCTTCCCAGAAATAGATCTGTGGGCACAGCCAGTTGTGGGAGCGAGGGGGACACACTTGACTCTCCTCCTGCCCCCGCCAGCCCCAGGGTCGCAGAGGCACCTTCGCTCATACCGTCCACACCCCCCACAACGGGCGTGAGTCACGCAAGGAACAGAAGTATTTAAGAGCGGTTTTAGAAACCCTTCCAGAGCCTTCCTTTTCACAGCGAGTACTTCAGTCTCTGCCAGACTAAACCCCAGGAGAGCACAGACCCCACGTAGCTGTCTGCCATGGGCCTGGAGGGTTTAGCACAGCACGGGCCCATCGGCCCTCGGAATACGGTTAGCGGAGGAAGAAGCCAATTCTGCCCCTCCGGACCCTGAGCCGGGGAGGGAAGTGCAGGGTGGGTAGACTCCTCCCCAACCAAGAGGAGAGTGCAAGGACCAGCTCATGGCATCACCTGGGAGCTGGTTAGGGATGGGGAATGTCAGGCCCACCCGGCACCTGCTGCGAAGCGCCTGCCGGTTAAGGCCCCTGGTGATTCACCTGCCCGGGAATTCACCTGCAGGCCAGCCTGGGGCTGAACCCCAGCGCGCCATTCACGAGCACGGTGACTTCACCAGGTGACACCCCTGAGCCATGGATTTGTCGGCTGACTAGTGGGGCTTAAGACACCCCACTTTCCAGGACCAAGGTGAGGAGGAGCTAGGTGGTAAGGAGCGAAGAAGGTTTTAGTCCACCTGCTGCGCTCCACATGGTTCTGATTACTTAGTGTTCAGGGGCAGCGAAGCTCAGATTCCTCACTGGTGTCCGGAACTTTGGGAAACCCGTGGGGAAGCTGCGAGCCGCAAGCCCCCGGGGACGAGCAGCGAGTATTTGGCGCCACCTGCTGGCCAAGGAGGAGGTTTCTGCGCGCGAAGGCCGTCAATTTCTCAATTTAGCTTCCTCTGCTAAATACAAGGGTCCCCACCTGGCACTCAGGACATCTTGTCACCCAGAAATCCTTGCTTTCATCTAACCCCGCCCACTTTGGAAAACATTCTTCTGATACGAGTAGATATCAGAGAGAAAGCTGATAAGGTTGTTCATTAAGTACTGTTCACAGGGATGGGCACACAACAGTGGACAAAGCTCCTGCTGAATTTGGGGCGTGGGGGGAAAGGCCAAGGTGAACGTCCGAGATCTGGGTGTCATCAGCACACAGATGGGACTTTTTGAGTGCACATGGAGACAATGAATGTAGAAAGTCGCAAGGGGACCTGGGGGCTTCGATGTTCAGGGGTTGGGGAGAGGCTGGGACAGCTAGCATGGGAAGCGGAGAGAAGAAAGCATTTCTTGGAGGAGGGACAGGTCTGCCAGGTCAAACTGGGGTGCTGAGCCAGGTAGGGTGAGGCTTGCCTCTGACTTCCACCGAACTTAGTAATCACTGAGGCCTGGACAGGAAGGGCTTTCGTCGGGGGTGAGAAGCTACTTGGAGCTGGTTGAAGAGATCCTGGGAGGACAGGGATTGGAGGTGGCGGGCCCAGAAGATTGTTTGGAGGATTTCTGCCATAAAGGGACCAACCAGAGACACGGCTGCCAGCCCAAGGGGCACGCGGCCGTCATGGTGCACACCAACAGGTAGCCAGGTGTCTACTAGGAAGTGCACTCCGCAGAGGGCTGCCGTCCTGGTGGGTCGGGCTCCCTGGCGTCTCAAGCACCTAGAATCGTGCCTGGCACACTGCTGGGGCTCCACAGAGGCTTGCTAATGAATAAGCACCTCATGCAGGCTGGAGCTGGTGGAGGATTCCAATCCCCTGCCCTTCGGGCTTCATCGGATCCAACAGGCCAATTGCAGCCTCAGTTAAATCAGGTCCACAGCCACACGCCGCAGCCGACTGGGAATTCACACTTTCAATTTTCACCGTGCTACACCGCCCTGGTCCACTTCCCCTGCGCGCATCTCCTGCATCCGGGTCTCATCCACTCCTCCCCCACTGCCCCTCCCCTCCTCACTCCTAGCTGAGGCTCCTTCACCGAGAAGCAATCAGATGAGATTTTCTCCACAATCTCCGGGCGTCTCCTATACCTCCCCGGGTCTCTGTGTCCACTCCTCTGCCTGCCTCCCTCCACCACGTCTGCACTGTCGGCTCCTCCATAAGACTATGTTACATTCGAGCACGAAATCCCAGCCCTCTCACTTCCTCCAGGACCTCATCCCCCACCCCCCCACAGCTTCCGCTCTTCCTAGAATCACATTTCTCCTCTTCCTGGGATCATTATCAGCACATCCACTAGCTGTCATTTCTTCTGTCTTAAAACTCCCTCTGTTGACTGTTTCTAATTCCTGTTTTTCTTTTCCCTTTAAAGCAACACTCCTTAAAAGGGGTATCTGTACTCGCTGCCTCCCCTCATTCTTTCTTGAATCCCTCCAAGCCGGCATCCCCGGCCCCCAACCCTTGTCAGAGTCACCTGTAAACTTGAGCTAGCTAATGCAATAATTTGGGGCTCAGCAAGCTCTCTGTAAAGGGCCAGGTAATAAATATCTCAGGTTTTACAGGCCACACATCTCTGTGGTAACTCAAAAGCAGCCTCGGGCAATTTATAAACAAATGAATGTGGCTGTGTTCCAATAAAACTTTATTTACAAAGACAAGTGGGGGGCCAGATTGAGCCCTTGGGCTGTAGTCTGACAATTCCTGCACAGTTGCTTCCTAGATTTCATCTTACTTGAGCTCTCAGTAGTATTTGGTACATCAGAGTCCTCCTTCCTCCAGGAGCACATTCTTAATGTAGGTTCTGGGACTTCAGTCCCCCCCCCCCTTTTTTTTTGGTCCTAGGTCTCAGTTTTCAGTCTTCTTGTGGTTTCTGTCTATACGTGTCTAATCTCTGGTCTTTCATCTATATACTGAGGACTCACAATTCACATCTCCAGCTTAGACCCTCTCTCTTGAACTCCAGACATGTAAACCCAGCTACATTTGGTGTCTCCCCTTGGGGGTCCAACAGACGTCTTGAGCTGACTCCAGCTCTCCCCCAACAAGCCTCCTCCTTCCACACTCTTTTGTCTTTTCCTGCTCTGTGTCTGGAAGCTCCGTCATCGAATTGCTTGTAAATCCTCTCTCACACTCCACATTCGATTCAGCAAATTCTACCAGCTCCACCATTCAAATGGAGCCAGAGAGCAAACACTTCTCCCTGCTGATATCGCCTGGCCTAAGCACCACCATGCCTCACCTAGTTGTTTCAGTCCCCTACTTGTGGTTTTGTGCTTTCCCCATTTCAGGTTGCTCTCAGCACAGCCCTTTAAAAACCCAAGTCACCTGTGGCCCTCCTTTGCCCCAAACCGTCCACAGCTGTCCTCTCATTCTGAGTGACAGCCAGTCCTTGAGGGCCCTGGGTGATATAGCCCAGGTCACTGCTTGGACCCATCTCCCATCATACTGCCCTCCACACACACTCAGACGCACTGGCTCTTTGTTGAGCTTTGTAAACGCCAAGCACCCACTGACCCCAGGACCTTTGCTCTTCTTTCCCTCTTTCTGGAATGTTCTCCTCCCAGAAGAACATGTGATTCTCACCGTGTTCTTCATTTTTGCTCAGGTGTCTGCTTCGCTTTAATCCTTTCCTAACGACCCTATTCCCTATTAAAATGCCAAACCTCGCCCTGGCTTGCTTTCTCTATGCCCTTCATCTGTGTCCTTTGCCACCCTCTGGAGGGGCTACTTGTTTTGTACATTACTGGTCTTCTTCCCCTAAAATTTAAGCTCAAGTTGCCTCTCTGTTCACAGCTTTATGTCCAAACTGAGAAACACCACTGGGCACAAAATAACAGCTCAATAAACACACACGTCCCTGAATGACTAGCTGCATGGGCGTGCCTGCCCGTGCACACGTCACAGCTCAGTCCGATCCAAATCAAGCTCACTGGAGCTGTGCTCACTGGCTGGTGACGTCTGCCCACCATTAATGTCCGTGCTAATTACCGTGCAGGTTAATGCACGTCTGGGATGCAGCCATCCCGTGTCCCCAGCTAAGAATGCCCACAGTCTCCACGTTTTCCAAGCACGCAGACACCAGCCCTGGGATACACGCGGTCCAGGCATCCGCACGTTTCCTGGGGCTGCACGTTTGCTGGACACTTCCACACCTTGACAGTCTGGTGGCTACCTAACTGTTGCAGGCTCCGCCCGGGCTCCTCCTCCTTCCCATGGGAGGCATATGCTAGGGGTGCAGTACTTAGCTCTTCCCAGCGGGCACTCCTGGGCAGGCTTGCGGGGTGTCATCCCTCTTTAAGCTCCCTTGGCAAGATGCCTTTCCTCCTCTCTCCTGCCTCCTTCACCCCAGGTGGAAAGAAACTCCTATGTGGGTTTCTGTCTTCAACTGGGGCCACCTCTGTTACCAAGCTATGTGACCCCGGCAAGCCCCTGGCTTTTGTGGGAACTCGGTTTCTGCCTGTGGAATGACGGGGCTGAGGCAGGTAAACTACGAGGCCCCACACTCCCCACCCCGTCACTGCGCTGGGCTTCTCTCTGGAATAACAACCCCCCACAGCCAACGGCTCCGACCAAGGAGACACAGTATTACTGTTCTGTCTACCACCTCCTCTGGGGATTGTGTTCCGTGCCTCCCCCCTGCCCTGCACAGGGTGAGGGCTAGCAGACCTGGCGTCCGACGCTCTGCTATCTTTGTGATCTTGCCAGACCACCTAAACCGGGTCTCGGTTTCCTCATCTGTACAATGGGTGCAAACGTTTCTAATCTGCCCGCTTCACAGAGCATTCAAGAGCATGAAGGAGTTCTACAGGACTGTGAGAATACTGGAGATGAACTGAATTCTGTTCAAACATGTGAGATCCTCTAAGATCTGGAAATAATTTTAAACAGAGATGTCCACATCCTTAGCCAGGGGTCCTTTGCCGCTTGGCCAAATCAACGGTGTAATTAGAGTTGGCCAAATGACCACTTCGAGGGGTCTTTTGCTGGCACTGGGAGCTGGGGGACTGGGGTGGAGGGTTTTGCCTGAAGCAAGGCCTGAGCTTCTTGCATCTGAGCTCAGCCTGGCTAGGATGCTGCAGAGGACAGGTGTAGTTTTGTATCACTGCACAATATTCCGATGCATTGGGTGCAAGCAGCCGAGGGAGCAGGTGCAGACCTGCCGACCTCTCCCTCCTACCACCCAGGGGTCACTCCCACCCCCAAGCTGGCCCTTTGACCCCCGGACCCTCTTCTCTGCCGGAGCGCCCCATACCTTGTAGCCCTGGATGTCTCCGTTCTGGCTCTCCAGTGGTGGTGGCTCCCAGGTCACATCAAGCTGTGTGGCCGTGGCGCCATGGACAGCCACGTTACGGGGCGTTGCGGTGGGCACTGGAGGGAGTGAGAGGTCGTGAGCGAGGGGCACAAGTGGGCTTCAGGGAGGAGGAGGTGGGTTGGGATGGTGTGGGGCCCCCGAATCCCGTACGTCCTCTAGCTGGACTTCTGGGTGGGGAAGGCTGAGGCTGCAAGGGCGGGCAGGCTCACCTGCCTCCCCGACGAAGACTTCCTGGGGGGGGCTTGAGGGCCCCTCCCCCACGGCGTTGTACACGCTCATCCGTATCTCATACCGCCGGTGTTTGTTCAGATCTGGGGGAGGGGGGGCACAGAGAGGTCACTGGCCTGCAGGGGCAGAACCAGCATGGGGGGCGGAGGCTGTGATGATGCGCCCGGGATTCTAGTTCCTGCCAGAAGTTCAGGGAAGAAGAGGTAAGGAGTGGGGTGGCCGGGAATCGGGATGCCTGTGGTTGGCTTCCCGGCCAAGGGAGAGCATACTAGACACTTTGGAAACTGAAAGAGACACTATGCATATTTATGCAGGGACAGCTAGTGTGAACCAATACTGTCCTCCCGGGCACACAGGTCACGCACGGGTCACCCTGTCCCCACCATGGCAGATGCTTGAAGTTCCCAGCTGCCCAGGCCCCATCAACCAGCTCTTCACACAGGGGGCTCACCCCTCAGGGAAGGGGCTTATTGGATGTGAATTCTGGGCTAAGAAACGCTATGTTTTTGCCAAGTTTGGGGGTCCTGGGTGGAGATACCTGGACAGAAGCTGAGAGACAAAGGGCAGCTGCAGGAAAATGGGCCGCGAAACCTTGGATGGGAGTTGCCATCCCTGCTTGGTCGGGGGAGGCTAGAAGGTTCTCCCACCGTTCTCCCTGGGCACCCTGCCCTTCTCTCCTTCCTCGGGGGGAGTTCTGCCACTCAGCTGGAATGTGGATGGGGGAGTCACCCTCATTTAACCGGCCACACAGACCATGTGGGCCACTGGCCGATGAAGGAAGGAGAAGGACAACATGGTCTCACACTTTGCTTCTGCTTCGTACAGAGAATGGGGCCCCTTTGCCCTTCCGAGAATCACAGACTTTAGAAGGAGAGCGAGACTTGGGCCAGGCACCCATCAGGAACATTCCCAGGTCCCTGGGGGGACAGAGGGGGTCCTGCTCACTCTGGAGGGGGGGGTTGGCCTGGAATACAGAGCCATGCAGAAAAGTGCCTTCAACGGGACGAGGGGAGTGGCGGTGTCGTGGACGCCTGCCCTTCCAAGCAGCAGACCCAGAGCTCCTCCCACGGACCTCCTGTCATCCCCCCAGCCACCCCACAGAGCACAAGACCGGAGCTGCTCCCTCTTCCGTTCTGTACCCGATGGATGCACGCTTCCCTGGTCACCCTCTACATTTCTGTGTGTTTCCAGAAAGTCACGTGTGCTTTGGGTGATCCCATTCTTCAAGTGGCCTGAGGCGGGCACGCCCCTCAGCCCGGACTCCGGTGTCCTCAGAGGCCCCACACTCCCCATCCCTGTGGAAGGCCTGGGCCCGACTCGGGAGCCGCCATGCAGGGAGACTTACTGTCCAGCTCGTACTGGGTGAGGCTGGGCCGGCTCAGGTTCCGCATGGAGTACATGGCTACGGGGCGGGAGGCCGAGGGGGCCAGAGGGAGACAGCAGACAGAGGAGGTTAGTACACACACACCCTGCTCTGCTGGGACCCCGAGGAGAGGGGCGGGATGGGGGAGGGGCCTGGCAGTGCACATGCAGACGGAAGGGGTGTCCGGGTGTCCGACGCTGAGTTAGGGGTCCCGGGCAGGAGTGAGAGAGGGTGCCCATGAGGCCGGGGGGACACAGGGCACCGCGAGCCCCCTGGAGCCCAGCACCCCTGAGGGCAGCTCTGGGGGACCCTCGGTCCCCAGTCGCTCCCTTGTCTGAGCTGGGACTTCGATAGAACCATCCTGAAACTGTGGGGTGTTAATTTTCCCCTCTTAAAAGAAACCCTTTTACTTCCAGGAAATAGGCCGGCATTATCCAGAGGCAGATAAAATCACAACCACAAGCACATGTCTGCCAAAAAATAAAAAAAATAGTGCAAGCTGCTGGATCAGCTACATCCGAGTTGTTCTGTGAATATTCCCTTGCTCTGCGTTCACTCATTTTGTTGTCTGCTAGTATTCGTTAGAAGCCAAGGCACGAAAGCCTTAGAAGAATTACGGGACAGCACTTTGCATACTCTTCGTCTCCCACCCACCCGGGGACCCCAGGCCCCTGGGCTCCTCTCTCCTGCCCACTCCCCGCCCCTGCGTGAGCTGGTCACGGAGCCCACGGCCTCTCCCATCCTGGCCCTCAAGTCCAACCCGAGCCGCCGCCTTGGCCCCAGCCGCCTGCTTTCGGTGACCGCAGGAGCCTCTAACTGGAACCCCTGCCTCTGGTCCTGCCCCGCCAGCCATCGCCCTCCTGCCCCAAAGGGCAAGCACGTCATCCTCCTTGGCTGTGACTCTCCCTGGGATTCCCACCAGGCTCCTGGCTCTTTCCTTCCGGCCACCACAGGCAGGCCAGATTCCAAGGACCCTGGGACAGAACAGTGACCTCCAGCCAGCAGGTTATTGGGGTGAGCAGGCTTGACTCTTGGCCCTTTCCACCTCAGGCCCTTTGCTGGGCTTTCCCCTTAGCTTTGAATGGGTTGACTTGGGATCATCCATCAGGGTCATGGCCAAGGCCATCTTCAGGGAGGCCTTCCCTGACACTGACTCCCCTGAAAAAGGCCCCCAAGGCCGTCATGCCAACTGTCTTAGACATTTATTGTTAGTTTACTTCTTGAGTGCAGGTTCCTCCTTGAGCCCACAAGCTCTGAGAGGGCAGGGGCCGTCTGTCTTGTTCACTGGTGTGCCCCAGTGTCCGAGGGCATGTAGAAGGTGCTCAATAAACACCCAGTGACTGAATGGAACGGGGGTGGCGGGGAGGGGTGCACTCGGGAGAGGTGCACTCAGGACAGGGCGGCGGGTTTCAGGTCAGGGTGCCTCCAGGAAGCTGAGAGCTCCCAGGCAGGGAGGGGAGTGTCCCCGGCCCCACTGTCCCCTGACCCCTGTGGATGCCACTCACAGGTAAGCTCAGCCCACTTGGCCCCCGGGTTGTTGATGCCACGCAGTGTGAAGCCCCTCAGCCCCTCGTAGAGCAGCTCCCGGTACCGGATCCGGAAGCCCAGGAGGATGCCGTTGATCTTGTCCTCTGCTGGGGGCTGCAGGGAAGGGAGTGGAGAATGGGGAGGGGCAGGAAACCCCGAGGCTCACCCGCTTCCACTCCGCCCCTCTCCCTTCCTCCCTCCCCATCCTGCCTCCTGTGACCATAGGGCAGAGCCTGAGCATCCACCAGGGAAAGAAATCAAAATGACACTGAGCATTTTTAACTTAAGAAGCACATCCAGTGAGGTTATTTCAGCTCTGCAACATTCTCTGTGGGGCAGGGAAGGACTGGAATCTCCATGCCATTCCCATTCCCAGAGCAGGAAGGTGAGGCTCAGAGAGGGTAAGGCATATGCCCAAGGACACACAGCACCATTGGGCTCTCCTCCTAGACCATTCCTTGCCCAGGGATACCTTCACACAGCACCAGCCTCCCTGGGCCTGGTGATCCCGCCACCTCCCACCAGACCAGCGTCTCCTGGGGTTTCTGCGAGGCCGTTCCCTATCCCTGAATGCACTGCCCCTGCTCTACCTTTTACTACTTCTTCGCTTTCTGCTCCCATCCACAGCCCAGTGGGAGAACAGGCTTTAGGGGAAGGTGAAAACTACTTTTTAGGATACCTCTTTTTAAAATCCCGCTGAAGTGCTTCACCCTTTTATTAGATCCTTCACTGTCTCCCTGGCTACTGACACCTCCCTGCCCCTTCGCCAGGATGGCCCGGGGCTCTGCCGGCCTGGTCCTGGCTTCGGGCCGCACAAGGTCACTTTCACTCCAGGGAGGGTCCTGTTGCAGTGCGGCCTCGGGTTGGGGAGGGGCTGCGGGGCCCCTTCCTGTTTCCTCTTAAGGGGTCTCCCGTTGGGGACGCTGTGGTGGACAAATGCCCGCCCCTCTGATGCCAAAAAGCGAGACAAGGGTTTGCTGCTTTGGGGCCCGTGTGGGTGACCTGCCGAGTCCAGAGGCTGGACTTGAGAGCGTACAGGAGGGTCCCGCAGGCAGAGACCGGCAGCCTGGTCTCAGATGCGTCTGGTGGTCTTCCTCAGACCATGGCAGGACAACAGTGCCCACCAAGGGACGCTTGGGGAGCTCAGTCAGTTAAGCATCTGCCTTTGGCTTAGGGTCAGGATCCCAGGGTCCTGGGCTCAAGCCCCGCATCAGGCTCCCTGCTCAGCCGGGAGCCTGCTTCTCCCTCTCCCTCTGCCCCTCTCCCCTGCTTGTGCTGGCTCTCTCTCTCAAATAAATAAAGAAATAAAATCTTAAAAAAAAAAGTGCCCACCAGAGAGCAGGCAACGGGGGGAGGGGGTGGGGTGTGCAGAGGAAGGGGGTTCTCTGTCCCCGGACGATGGGTTCCCACTTGGGGTTCCGGCCAGGTATGTACACCTGTGTTTGGTTTGATCAGGAATCCCTTCACTGATGGTGGGCCAGGATTCATGGGGACTCAGGGGGCCCTAAAAGCCCCATGCACTTTTCTGTCCCAGGATTGGCAGCTCGGAGGGCACTAAGCCTGACCCTGCCACTTACTAGCTGTGTAACCAGGCCCGTTCATGTCACTTCCCTGAGGACTGGGTTCTCGTCTGCAGGAGGGGATTGGAACAGCGCCTGCCCGAAGGGATTATCTGGAGAGCAGAGTGAGGGCATGTGTGTATGATGTTCCAGCCTTGCTGGGGGCTGTTGCCTTTCTGGTCCCTGCACAGGGTGTGTCTAAGTCCTCCTAGGACATGGGCCCCTCCCCGCCTGCTGGCTGCTGGCCCGTACCTGCCATCGAATCAGCACGGAGGTGGTGGTGTGGGGTGTCACCGACACAATGGTGGGTGCTTCGTCGGGTGCTGGGGAGAGAGACAGACAGGTGAGCTCTGGGGACTGGGCCTTAGGCCCCCTGGCAGGCCACAGGGAGCAGATTCTTCTGCAAGTGTGGAGGGAGGGGGCCCGGAGCCCTGACCCCAGTCTGCACCCAAGAGCCCAGAGCCCCCCTCCTCTTTGTCCCTGGAGCCACAGGTTTTTGATGTTGCTGCTGCTGAGGCCCCCCCCACACGCCCTTTCACTGGTTTTCTGGGGTTCGCCACGAGCTTGGGGACAGCAGAGAAGGAACACACTGGGATGCCGGGCTTGGCATCGGTGCCCGAATCATGGCAAAGGCCCCTCTGGCCCAAACCTCCTTGGGACTCTGCCCAGGGAGCCAGACACAGGGCCCGGCGGGCCCTCTGCCCCTCCCACCTTTGGGGGCCCCTCCCCTCTGAAGAGAATGCCCAGTGCCCAGGAAGCGCCAGTGGGCCAAGAGAAAGATCCGAGTCGGAGGGCAGCACTGACCGGCCTGCAGAGTGGTCAGTGGCTCTGACTCCTCGCTGAACTCGCTGTCCCCAATGTCATTGGTCGCCTTCACGCGGAACTTGTAGGACGTGAAGGGCTTGAGCCTATGGGCACGATCGGGTTCAATGAGCAGGGGTATCCCCTAATGCCTCACCCCACCACCTCTGCCTGGGAAAGGTGGGGGCAGAGTGTGCTGACCCGTTACACAGATGGGAACACCAAGGCTCAACAAGGTATGTTCCAGAGGGCACACGGGGCCCAGGCCCTCTGGGTCCTGATGCCTGTCTGGGTGTGGCCCCACCTTCAGCCCCCAGGTGGCCCTGTCTACAGGTCTCCCGCCTCACAGGGGCGAGCTGCTATGAGAGCACGGATAACTCTCCCTCTGAGCAAACGCCTCCCCCCAGAAATGCCACCCCTTTCTAGAATTTAGTAAACTTAGGAAGGGTCCCGGTTCTCAAGAGTCAACCACCACTTCACCTCTATAAGCCTTGTTCCTCTCCAGGCAAACGTCTTCCCTTTTGATTTGTTGGGGGTGGGGGGTGAGGAGGAAAGTATTACTCAAAACTCTCGGTCACGTCAACCGGAATATAAAAAAAGATGACCCTCTAGGAATTAAACTGAAGCCAGAATTTCGGAGCAAGCTCCGCTCCCCTGTTCCAGACGGAGAGGGAGATGCCGTCTGGCTGGGAGGGACTGCTAGTGAGGAAGGGCAAGCGCCTCGCTGCGGGGGCCTCCAGGCTCCAGAAATAGATAATCAAGAGGCAGCCCTCACAGGGCTCCGGAGAGCAGGGAGGGAGGTTAGGACAGAGCCGGAGGCGGGGGTCCGGGGGTGGGCAGGCTCCAGGAGCGTGCTCCAGAGCCCCCCCGCGCCCCCCGGCCCCGGCCCCCCAAACCGGGAGCCCCATTGGTGCTGCCTGGGCTGGCAGGGCTGGGGCGGAGCTGCTGGCGGCCCGGGCCTCACCTGTCCACCACCCGGGCCTCACCTGTCCACCACCCGGGCCTCACCTGTCCACCACGAAGGCAGACGCGTTGTGGCTCACGGAGGCCGAGTGCAGCGCCCACCGGCCGCTGGGCAGCTCGCGGGTCTGGACCGTGTAGTAGCGCACGGGGGACAGGCCATCGCTTCCCGGCTCCCAACACAGTAGCACGCTGCGAGCCTTCACGTCCTCCTGCTGCACCACCGGCTTGCTGGGGGGCTGGGGGCGGTCTGGGAGGTGGCGGAGGGGGACAGGAGCAGGGAAGTCAGCCGGGAAGGGGGTGGGGGTGAGCTTTTTCAAGGAAGAGAAGGAGATGCTCTGGGCTCAGGCCTGATGCCCGCGGCCCCATCCCCTCTCTGTGCACACAGGTCCCGACAGCGAGCACCCGTGGCTCCGTGGCTCCTGGTCCACGACCTGTGCTCAGGCCATTAGAGGCCCAGGTACCTGGGAACTTAGATCTCCCGCGGGCAGCCCGACCAGGGACCGGCAGGGAGGAGGTCCGAACACCCGGCTCCTTTGTCCCCCGCCTGCCCCAGCGCTGAGATGGGGCCTGCGCCGTCCCTGCTTGAGTGGGATGGAGCCCACGCTTCCCTCGGTGGGGCTCTGCCGGATGCCCTGCCCACGCCTGGCCTCCTTCTCGCTGCCCCAGGCCCTCCTGCAGGAGTTCTCAGCCTCAGCACTCCGGCACTTGGGGCGGCCGATTCCGTGTTATGGGGCCGTCCTACGTGCTGTAGGGTGTTAGCAGCATCCTGGCCTCCACCCCCTAGATGCCAGTCATAGCTCCCTCTTAGTTGCGACAACTCAAATGGGTCTCCAGACGCTGCCCAATGTTCCCCGGGGGGCGAAGCAGCTCCCGGTTGAGAACCGCTGTCCTACTGGTTTTTCCTGGGAACACTGTCTAACGAACCACTTTCATAGGAATCGGGGTGTCAGCCTGCTTCAGGGGAGCCCGACCTCCGGTGAGTCACCGGCTCAGGGCCACAGGCCCTTGGCACCCAGGGCTCCACGCTGCAGCCCCACCCACCACCCAAACGGACACCATCTTCACTGAGGGCAGGGGAGAAGGGAAGGAAGCTGGTCTCACCAACCCTCCCTCTTCGGAAAACCAGTAGCTGAGGCAAAGCAGGCTCCTTGGGAGGGGGACTCGCAGCCCAGCTTCTGGAAGTCCACTGGAGCCCTTGCTGACCCTGACCCCAGAGATCTCAGCCCACCTGCCACTCCAGGTCAGGGCAACGCGGCTCTTAACTGGCTGATTCCCAGGCACCTGCGAGGTCAGGTGGGGGCACCTGCGTTGGCCGGGACCCCCGCCCCCGCCTCGGCTGCCCCCAGGCCTCCCCAGCCCCAGTGGGCAGTCACCTCTCTTCTCGGTGGTCACCACCAGGGCCTCGGCGGCCTCTCCCCAGCCCTTGCGGGTCTGGGCCGTGATGCGGAACAGGTAGACGGACTCCGGCTTGAGGCCGGTCACGGTGTACTGGCGGGTGCTGGGTGTCAGCACCTCCACGGTGGCCGTGTTGGCCGTGGTGGCGTTGAGCCGGTGTGTGACCTGGTAGGCTGCGGGAAGGAAGGACATGGGCTGTGCTGGGGGGCAGGGCAGTTGCCCTCGGTGCCCGGGGAAAGGGTTGAATCCTTCCCGGGCCACCGCAGTGTCTGCACTTGAGCTCCCCTGGCTGTGGTTCGTCAGCTTAGAGCCCTCTTGGTCATTCTTGTGTCCTCAGCTGCCACGTGGGGAGTGTGGCTGTGGGGGGCACTCCCTCCATGGGGGTCACAGAGTCCGTGACCCCCATGGCAGCCTCAGGTGAGGGGGACAGGGGCTCAGAGGGGCCAGAGCACCTGCTAGGAAGTGCCTGAGCTGGAATCCCAGCCCGTCTGTCTAAGTCCAAGGCGCCGGCCCCTCCCGGCCTCCACTCTGCCTTCTGAGGAGCGGCCTTCCTCTGGGGCAGGCACTGCGGGCTGCCAGCTCTGAGAGCCCGCACTAGGCACAGGGAGTGCCCGCCACGGTTTCACGGGTGAGGGGGCTGAGGCTGTGAGAGAGCCCGCTTGCTCCAGTTCAACCCCGTGAGCCTTCCCCCGAGGGGCTGCGTGTGTGCATGCGTGTCTATGCGTGTGTTAGGGGAGGATCCTTGAATGTGAAATGGTGCTTCTTGAGGAGATGTGGACACTTCCTGGGCCCAGTCTCCCTCTGGCCTCCTCCTCCTACCTGCAGCCTCCGGGCACCGGAGAGGGTAGAGGCTTACCAAGAATGATGCCGTTGGGGGCGGTGGGGGGCTGCCAGATCAGTCGCACGGACGTGGTCCTCACCTCTGGGAACAGGATGCCCATGGGCGGCCCCGGGACTGCAGGGGACAAAGGAGAAGCAGGTGGCCGCCCAGCTACTGCTCAGCCCCAGCCCCACCCCAGGTCCGGCTCCGGGAGAGCACGCAGGCAGGCTGCGGGGAAGGGCACACTGAGCTCAGTGATCTGTGGAGTGCGGCTCTGTGCCTGATGCTGCGATCCAACACGGGACACAAAGATGCTATCAGGGAGGTTTCTGTCCTCAAAAAAAGGGCATTATTTGGCAGGAACCAGAAGGGACCAGGCTCCAGTTCCTTTGGCTCAGTGTCCATGTCCGTGTGCACATATACGTACATGCAGGGCTGCCCTCAGAACTGGGCAACGGGGCCTTGTCCTGGGTCTGTGCTTTAGAAGGCACCACTCTGACTTCCTTCCACCCATAGGGTGAGGTGGCCACAGGGCCCACCCTGAGCCTGAAACACTCCTTTTCCAGGGTCTGCATGGGCCAGTTCCCCAGGCCCACCCTCCAGACTTGCACGTCCGGACTGAGGGATGGCCGGGGCGGTGGTGGTGGTGGTGGGGCAGCTGTTTGGGGTATGTGGACGGAGACTGAGTACCATGTGTCAGGGGAGAGAAGGGGAAGGGAACAGGGCAGAGGGGAGGATGGCTGGGGGTGGGCAACACTTCCCGTGCGGCCTCATCCCAACAGATAATCCCCCAAAGTCTGAGATTTCTAGACTTGAACTTGGCCTTCCAGGTCAAGGCAAGAGGGTCAAACATACTGAATTTAACAGATCAATTGCTTGATTTATAACTTTAGAATACATGGACACACGGTGTTTATGCTTCCTTTTGCACTCTTGTCTGGACCCCAGCAATGTTTGTGGTGGGCAGTCAGAGTACGCGTGTGGGGAGAGGGGAGGGAGCCAAGGACCTGTCGGTCAGCCTTTGACGGAAAGTTCTGCTGCAGGGATGAATGCCTGGAGCCCTGCTGGCATCGCTCTTTTGCAAATGGGACCAGGAGGCTCATGCCCAGGAAAAAGCAAGCCTCTTCCTTGCACAGACCTTTACTCCAAGTGCACCTGCCCCAGGCAAAACCCAAATCAAAATGGGTGCCAAGTCTCTATTCTGTGCACTTGTCCCAGAGAGTGCACAAGAGACTGAATCCGATGTCAAACTGTCCTTGCCTTCCACTTCTTCCTCAGGGACGCACAGTCTGGGTTGTGTATCCCCTCGCAGTGGGTTGGTGGCCCTCGGTGACCTGTCCCCCACAGGAGAAGCCTGACGCCACGGTTCCCTTTGGGGCAAAGTGCGAGCCCGGAGGGGCAGGGCCGGGCAGGCAGGAGGGAGGGGAGCTCCCAGCCTCTTCAGGCGCGCAGGGATTCAAACTCACCATCATCCAGCGTCCGCTCCAGGATGGGAGGGTGGCTGGGGCTGCCATCCCCGATGCGCGTGAAGGCTAGCACCTGGACCTCATAGAGCACGTATTTGCCCAACCCTGTGAGCTGGGCACTGCGTGACGAGTTCCCCTCCACCAGCCAGAACCGGGGCTGGGAATCCGAGTCCTTCTCCTTATACATCACCTGCCAGAGCACAGTGCAGGGGGTGAGGGCCTGGGGTCTGGGTCCTGCGTGCCAGCACCTTCCCCACGTCTCATCCCCGGAGCGAGGCAGGCGGGATAGAGCTGCTGGACCCTGGGCTCCTTGGAGTGGCTCCCTGCACAGAGCTTTACTCAAAGTGAACCTGAGGGGCATGGGATACGGTGGAGCTTGGGCTCTGGGAGAGCAGGGGACACAAAGATGCACCGGGCCAGGGAGCTGGAAGGTTCCTTAGAGAGCATTCAGCTAGGAAAACAGGCCCAGAGAAGGGGCATGACTGGCACGAGGTCACACAGCCAGTAATGGGGGGGCACGGACATCAAGCCACGTCTCCCAACCTGTGGGCCAAGGCTGAACCCTGCGGTTAGGCGCAGCTTTGGGAGCAGTTCTGGAAGATGATGGGAACTGGGCCCGTGGGCTGAGCGAGGCTGGGGCAGCCAGTGGGGCCTCCTGGGGGCTTCCCCAAGGACCTGGGCCCCCCTGGAAGCCTCCAGCCCTGAGGGAGGACTCCTTGGTTGCCGTGCCACCCAGAGCAGAGACGCCGGGAGCTCTTGGGCATCCATTCCAGAAGGCGGAGACATGGGCCCCAGGGGTCATGAGGACAAGGCACCTTGGATGGGGACGCGGGCGACCTTGGAGCCAGGACTCACCTTGTAGCCCAGCACGAGCCCATTGCGGTCGGCCTCAGGGATCTCGTCCCAGCGCACTAGCATGCTGCTGGAGGTCGTGGCCAGTGCAGACACGTTGGTGGGGCCAGAGGACGGCACTGAGGGGGAGAGGGAGCAGAGAGGAGGAGCTTAGGACCCAGTCGGCCCTACAGAGGAAGGGGGTGTGACACCCTGTCCCCAGCAGCAGATTATCCTGCAGTGATTCCTGGTGGCTCTGGAACATCGCAGATGCTGCTTCTGGTTTCAGAGGAGCCTCCCCGTTATCCTCTGCTTGGGCCAATGGGAGGATGAATCCCCCTTTCCTGTCTGTGCAGCAGTGAGGGCTGGGGAGGGGCCGGGATGGGAGGGGACCTCCTTCAAAAGGGGCCAGGAAAAAGCCTCAGAGTGGTGAACCACATGTGGATGCACGAGGGCTGCCTGAAGGCTGGGGGCTCATGTTCTGTGGGTGACCCCTTGCCAGGGTCCCGTGAGCTGCTGGTTCTGCTTCTGGAATGTTCTGAGAACTGATCCAACCTCCTCATCTCCGGTTCTTTTAGGCACTACTGGGTATCAGGGTTAAAGGTGAGGGCACAGAGACATGGGCAGTTTGTAGGGAAAGACCTCCTGGCTAACCTGCAGGGGTGGGGATCCCCCCAACCCCCCGATTTTGGGAGCAGTGGGAATACGCTGGGGGACACGGCAACAAGGTCGGGCACTCTGCCGGGATGTTGAGCATGAGCGGGAAAGTGAGTCTGGGCTTATTCTGAACAATGGCTCCAGCCTTTGTACCCTTGGAAGGCTGTGAGGGCAGAGAGACCAAGGTGGGGGGGGGGGTCCCCGCCACAGGCTGCGGGGCCCGGGGGGGGCTGGTACAAGGGCCACAGTACCTGACTCCCGGGTCCTGCCCGTCACCATCTGGCTCCAGGGCCCGCTCCCGATGGCGTTGAAGGCCTGGACCTGGACGTGGTACTCTGTCCACTCCTCCAGGTCTTCGATGGTGTAGTCACGCTCCACGCGGTCCTGGACCACGTGGCTCAGCGTCTTGCCGTGGCCGTCTGCCCGGCTGTATTTGATCTTGTAGCCCACCGACTCGGGGTTCCCGTTGTATTCCATCTCCGGGAGAGGCTGCAGGAAGGTGGGGGTGGCAGAGCGGCTGTGAGGCCAGGCCTACCCCGTGCGGGGGACTATCTGGCTTGTGCACCCTCTTCCAGGGAGCCCTACAGGATTATCATACCCACCGTCCAAGCTGTCCGTGCCCATGTGAGGTGCTCTCGCCAGGTGGGGCTTAGAATGTGTGAGTCTATATTTCTGGAGGCTTCCCCCCCACTGCCCCATCTCCTCTCTGTCTGTGCCAAGCTCCCAGGAGAGATGGCATCCATTCTCGCACACGGGGCAAACTCAGTACCCGGCCGGGGCACTGAGACTGGAGAGGAGACCCACAAACCTGTCTGTCCAACAGGCAGATGAGCACAGCACCCCTGGCCTCGGCTGTCTCTACCACTTAACTCCCTCGCTTAGGCTGCCAACACACACTTAATTGCCTCTAACATGCCTGCTCCCAGCTCACGCCCGCCGCCCTTGGAGAAGCAAGTGTCTCGGGCATGGATGGAGTGAGTACCAGTCACTGGCAGCAGTCCTTCCAGCAGGAGGCCTGAATCTCTCCTGCCACATGTTCAGCCGCCTCCTTCTGGGGAGTTTCAGCCGACAGAAAAGACAGATCCCTTTCCTAGGCGGCTGGGGCTGTGGCTGCTGGCTCAAGGTCATTTGGATGAACCTGGGCAGTGTTGGTAAGCAGTGGGGGTGTGTGCATGTTGGGGGGACCTGTGATCCGGAGTAGGTGTGAGCTGAGGACTCCGCCTTAGGATTCTCTCCAAAGAAGAGGCACCCTGGGCCCTCACCTCCCTGCCGTTCTGCGTCCCCGGGCACGGTTCACAGGCTCCTCACATTCTGACCCACTTCCTCCCGTTCCTCGGCCTCTGCCTCACTCCCTGCATACTCACTGCCTCCTGTTAGCTCAGACACTTAGTGAAGCCGACCAGAGACCATTAAGACAGTTAATCAATGGGCCCGGAGTGCACGCTTCCTTACCTGCTAGGGAAAGGTAACAGGCCGTGCACCATTACGCGGGACTGGAGGTGCCTGGGGCCCTGTGCGGTGCATCAATTGCCTTTTTATTCCTCCTCCAGCCCCCCTGGGCATCAGTCAGTCTCTAGTCTTTTAGTGTTTGGAAACCTTAAAGTGAGCTACAGGAGGAAGGCAGGGAGCCGGCCCGGAGGGGGCCAGAGCTTAGGCAGGAAGGGGCCAAGCGAGCAGTAACTGGGGCTGCACACGCCCTGGGGGGGGGGGGGCCTGCCCATGGGGCGTGGGGCCCCTGAGCTGGAGGGAAAGACAGCTCTGCTCAGTGCCGGTCCCCTGGGAGGGGACTCATAATCACGAACTACCGTATGTCCATGAGCTCCTTCTACCAGGCATCCAGCTAAATGAAAGGGGGAAAGGGCTTTCCAGTCAATCCCACAGCATGGTGTTTTGCAAATTGTGTTTTGTGCAAGTAGTAAGAGGTCTCACGTGGAAACAAAACCAAGTCGCGCATGGCCAGACCGGCCAGTGAAGCGGGGTCAGGCAGGCTCTTCCCAGCACTAAGGAGAGGAGCCAGGCTGCGGGGTGCTGTCCCCCACATTCGTTTGTCTCAGAAGTCCTGTACGCGCCTAGCTCCTCTTGGATGGCTGCTGTGTGGAGCAGTAGTCGGGAAAACACTGTCCTGGGGGGAACGGCATCAGGCAGACACATTTTCTCCCGATCCCCGGAAGATGGGGCTGCAGTGTGCTCCGTGGTTAGGGCTGTGGATTCTGGGGGAATAGACTCCCCGGGTTGGGAAACCCAGCCCTGCTGTTAACTAGAGGATGTTGGCAGGGGCGGGTGGGTGGGATTTGGGCCAGTGATTTGACCGCTTTCTGCCTCAGTTTCCCCATCTGTAAAGTAGGGATCAGGATCACTCTGCTGTCACAAGCCTGTGGAGAGGGTTCTGGGCCTTACCTGGGGTAATGGCCCTTGACATGCAACCCTGACCTGGAGGGGTGGTCTCCCGCACCTGCCCCACAACCTCAGAAACAACCCTTCACTCTCTGACTTGGTGCAAGGGATGACTTACATCTGAACCCCAGGCCCGCCACTTGGGAGCTGTGTGGACATGGGCGAGTTCCTAACTTCTCTGATCCTCAGTTTCCTTAGCTGTAAATTGGGGTCGCAATGTGCCCTTTGCAGGATGACCGGGAGGATTAAATGGAAGAAAACATGTAAAATGCTTGGCACCTGGCAATGCTCACTAAACAGCGTTTTCTAGTTCCTTCTTACAGAAGGCATTTGTTCATTTGGCTAAGATGAATTATCAGGCACCTTAAAGGTGCTAGGTGTAAGGAAAAGAGAAGGGAGCTGTGGGTATTCTGGTGACCCCCCTCCTTGATGTGGCCCTCTCGGAGGCAATGACCGTGGTAGGGTGACAAGGACCAAGGAGCCATTCCACCCCCATTGCCCTCGTGGGAGCCTCACCATCCAGCGGAGCCACAGGCTGGTCTCACTGGCTGTGCGCAGGGTCACGTTGGCAGGGGCCATGTCAGGGGGTGCCTGGAGGGTCTGGATCTTTCTAGAAGGCTGGCTGGGTGGGCTGGTGCCCACGATGTTCACTTGGCGCATTCGGAAGCTGGAGTGGGGGAAGGGAGTGAGCAAGGTGATGAGGGCAGGACCCCAGGCCAATGCCCGTCTGGGTCTGGGCAGCCCCCCGCATTCTGCCCTGTTACCTGTAGTAGGTGAAGGGGTTGAGCTCGGGCACCTCCATGGAGCGGGCGTCGGGCTCGTTGGTGAGCTGGTGAACCAGAAGCCACTCCTCTCCCTCCCCAACCACGCCCACCTGGAAAAGGGAGACGCTCTTAGACCCGCTCAGCTTGTGGGGCTGAGATGTCCTGTGCCCCAGGTTCTCAGGGGTAAAGCCCTGCCCATGAAGATCTTGATTCCATCCTGGGGCTCACCTGGAGAGCCCCACATGGGGTCACCACCTTTCCAGGCCCTGAAAATGACTTCAAGCATGACCCCGAGCCGTCTTGCGTAGAATCTGGTGGAATGCTTGCTAGAAACCCATGCCAGGGCCCTGCCCTAGACCGAGCCCATCAGAATCCCTGGGGGTGGTACCCGGGAATCTGGCTATTTACCAAGCTCCCCAGGGGATTCTGAACACCCTGGCATGCTTCTCAAACCCCAGCTTCATCAGAATCTGAATTTCTGGGGGTGTGGCCCAGGTGTTGGAACTGATGGATGCTCCCCGGGGGCAGCCAAAGCAGACTCGCCACTTTAGGGGCTGTGGGCGGCAGCTGTGTATTTCTCCAGGCTGGCCAGTTCCTGCCCGACCCACGGGGACTGCTGTGTGTGTGTGTGTTTCCGCACGTGTGTGCATGTGCACACGTGTGTTCACGCGTGTGTGTATGCATGTGCGCGTGCATATGTGTGTCCATGCACGCACACAGTGGTCAGGTGAAGTGGAGGCAGAACTGGGAACGGTGGGCATTTTGGGGTATTTGGCCACATGACAGTTGCATATGAAAATCCCCACAGGTGTGAACACACGTATGGTTTGCTCTCAAGTGCGTGGCCGTGCGCCCATGTCTAGGAAGCAGGCTGCATGGGCTGCGGGCCCCCCCGGCAGCAGGGTTTACCTGAGCCTCCACCAGCCAGCGGGAGATGGAGGTTTTCCCATCATAGCCTGGCCTGAACTGCAAGGTCACGGAGCGGGGGCCGATGTTGGAAATGCCCAGGTTGGTGGGGGCCCCTGGGAGTTCTGGAAAACAGGATGGGAGAGGAGATCCGTTGAGGACAAGGTCCTCCTTCCACATAGACTAGGCCTCTGGGTGGGGGGCTATGTCACTCTTCTAGAAGTTTGGTAGGAGGAGCTGGGCTGAGGCTTCCGCCCTCCAACTCAGTCTTCTTCCTGCATCCACAGCTCTCTGTGTCCAGACCAGGGGCCTGAGGGGCAGGGTCGGGGGCTGGGAGGGCCTCCCAGGGCCACAGGGAGGTTGGAACAGGGAACAGGGGCTGGGCATGCAAGGGCTTCCCAAAAGAATCTTCCTCTCCGTCCACACACATAGCTCCTTTCAGCCCTCCCAAACCCAATCATGGCTGAGGAAGATCAGAAGGAGAGCTGGGGGGGGGGAGGGAGCCCCTAATTTCTGACCAGGAACCTTGGGATTCAGGATGAACAGAAAGAGTATAGAGTCTAGAAGTCGGACTGTCTTGAGCTGGAATCTAACCCCACTGTTTCCATGCTGTGTGTCTGTGGGCAAGTCACCTAACCTTTCTGTGCCACAGTGTCCTCCTTGGTCAAACGGTGACGGTAGTATCACCAACCTCAGGGTCGTTGTGAAGACTCACTGAATTGATGTAGATACAGCACTTAGCTTCAGGCACAAATATGTGTTGGTGTTATCAGCTGTGGTTGAGTCAGCTGGGGTGTCTCAGCCATCTCGGGAGCAGAGTGGGGGGCGCAGGTCAAGGGATTCTAGCTGGGTCCCGTAAGCATAGACTTATAGACCCAGCCAGGACCATGTGGTTGTCTAATCGACCTCCCATAGATACAGATGGGGAAACTGAGGCACAGAAGGGACACTTGACTTGCTTGAGGTTGCAGAGCTTGGCAGAAGCAGGGCTGAGAGTAGGTCTCAGCTTGCTCTTTATACCAGATTTAAGATGATTCCCACCTTACTCTACCCTTTCCCAACCAACACTTCCACTGGCTGGAATCCCATTTGGACTTTCTGGGAGACAGTGAGAATTCTTCCCCTGAATCAGAGATACTATTGCTCGATGCAGAACCTGGTGTGGCATGGGGGTGGATGAGACGGGGGCGGGGGAGAGTCCTCTGGGGGACTCTGCTTTTCTGAGAGCCATGGGAGGAGGCAGCAGTGGGTCCACTGAGCCTCCAAACAGAGACCTGGGATTATGAGACGTAAGCCTGCTCTGGGGGAAGCTCAAGGGACCATGGACCCAAGGCAGGGGAGAGCTCGGGGGGGAAGAAAGCCAGTATTCCTGAGAAAAAGGTAAGCTTCTTGGTCAGGAGGAAGACCACAAGAGGCCAGGAGTCTTGCCCTGCGAGTGGGCACCCACCTGGAGGCACGCCGGAGGAGATGGTTGACGCGGACACCTGGCCCTGGCCCTTGGCGGTCATGGCGGCCACCTCGATGGTGTAGGTGGTAAGCGCAGTGAGGCCCGTGACGCGGTACTCCAGGGTCACGTTGGGCAGGTAGTGGGTCACGCGGGTGTTGGTTCGGTTATACTCCTCCCAGGAGATCCGGTACCCTGGGGGGAGCCCCCAGTTGTGCATGAGCTTAGCTGTGACCAAATGCTGGCTTTGGCCCTTCTGTTCTGCTTCTCCCTTTTTCACTAGTCTGGGTTGGGAGCAATGGGGCCGAGGGAGCTGGGAACCTCGTGCCTGGGGCCCCAGGTATAACTTGGGTGGGATGCCCCTGTTGGGTGGGGACTGTAGGAGGGAGCAAGTCATTATGGTGGGTGCTTGAGGCCTGTGGTGGAGGACCTGGGATGTGCTACAGAGCAGAGGGGCTGAGAACCTCCTCTGAGTATGTTCTAAGAAAGAGTGGCCTGCTGGGAGGCTTTGGATGAACATCAGTCAACAGGATGGACTGGACGACCCTGTCTCGCCCCCGGGCTCAGGAACGCCCACCCATCACCCTTACCTGTGAGGATGCCATTCTTCTCTCCTGGCTCTTGCCAGCTGACCTTCAGCGAGGTGTCCAGGATTTCACTGAAGCTCAGGTGTCCCACAGGACCAGGCACTGTACCCCAAAAGGGCCCCCACCCCACCCAATGCATGTTAGAGCCAGAGAGAGACCACTGTCTGCAAGACAGCCCGCGGTGCTCCAGGGGCACCCCAGGATGGGAGACAAGGCTGGGATCGCCCCATATCTGGAACGCTCAGTCTGGCTCTTGGGTGGGTGGGTGGTGAGGGGGGCAGGGATGGCAGGGGCTGGGTGGTGCCTACCATCCTCATGGGTGCGCACCAGCTGGGGGGTGCTTCGAGGCCCATCGCCAGGAGTGGTGAAGCACAGCACGGAGGTGAAGTACTCGGTGAACTTCTTCAGGCCGGACACGAAGCCCACGTGGATGCTGTCTTGAAAGTTGGGCCGGGCAGTCACCATGGTAACCTCCTCTTCCTGCTCTGGCTCCCAGGCAATCAGCTGGGGAGAGGCCAGCAATTCAGGCAGGGCAGCAAGAATGTTCCAGAAGAGGCCGAGCGCTCTCCCACAGTCTGGGCCAACGGACAGAGAGCGTCTAGGAGCCCAGCTCCCTAGGGTCCCTCCTCCTAGGAAAGGGATGGGTGCACGCACACCTCCAAGCCACGAGCGTCCGTCCTAGGTGTTCCCTTTGGTGTGCTGGCTGTTCATTGAGCAACTTACTGAGAGCGAGGCACCGGGCTCATTGTGCTCCATGAGGGGTCTCTCACCAGGGAGGTTTTCTACCAAGATTGGCTGCATAATTTGCAGGTTCAGTGCAAAATGAAAATGGAGGGTCCCCTTGTTCAAAAATTTTTAAGAAATGCAAGGTGACGGCAGCCGAGCATTGAACGGAACGGGGTGGTGGTGGTGGTGCTGGTTGGGGGGGTCCCTCTGAGCGCAGAGCCCGCCCTGTGTGTTACAGATGAGGACCCAGGCTCAGAGAGGCTCAGCGACTCCCACTATCCACACAGCTAGTGCGAAGCTGAGGGGCTCCTACAGCTTTCTCTGTCTAGGCTGGGCAGGGTCTCCCTCGGAGTTTCCCCTTAGAGCTGCCACTCCCGCTAGACTTTTCAACTTGTTCCAAGCTGGGATTTCAGTCTGTGACCCAACCTGGAGGCAGGGTGTCGGCGAGAAGAGCCCGTCTGGAAACGCAGCAGGGCTTTCCTGACTTCCGCTCTGCACCTGTAACCCACGCCCTTCCTGCCTCCCCTTCCTTCTCTCCTTGCCTCTTGATCTGTCACCCCACACTCCTGCTTTCTGGGCCCTTCATCTGTCTCCGACAATGACAGCTGGTCTCAGAGACTTCCTCGTTCATTTGAAGTTGATTAACTAGCAATTAATGGTGAAAAGCAACACTTGATGAGTTTTAATAAGTACGGGTATTTATAGATATAAAACAATAGCATGCTGATGTCTCCTGATTAACTCGCCCCTATAACAATGCTTCATCTTCTCCTTTTCGGAGCTGTGTGTTTATAAAGGATGTTTGGAGATTTAATTGGTATTGTGAAAAGATAGCCTATAGCAAGTTAATTAGACACTAATTAGACCCTAAAAATACTAATCAGAAATACTAAGTGGCATTTAATAAGTATGTTAAATATTCTCCTTATTTTGGTTATCTTGTTTCAGAGCAATTAAATTGCTGAACTTCTTTGGAATAGATAAAGAAACAAGTTTAATGTTTTAATTTAATTTAATTAATGTAAATTTGAATTAATTACGCCAATAGAAATAATTGTGTGGTGTGTTCCCCAGCAAGTGCAAAATCTGGGTAAATATTATTTTATTGGGGGGGCGCCTGGGTGGCTCAGTTGGTTGAGCGACTGCCTTCGGCTCAGGTCATGATCCTGGAGTCCCGGGATCGAGTCCCGCATCGGGCTCCCTGCTCGGCGGGGAGTCTGCTTCTCCCTCTAACCCTCTCCCCTCTCATGTACTCTCTCTCTCTCTCTCATTCTCGCTCTCTCAAATAAATAAATAAATCTTTAAAAAAATATATTATTTTATTGGGTTTAGGCCAATTATAATCACTACCATTATTGTAGGAATAAAGGACAAAGAATATCTTTACAGGTGCCCTAAAAGAATATCACTGGCAATTGGCTTCAAAAATGACCCAGAAGGGGCACCTGGGTGGCTCAGTCGTTAAGCGTCTACCTTCGGCTCAGGTCATGATCCTGGAGTCCCGGGATCGAGTCCCACATCGGGCTCCCTGCTCAGCAGGGGGTCTGCTTCTCCCTCTGCCCTCTTCCCTCTCATGCTCTCTGTCTCTCATTCTCTCTCTCTCAAATAAATAAATAAAATCTTAAAAAAAAAAAGATTTTAAAAAAGGGGCGCCTGGGTGGCTCAGTCGGTTAAGCGTCTGCCTTCGGCTCAGGTCATGATCCCAGGGTCCTGGGATCGAGCCCCGCATCGGGCTCCCTGCTCGGCGGGAAGCCTGCTTCTCCCTCTCCCACTCCCCCTGCCTGTGTTCCTGCTCTTGCTATCTCTCTGTCAAATAAATAAGTGAAATCTTTAAAAAAGAAAAAAAGAAGCAAGATGGAGAAAGTGTATAGAGTGGGCTGTCATTTATGGAAGAAGGGGACGACACACATTTATATACGTTTGCATTTGCTTATATTAAAGAAATGAAAGGAAAAAAAACAAACCAAGCAAACAAAAAGAAACCGGGCGCCTGGGTAGCTCAGTCGTTAAGCGTCTGCCTTCGGCTCAGGTCATGATCCCAGGGTCCTGGGATCGAGCCCCGCATCGGGCTCCCTGCTCGGTGGGGAGCCTGCTTCTCCCTCTCCCGCTCCCCCTGCTTGTGTTCCCTCTCTCACTGTGTCTCTCTTTGTCAAATAAATAAATAAATAATCTTTTTTTTTTTTTAAGATTTTATTTATTTACTTGAGACAGAGAGCATGAGAGGGAAGAGGGCCAGAGGGAGAAGCAGACCCCCCGCTGAACAGGGAGCCCGATGCGGGACTCGATCCCGGGACTCCAGGATCATGACCTGAGCCGAAGGCAATCGCTTAACCAACTGAGCCACCCAGGCGCCCAATAAAAAAATCTTAAAAAAAAAAAAAAAGACCCAGAAGTGCACAGGGCTGTGGTTTTCTGCGTAACGACTTTGTCTTACGGCTCCAAGCCTACGATGGCAGCAGGATTGAGGTAGCTTCAAAGTATTTACTCTGGGATGTCATCCACTTGTCATTCTCTAGCTGCGTCTAAAGAGGAGGAAGCTTAGGGTTCAGAGCTTTCTCCCCCAGGCCAGGAAGACTACAGACTTGCCTTCTGCACCTTCCGTTCCCTGAAAGGAGGTGGGCTCTGGGCAGGCCTGGGATAGAATCTGTGCTTGAGTGAATGCACCCCAGGGCTGCCGTCTGATGTGCTCGTGCTCTGCGTCGGGCACTGGGGTGAGCCCGTCGCTGAGCAGTCCCACTGCATGATCATAGTGAGGACTGGATGTGGGCATCACTGCCCTATGCTGTTGCAGGAAGGGAACGGAGGACCACAAAGGTTGAAGCCTGGCTGGTGCACATGGGCCTGCCAGGGGCTGGCTTCAGATCTGTGGACCCCCCCTCTGCCCCGCAGATCCTGGATGAAGGCCTCTGCCCCCCGAGGTACACACAGCTGCTAGGTGAGCATCGGAGTTTCTCTCTGCTGTCTGCATGCCTGCTCTCGTTAGCCAGGCTCAGCACTGATTTACTCTATCAGGCCCTCAGTCTCAGAGTCTAAGCAGACTGGGCCGGTGTGAGCATGGTTGGGGGATGCGGGTGCCTGTGGGCTTGAGGAGCAGCGCCAGATCGAGGTTCCTGGGCCAGGCAACTCTGCCTTGGAAAGCAGAGGAGAGGAAGAAGAACAGAACCCAGCTCTGCTCCTTGCTATGTGACCCTGGGAAAGTCACTCAGCCTCTCTGAGCCTCAGGCTATTATAGGGGACAGTGATGGCTGCCTTGCTGGCTGCCAGGAGGAGGGATGAAGTGACGTGCCTTTTGTTTCTGGAGGGGGCAGTGTGTTATGGGGATGAGAGGGTGGGGGGTATACACAGCCTGCTAGCTGCTGGAGTTAACAAAAAATAGAGGAAATTCCCTCTTTCCTTCTCCTTTTGTCTTTCCCTCTCTCCCTGTCTATCTCTTTGCATGTGTACGGATTCACATAGAACATTCTGGAAGGATATGCAGGACATTAACAACAGTGGTTACCAGGAGTGGGGAGAGTTTCGGGGTTGGGTGGGTGGGACAGAACCAGGCAGATAAGGAACTGGAGTGGGATGATTTCTGCTACACGTTTATCTTTTTACTTTCATTGGTTTTTGAATCATGTAAATACGTTTCCTGTTAAAAAATTAAATTAAAAGACCTTAAAAATAATGGAAGGATTTGGCAGTAGTAGGAAAATTATATATACATTTATCCGTTGATCCAGCAATCTCCTTTCTACGAATCTATTCTAGAGTGAAATGTGAAAAATATGAAAAAATATATGCACAAAGCTATTCACTGTAGAAATGTTTATTATAGTAAAAGGCTGGAAACAACCCAAATGTCATCGCTGGGAAGCTGACTGACCAAACTATGGGAAAGCCACATAATGGAGTCCAGTATAGATGTCAAAAAGGGAACCGGGAATCTCTATATTCCTATGGAGTGATCCCCAGGATATAATGCAAATAAAGAAGCAAGATGGAGAGGGGCGCCTGGGTGGCTCAGTCGGTTAAGCGTCTGCCTTCAGCTCAGGTCATGATCCCAGGGTCCTGGGATCGAGCCCCACATCGGGCTCCCTGCTCAGCGGGAAGCCTGCTCCTCCCTCTCCCACTCCCCCTGCCTGTGTTCCTGCTCTCGCTATCTCTCTGTCAAATAAATAAGTGAAATCTTTAAAAAAGAAAAAAAGAAGAAGCAAGATGGAGAAAGTGTATAGAGTGGGTTGTCATTTATGGAAGAAGGGGACGACACACATTTATATACGTTTGCATTTGCTTATATTAAAGAAATGAAAGGAAAAAACCAAACCAAGCAAACAAAAAGAAACCGGGCGCCTGGGTGGCTCAGATGGTTAAGTGTCTGCCTTCAGCTCAGGTCATGATCCCAGGGTCCTGGGATCGAGTCCCGCATCGGGCTCTCTGCTCCTTGGGAGCCTGCTTCTCCCTCTGCCTCTCTCTCTCTCTCTCTCTGTCTTTCATGAATAAATAAATAAAATATTTAAAAAACAAAAAAAACAAAAAAAACCAAAAAGAAACCAAACCTACGGGGGAGGGAAAGGACCAGAATTCAGGCTGATTTTCTGTGAATTTACTTTGTATGTTTAATTTGGAACCATGTAAATATGTTCCATAATTATAGAACAAAATTAAATTAAAAAATCAATCCCTAAAATTCAAAACCAAAATGAAAGAAATGAACCTAATGGTGGATTGAGCTGTAGCAAACTTACACAGAGAGAAACTATTTCAAGAGACTTTGTAGCCCAGCCAGGGGGAGGACATCCGTCGTGGGGATACACCCTAGGAACGGAAAGCCCTGTAAATAATCTGACACGATCTTCGGTTGTCACCGTGGTGGGATGACTGTTCTGAAACTGTTGTGGGTGTTTTTGGGATAAAGGAAGCAGGTGATTACATTGGTGTTGTAGGAACTGGATTTTCAGTATGGAGAAAAGAGAGACAAAAGACCAATAAGATGATTAAAGAGCTTATAGCCCTGAAATTGAGTTGGAAGAATCCCTATGTGTCTTACCTGAAAAGAAGGAGAAGGAGAAGGAGAAGCATTTATGAGCTGTCCATTAACAGAGCCCAGAAACAGCCTCCAGTGCTGGTATAAGGAGCACCCCCTGTGCCTGGATTGCAGTGTCCAATTATTATTTCCGACTGAAAAGAACAAGATTCCCTGAAGACATGGCTGATCCCAGGGACGGCGCAGGAACTGGTCACAGCTTGGACCATCCTGTCAGACTATAAGGAAGCTATCGGCCTACAGGGGCCCTGTCAAAAGGACTCAGCAACCAAAGAGGCCAACGATGGGTCAATCTGACATCAACACGAATAATAACAGCCATGGGTTGAAACATACCAGATGAGTTAAAAATCCTCGAGTACATAATAATACATCAAGAATAAAACAAAAAGATGTCCCCCCTCCCCCACCCAAACTCATCTGTCACTTTAGAAGATGCTAAGGAATGACATTCATTACTCTGAAAATTGGTAAGTGATGGAAAAGGACTGAGTTTTGACCATGCTTTTCCTAGACGAAATGAACCTTCAGGTAACCAAAGAGTTGGTAAGGGGGAAATTCTTTTTATTGGAAAACGTTTCTGCTAATACACCAAGGAGAAATTATAATATTTGACTGTCCCCATTTTGCAACCCTATTGAAATAATAGATCACACAGGGTGGTCAATGGTCACCACACGATAGTAAGAGAGACAGCCAGACTTTATGCTTTCTGATGTAAATGCACAGCACCATCTAGGAAATAATATTTGGGAAAAAACCACAAAATCATCAAACCTGAATCTGATCAAGGCTCTAGTTCTAAGTTCCAATTTACTGCGAATATAGCATTCAGAGGCATGTGTTAAATGACCCCACAGAGAGGCAATCAGCAAAATCTAGGCTGTGGAAAATTCTATAGGGCAAATGATTAAGTTTCTTGACTCAATAAATTACAAGAAAGAGAGGGGCGCCTGGGTGGCTCAGATGGTTAAGCGTCTGCCTTCGGCTCAGGTCATGATCCCAGGGTCCTGGGATAGAGCCCCGCATCGAGCTCCCTGCTTGGCGGGGAGTCTGCTTCTCCCTCTCCCTCTACTGTTCCCCCTGCTTGTGCTCTCTCACTCTCTGTATCAAATAAAATCTTTAAAAAAAAAATTACAAGAAAGAGAGAGAGAGAAAGGAGGGAGGGAGGGAGGGAGAGAGAGAGAGAATCTATAGATCAGCTGAGACCTAAAAAATACCCAATCAATTGCAGTCGTGTGGACTTCATTGGGATCCTGAAGCAAATAAAACAACTAGTCAAAGAAATGTGAGTGCTGACTGCATATCTGATGACATCAAGGGGGCTGATGATATTTTTAGGCACGATGATGACAGTGTGGGTACTGTGGCTGTGTTTGAAACAGAGGCTTTACAATACTTCTTGGCAGAAGTATTTACAGATGAAATGATACGATGGCCTGGGATTTGCTCAACAATATTCGAGGGCAGAGTCAGAGGGTTGGGGAATGGAACACATTTGGCCATGAGCTGGTAATTGTTGAAGCTGGGATACATTAGGTCTTCTAAAGTTATTATTGTTTTCGCTCTACTTTGGTAGATGTTTGAAAATTTTTAACAATTACAAGGGGGTGGGGGGTCCATTCTCATTGGAGGAACGCAAAGACCATGCACTGGTGTTTTCTCCCTGTGATGCTGAAGCCCAAAGCAGCAAGAAACAAAATCCCTGCTTGAATCCATTTGTACTTAGAAAAAAAAAATCAAGGCACAGTTATTATTTTACAGTTAAATCACAGGACACATTTTCTTTTTTTTAATGTTATCTATTTACCTATTTAGAGAGACAGAGACAGAAAGAGTGCGTGAGCAGGGGGAGGGACAGAGGAGAGGAAGAGAGAGAATCCTTTAAGCAGACTCCCTGCTGATCCCAAGACCCTGAGATCATGACCTGAGCCAAAATCAAGAGTACAACAATCAACCAACTGAGCCACCCAGGCGCCCGACGCATTTTCTTTTTAATGCAAGAAAAGGTGTAGACTCTGAAGTTTGAATCTGAGCTTTGCAGTTACTCTGACTTTGAACAAGTTACTTGCCTCTCGTGCCTCAGTTTCCTCCTCTGTGAAATGGGGTGAGGATAAAAGACTTCCTTCTTCTGGGAGAAGAATGTGAGTCAAGCCTCAGCCTCCTGCCAGGCTTGCACAGAGTGCCCTGCCAAGTGTGAAAGTGCCCTCCTGCGCTCAACATATCTGGGCAGTTCATCCCGTGGAGGTCTGCAGGGCAGCCACGGTGCTAGGCGCCAAGCAGACCTGGCAGTCAGGTGGACCTCTGCAGCCTCCTCCTGCTCTGTCTGGGTCGTTGCCCTGACGGTCCTGGCCACTTGGCCTGCCAGGAGCCATCTGCCTTAGAAGTCTGCAGCCCAGCCCCATCCTCCCCACCCCCAATTTGTGAAAGAAAACTCAGAATTGGCAGCAAGAAGCTAATTGTTCCCAGCTCAGCTCCTCTGCCTCTCAGAGCTATGCAAGCCTTGCCTTCCCTCCCCTGCCTCCCCCAGAGTCCCAATTAGGAGGCTTTTCTGGCCAGCCAGTCAGCTGCAGCCCCCTGCCCCAGAACAGCCCCGCTCGGCCTGGTGCCCTGCCTTCCTGGGAGCGAGAGGGCTGTGGCAGGGCCGTACCCAGCTCTAGACCGTCCCTCCTTTCTTTGCAACACCAGCAGAAAATTCTCCTGGTGATTTAATCTCAGTCCCTTTCTGCCCAAGCCTCCTCACCCCCACTCGCAGGAATAACGGCTAAGGCTGCGAGTCCTAGAAATCATCTCGCTTGTCCCGCACGTGCACACATGGACCAGAGCGAGAGCAGGAGCCTTCTGGAAGTGTCGGCGGTCATCACAAGGTCACCAGATCCCTGGGCTCAAAGCCAGAGCTTGTGGTGTTTCTCTCTCACGGCCTGCTTCCCCAGGGCACACCCCTCAATGCACTGCTTGCCCTCCCACATCTGGAGGGGGCCGACCGCATCCTCCCTCCTGCCCCAGCTGCACACCCCGCACGCTGTGCAATCTGTCTCCTGTTCTCTTAGGGGAGCTTGGCAGGGTGCTCCCTGTGGGGTGAGAGCAGAGACCCAGACATGGGAGGAAGGTCTGGGATCTCAGAGGGTATGGCTGGGAAGGCCTGACTTGCAGCGCGGTTACAACGATAGATTTACCACCGCCGCTGCCCCCGTTACCAATACCAGCAGCTGAACGACACCTGCTACTATTATTGCTATGCTAGTTGTCATGGACTGATCTGCGTCCCCCCTGCAAACTCACATGTTGAAGTCCTAACGCCCAGGGCCTCAGGATGTGACTGTATTTGGAAAGAGCGTCTTTAAAGAGGCAGTGAAGTTAAAATGAGGTCAGTAAGGTGGGCCGTAGTCCTGGCATGCTTAGAAGAGGAGATCGGGACGCGCGCAGAGGAGGGACCACGCGTGGGCACGGGGAGAAGGGGGCACCTGTGCACCAAGGATGGAGGCCTCGGAGGGAACCAGCCCTGCCCAAACCTGGATCTCAGACTGCCAGCCTCTGGGAGTGGGAGGAAATAGATTTTTGTTGCTGGAGGCGCCCAGACGGTGGCACCTGGTTAGGGCCGCCTGATCGGGCGAACGCATCCCTAACTCTGGCTACGATGGCTCACAGAGCACTTACGTGTCTATCACTGTGTTCAACGAGTTACGAACATTCTCTCATTTGATCCTCACGCAACCCTAAGGAATCGGCGTTCTTATTACCCTCACTCGCAAATGAGGGAATGGGAGTTTAGTCTGGTTTTCCGGCAGCTAGAACGGTACACACAGGAGGGCTCAATCAGCGTTTATCGAAGGAGCAAGGCTCAGACAGACTGTAGGACGTGTCCAGGGAGCCAGCGAGGGGCAGAACCAGAGCCAGGATTCAAACCCACATCTGTCAGGGTCCCAGTCCCGTGCCCTTAACCACACTCTCTGTGGGGTCAAGGGCAGCCCACGGACATGTGTGGTTCTAAAAGAGCCACAGCTTGGCAGGAAGAAGTGGGTTCTGGATTTTTCTGAGGCCACGGCTATGCCCAAGTATTCCTGAGCCTGAAACAAACCTGGTTTTGCTTATAACCCAATCTCTCCGAGAAAGTTCCTCTGCACTGGGTCACAGGCTGGGCAGTGTCCAGACCCCCCTCGGTCCCCCCGCCCCCCCAGCCTGGAAGGGGCCTGAGAGAGAGCCTGCATGCCTTTCACCTTGATCACGTGTCCTCTGCTTGGCTTGAACCAATGATTTCAGAAGCACAGGGGGTCCCTCACCTCCTCCCCACTCCTCGGCCTGCAGCCTCCCTCAGAGAATCCCCAGCCTTTCTCCTGGGGCAGGGCGAGGCCTCACGTACCTTGTAGCCCTGGTTGATGCCATTGATGAACTGGGGGCTGGGGGCATTCCAGGTGAAGCGGATGGTCGTGGAGTTGGTGGCCTCCGCGTGCACATTGCCAGGAGGGACGGTGGGGACTGGAGGAGAGCAGAGGGATGGGGTGAGGGGGGCGGCGCAGGGAGCGAAGTCAGTCTTGCCCAGTTAAGTAGAGAAAACACAGGCATGGGGTCTGCAGCTCCTGCTTTGTGCCGCCCCCTCCCCCCTTTGCTTTGTGGACTTGAGGCACCCTCTTTCTCTCGATTAGTTTGGGTGTAATAACACTTGCCTGACCCATTTCACAAGGTACCAATAAACAGAAGTGGTGGATAGGAACGTGCTTGGGGGAGGTTGTTACGCACAATCCTGGACACGAGCCGTTTCATGATTCAATTAACACGGACTCCGAAGAAGGTCCCCATACCCCTGAAGCCTCTGCCCTCATCATGCTCCCCCCCACAACTCCTCTGCCCCTTAGCACCCTCCTGCCCTACGGGGTAGCCAGGCACAGCGGGCAATAGCTCAGGACTGGGGGAAACAGGTACAGGCCCGACAGATGCGGGCCGGGGAGGGAGAGAGAGAAGCGCCAGCTCCCCCGCGGTCACGATCCCCACCCACCTCCCTGCAGTGTCCACTCGGTGACTTTCCTACTGTAGACACCCAGCCCAGCGCCGTTGTAGGCGGCCACCTCGATCTCATAGTTGGTCCAGATGATGAGGTCCTCCAGCAACAGGTTGTTGATGTCAGCGTCCGTGATGTTCTTAAACTGGTACCCGACGGGCAGCCCGGCCAGGCAGTACCTGAGGGGAGGAAGGCAGGACGTGGCCCAGGAAGCCGCGTGTGACGCTGCAAACGTTCCACACCCGGACCGTCCAACATGGCAGCCACGCGCACGCAAGGCTGCCGAGCACCTGAAATGTGGTTGGTGCAGCTGGGAACGTGTACTTCTATTTATTTTAAATTAAATAACCCCAGGTCTAATGTATCATATGATCTCACTGATATGAGGAATTCTTAATCGCAGGAATCAAACTGAGGGTTGCTGGAGTGGGGGGTGGGGTGGGAGGGATGGGGTGACTGGGTGATAGACACTGGGTATGTGCTCTGGTGAGCGCTGTGAATTGCGCAAGACTGTTGAATCTCAGATCTGTACCTCTGAAACAAATAATGCAATATATGTTAAGAAAAAAAAAGAAGAAGAAGGTAGCGGGAGGGGAAGAATGAAGCGGGGGAAATCGGAGGGGTAGACGAACCATGAGAGACGGTGGACTCTGAAAAACAAACGGGGTTCTAGAGGGGAGGGGGGTGGGAGGATGGGTTAGCCTGGTGGTGGGTATTGAGGAGGGCACGTTCTGCATGGAGCACTGGGTGTTGTGCACAAACAATGAATCATGGAACACTACATCTAAAACTAATGATGTAATGTATGGGGATTAATATAAGAATAAAAAAATAAAAAAAAATAGTTTTAAATAACCACAGGTCTAGAGGATGTGTCTGTTCTTTTTGATGGAGTTGGACATTGGAGAGATTGGCTAACCATGGGCACTAAGAGTTTCTGGGCAGATCACATCGGTCTCACCTTGGAGGGGTCATTGATGGAGAGCCACGTCCGAAGGTTGGGCCCATTTTCTTTGTCCCTCCAAAGGAGTGGCTCCCTCTTTTGACAGTCACTCACTTAGGGGGAAAGAACAAACTTGAGCTACCTACTTTATCAATTTCTACCTTCCACTGGAAAAAGAACACGTGGTAATACAGAAGTGGGGTCTGTATGGGCAAAATATGGGGGGACGGATAGCTCATAGGAGAACCACAACACACACGTTATTGGAAAATTAGAGGCCCCAGATTATTTTGATGTGTTACAAGACCCCATAGCAGTGGTTCTCAGAGACTTACCATGCATCAGATATACCCAGGGGGCTTGTTGAAACCCGGGTTGCTGGGCCCACCCCAAAGTTTCCCACGATCAGGGGTAGGACTTGAGAGTTTGCATTCAAACTGAGGCCACTGTTGGTCTAGGGACCACCCTTCGAGGGCCACTCCCCATTAGGGTTCACCAAAAACCCACCACAAAATTAGCGGATCATGGAGCAGTCAAGTCAACAATAACTCCCTCCAGATCTGGGCAGAGCAGTGCTGGGAGAGTATACACATACAGGAAAGAGACGTGCATTCTGCAGCCAGCCAGAATTCGGAATACTGATGGACGCTCAGTAACTTTAGTCTTATGCTAATTTGAATTTACGACACCAAATTAGTAGCACTTAATAACTCAGTTTGAGGTTACTGGTGAAGTACCCTTGGTCAAGTGTAGACATAAAAGTCTCCTTAACTGGGCTTCATTTTACAATGAGGACCAACAAAAGGAGGTCCACTGTTTGACTGTCCTTGGCCCAGGAGGCTCAGATGGAGCATTCCTGGTTTCCCGGATGGTTGGCCCCTCAGATAGTTACCCATCTCCCTATGCCCTATCCTGTGGAGCCCTGACATGTGGCCGACCTGCCGATCCACACAGCCTCGAGGACATTACCCTGTACCTCCTCTCTCAAGCCTTCACGTTGTTTTCCAAGACTCTGCCTTCTGGAAGTCCCTCTGTACGTCTAACCTGAGTCCTTCCTACCAGGGCGAAGTCATTTCTTGTTGCCTGGTCCTTGTGAGATGGAGAAGGACCTGCCGTGACTTGGCTGTTTTCCGATCCACTCCCAACCCTTCCCTTGGGTGGGGGCTGCCCCTCCTTTCCCCGGGGAGGCAGGGGGCACCTACCTGATGATGTAGCCCTTGAGAAGGCCATTCTGGTGGCTCTCGGGAGGCGGCTGCCACTGGATCATGATGGACTGATTGGTCCGGCCGCTGGCGATGACATTCTGTGGGGGGGCTGTGGGGGGCTCCTCAGGGAGGGAGACCCTGGATATGAAAACATCAAGCGTGGGTGGGCCTTTCCACTCTTAGCCTTGAGGGCAAATACAGGAGTTTGATGGGATACGAGGAGGCTGCTCTGTTTCTGGATGACTCTGTACAGCTGCTGTGTGCTTTTGGGCAAGTCGCTTAACCTCTCTGAGCTTGTTCTTTTATCTTTTAAAGGAGTGTAATAAAGCTCCACTTGCTGCTTTCTAAGACTGGTTGAGGCTCAAGGAACACCATGTATGGATGAATCCTTTTACAACACCACAAAGCCCCAGATGTGTGTGTTGTCTGTGCTGTTGAGGGACATGTGCCTCAGTTTCCCGGATGTCAGAGAAGCTGCTGTGGGGGCTGATGATGTCATAAGTCCTCAGGCATTTCAGAAGCAGGAGTGTTCAACAGTCACTTCCCACTTGCAGGCTGGTGGTGCCCCGTGACGAGGCTTCCTTTCCTGCCCAGCTGAGCCCCAGGCTGTGAGCAGGGCAGGCCAGGTGGGGCTGGGGAGGCACGTGGAGGGGGGGGCCCATCCCCCGCTTCCGGAAGCGAGCGTCACTGCATTTCTTTCTCTGGCATTGCTAGGGGACGCAGTGTTCCATTGCGGTGTATTGTTCGCCTAACTGACATGCATCCATTAAAAACAGAAGTTAATTATTTTTGATGGATGTCTCTCCCTTTCAGTTTATTTTTATGTTTTTGCTTTCTGATGGCTAGCTTTCCAAAATGTACTGCACACTCCCATGTCTTTGTAAAGCCTGCGAGCGAGGGTGATTTAACCTTTTTCTTCGTGACTCAAGGCTATTAGTAGGATTCATCAGGAAAGATGAATCGGGGCTTGAAGTGAAGCCCAAAGACCTGGAGAAAGTGGGGTGGTCTTCCCGGCACTTGGAGGATTTCTGTTGTTGGGATTTTGTAGTTCTGGAGGGCTGGGGCTGCATCCACTTTGTTCCCCGTACCCCTCATGGTCTACACACAGCCCAGCACATAGTAGGTGTTCAACGAACAGCGAGGGAATAAATCCTCCTGTAGTTACCCTCCCTGCCAGGCTGTTACCTGCCACCTCGCTTTCCGGTTAGGGTGTCACGACCCCTGTGGCATTCCCCCTCGCGAGAGCCACAAAGACTTAAGCTCACTGGAACTGTGGCAGAACCAAATAATCGATTTAAGCCAGAGGTCTGCGTACACACACCTAAGAGAATCTTTTAAAGAGCCAAGTACATTCTTGGTTTCTTTGTAAAAATATCAGTTGACTATATATATGAGTGTTTATTTCTGGGCTCTCTATTCTGTTCCATTGGTCTTAGTGTCTAAATTGACTTTAGTGTCCACAAAATAGATCTTAAATGTCCTCACCACAAAAAAGAAATGGTAATTTTGTGATGGGATAGAGGGCTTAGCCAACACCATGGTGGTAATCCTACTACATTCTCTAAGTGTATCAAATCGCCACACTGTCCACCTTAAACTCACACCATGTTATGTGTTAACTGCATCTCAATAAATCTGAAAGAATTAAAAAGAAACATAGAAAAGGAAAGGGGAGCACACAGCTTGGGGGCATGGGATTTGTGTCGCTGTCATTCTGATCTTTCATCCTACAGGCCTGAGGTGGCCCAGAATCGCCTCCTACATAAGTGGGTCTTACCGGGTGGTGTTTGAAAATGGATGACTCTCTGTTTTTACTTAATTTTCATCATTTTGTAAAAGCTCTGTTGAAAGCTTAATGGACCCTGACATCATGCAAGTCACTGGATACAGAGAGCTGTGTGGGTCCCGTGGTCCCTTACACCTCACGTCCACATGAGAGTAACGGCGCCCATGAGGAGGGAGAGTGGAAATGAGCTAAGTCTGAACTTGCCCAGCTCCCAGTGAGAGGGACCACTAACTCCGGTGGGTGCTTATCCCACATCAGGCACTGCTTACGGCACCTCCCGTGTCACCCCCTTGTCATCCTTACGGCGTCCCCGTGAGGCAGGCGTGAGTGATGCTGCCCCATTCCACAGACTCAGACACCGAAGCCCACAGGCCTCACGCTGCCACATGGGACTCTGCTGGACGTCCCCTCAGCCCCTCCCTCCGATGGAGTCACCCACACCCCTTCTGGAAGAACACCTGCTCCCCTCACCTCTCTGTGTCCTTGCTGAACTGTCCCTTCCCCACGTCGTTGACTGCACAAAGGCGGAACTGGTAGGAGCGCGCAGGCACCAAGCCCTTGACCATCACCGAGGTAGCCTCAGGGTCCACACTGGCCAGGAGCACGGTCCAGGGTGCATCTACCAGGACAGAGGGTGGAGGCGGAGGTGGGCATCCCGGGAGGCCACGCTCCTTACCCCCATTCCAGCAGAGGCCCAGTGCTGTTTGGGCCAGCAGAGACCCTCCCCCACTCGGTCCAGTAGAGGCTGGTCACGTCATTTTTCTGGGTCCCCTTAGCCCACTGGTCCGAGGGGGCTGGAGCGTCCTGGCGAAGGAAGCAAGGGCTCACGGGAACTGAGATGCACATGTCTTTTCTAGGTTTTATTTTTTCCCCCCTCAAATTGATGAGCTCCAGGCAAACTGTATTTAAAACACCGTTCAAAGGAGGCTGCTAATTTTGGAGTTCACAGCTTGGGGTCTTGGAGGATAAAAAGCAAAAAAGTCACCATCACCTGGGAGGCTCTGGAGTGGCAGGCCCTGCGTCCCGCCCCTCACACACCTGATCGTGTGCAACTGTTACAACGACCGGGGAGGCACATGCCAACGCTCCTTTTGCAGAGAAGCGGGAGCTTCCAGAAGGTTTGCTCCAAGGCACGGGACTTGGAAGAGGGCGGAGCCAGAGCCGGGGCCCCGGGCCGACTCCCCGAGTCCATGCTCCCAGCCGGCCGGGGCGGGGAGGCTTACTGTTCTCTGACATCTCCAGGACATAGCGGAGCAGGGGGCTGTTGCCGTCGAAGGGCTTGGCCCACGTCAGGTTGATGGCCCGCCTCTCCGCGGTGCTGAGGGTCGCCATGGGGTGCTCGGGGGCATGAGGCAGCTGCCTGGAGGAGAGAGATGTGGTGGGGCCACCTGTGAGGCCTGCAGTCAGGGGACACACGGGCGCCCAGGGCTCAGCCTGAACCTCGTGCTCTGCCGTACGGCCATCTACCTGGAGGCTCTTCTCTCTGGGTCGGGGGCCCCCCTGCCCAAAGCCATACCCAGACTCCGCTGCTCTTGACAGAGGGCCTGAGCTGGGGCAGGGAAGGCCTTGGAGGAGGCTTGGGTATGTTCCCAGAGGGGAGTGGTCCCAGGTCACATGTGGCCCGGGCATCTGCCAACATAAGCCTCCTGTTGCGGCCTAGGCCCCCCTTTGCGGGGGGGGGGGGGCTGCCCTTACCTGACACGCAGGTGGGCACTGCGAGAGTCATTGCCTCCGGCGGACAGCACCCGGCAGGTGTACGTGCCGATGTCCCCCGACCACGTCTGCGAGATGTGCAGGGAGCCGTTCTTGTCGAGACGGATGCGGGGGTTGCTCTCGGTGCCCAGGGCGGCCCCATCCTTCTCCCAGACGTACCTAAGGGTAAGAAGCAGCAGTGGGTAAAGAGAGGTCGGGAAGTAGGGGGGCTGCTGGGGCTCAGCCTGGGGCTGGTCTGCAGGAGAGCTCCAAGGGTGGCAGGGCACTCCCCAGGAGATGTGGGGCCCCCAGGGCCGGTCCTGGGCAGGAACACAGTGGGGAGGGGAGCACCCGCGCAGCCGGCAGCCCCCCATCGCTGTCGCAGGGTGCTCTGTCCAGGACGGGTTAGCCCACGAAGCCATTATACCTCCAGCTCAGGTCTCGGTCAGAGCCCTGTTTCCTTTGCCAAGCAGCCAGCATGAAAGAGACGGCAAAAGGTAATCTTCCAAAGATGTTAAAAGATTACAGCTGGAAAAAGCAAGTTTCCGGACAGACTGCATTTTGGAATTAGTTTTATGAGGGGAATCATTAGATCAATGCATCACTGTGACAAATTGACTTTAGTGTCCAAAAAATCACTTTAGCTTCGGTCAGTTGGTACAAAGGGGGACTTGAGAAATTACACATATGCCCGTGCCTGACAATAAGAAGTATCTCCTCTGGAATGATCCCAGAGGAAATACAATATTACCGTCATCCATGTAATGGGGGGTGGCAGCTCTAGGGGGCATGCCATGCTCATGCCCGCCCCCCTGGCAAGGTTGGCCAGGGCGCCGGGAGCCAGGGCAGGGAGCAGGAGGGGGGCTGAGCGGCTTTGCACATGACCCGTCACTCACTCAGCTGGGGACTGTGTGGCCTGAGCCACGAGGTGTGAGAACTATCTGTGTTAGAGAATCTAAGGCTGCTAGGGAGGATGAGCCTGTAATATTTTTAAGTTAAAAAAAAAAAAATCAGAAAATTGCAATTACAAATAGGAAAAAAAAATGCAGGGCAAGAAAACTGAAAAGCTTTCCCATCATGGGTAACATGATGCGATGGGAGCATCTCCCTTCCAGACTTTTCTCTCCTGCCCCAAGGGGCATGGTACCACAGTGGTGCTGTGTTCTGGATTCAGATTCCCTGGGCAAGTGTTAACCTTGGCCACTTACCAGCTTTGTGATCCTGGGTATGTTTATTTGGCCTCCCTATGCCTTTGTTTCCTCATGTGTCCTGCGAGAAAAATAATACCACCCACCTTTTGGGCTGTTATAAGGATGGTGTGAGTTCATGTAAAATGCTTCTGGTAGTAAGGGATCAATAGAAGTTAGTCATCATTATGTATTTCGACTCTCAGAGCACATGTAGGTAAACAACAGCTAGCTAGCTAGCCATCCGTCCTGATTTTATGTTTGTTTTTTTTTTTTTTTTTTAAAGATTTTATTTATTTGACAGAGAGAGACACAGCGAGAGAGGGAACACAAGCAGGGGGAGCGGGAGAGGGAGAAGCAGGCTTCCCGTTGAGCAGGGAGCCCAATGCGGGGCTCGATCCCAGGACCCTGGGATCGGGACCTGAGCCGAAGGCAGACGCTTAACGACTGAGCCACCCAGGTGCCCCTGTCCTGATTTTAAAGCTGCTTTCCCCACCCAACAGAGTATCATAAACTCTTTGTAATGTGACACTTCCACGCCCTGGTTTTTATCGGTGGCACACCGCGTCACATATAGTCACTCTGCAACTATTCCCGCCACGTTGGACGGCCGGGGTAGCTCCTTGTTGTCTGATATTATAGTTAATGCTGCGAGGAACATCCTTGCAGCATATTTTCATACATTCTAAATCATTGCCTCAAGGATAAATTCTCAGCAGAGAAATTGCTGAGTTAAATTTTAAGGCTTTTTATATACATTTACAAATTGTCAGAAGTAATCACCTTCAATTCATCTCCGTAGCTAGGGAAGAATCATCCTTGCCAGCGCTGATGCATGTGTAGAATTTTACTTAAAAGCAAATGGAGGGGCAGAGAGTAATTCCTGCTTAAGAAACAGCCTATGGCAAGCAGACATTCTTTGCCCCAGGACGTGGTGTTTTAGGAAGGGTGTATCACCAGCTGTAAAGTGTTTGCGCCCAAACAACTAAGCCCGAATCTAATCAGCCAGTTCCTTGAATCTAACTAGAAATACAAGGGATAGAAGAACAAGTGTACTGCACTGTGAAAGAGTAGCTGGCCAAACCCGGAATGTGGGGTCTTCCAGAGTAGGGGTCAGCAAACTGTGGCCCCCTGCCTGTTTGTGTAAATAAAGTTTTATTGGAACACAGACAGGCAGACTTGGAGAGCCGTGACAAAAGCTATCTAGCCCTCAAAGCCTAAAATATTTACTCTCTGTCCCTTTATAAAAAAAAGTTAGCTGGACCTTTGTCCTGTAAAACCTGGTTTCTCCAACTAATTAAACGCACGTAAACAAAGCAGCAATGAAACCGAAAATAAAAAGGAGGGGGAGGGGACTGTGTAGAGCTAAGGAGACACCAACCAAACGCCACGTGTGGACCTTGTTTGGGCCCCGAGTTAAACCAACCAACTTTTAAAAAGACACCTCTCAGACTATCAGGGATGTTGTAATATGGTATTAGCAGACATCAAGGGATGGTTCATTGTGTTCCATGTGACAGGGACATGGTTGTTATGTTTAAAGAAAAGTCCTTTTAAGTAAGAAATGCACATTGACATATTTAAAGGTGAAATGTCATGCTTGAGATTTGCTTTTAAAATAGTGCAGTGAAAAAAGTGTCTGTGTGTGGGGGGGGCAGGGCATGTATAGGAGGAACCAGGTGAGCCAAATGCTGACAATTGCTGAGGCCAAGAGATGGGTACAGAACCAAAGATACAAATGCAGTGATCTGAAGGGGCACCTGCACCCCGATGTTTATAGCAGCAATGTCCTCAGTAGCCAAACTGTGGAAAGAACCCAGATGTCCATCGACAGATGAATGGATAAAGAAGATGTGGTATATATATACAATGGAATATTACTCAGCCATCAACAAATGAAATCTTGCCATTTGCAATGATGTGGATGGAACTAGAGGGTATTATGCTAAGCAAAATAAGTCAGTCAGAGAAAGACAATTATCATATGATTTCACTCATATGTGGAACTTAAGAAACCAAACAGAGGATCATAGGGGAAGGGAAGGAAAAATAAAACAAGATAAAGTCAGAGAGGGAGACAAACCATAAGAGACTCTTAATCATAGGAAACACACTGAGGGTTGCTGGAGGGGAGGGACATGGGGGGATGGGGTAACTGGGTGATGGACATTAAGGAAGGCACGTGATGTAATGAGCACTGGGTGTTATATAAGACTGATGAATCACTGAACTCTACCTCTGAAGCTAATAATACACTAAACATTAATTCATTGAATTTAAATAAAAAAAAGAGATGGATATGTAAGGCTTGATGATCTGGGTCTCTCTACTCTGGGCTATGTTTGAAAATTTCCACGTAGAAATTTATAAAAAAAAAAAAAAAAGAAAGAAACAACTCATGAGTCCATTTAATTCAGGGTAGAAATTTTCCAAAATCATCTGTAACTATATAGTTGGCTATTAAACAATTTTGATGAGCAATTTTCAGGCCTCCTTTCAGTTTTAAATAATATTAGATAGTCCTCAGGAAATCAAAGAAGTGCAAAAATATTTAGTTGCAAGGACATTCATCATGATGTTTCTTTTTTTTTTTTTAAAGTAGGCTCCACGCCCAGCATGGAGCTCAACATGGGGCTTGAACCCATGACCCTGAGATCAAGAGTCAGATGCCCAACTGAGCCACCCAGGCAGCCCATGATGTTTCTTAATATTAGCAAAAAATTGAGAAACCATCCAAATATCCGGCATTAGGGAATTGGTAACAGAAATTGTTACATCCACACAATGGATGAGTGTGTGGATGTATACAAGAATATTTATTGACAGGGGAAGAGATTCACAATGGGTTCTTAAGGGAAAAAGCAGACAAAGAAACTGTGTTTCTAGGTTTTTTATAAATGACACTCGAGTATTATTATCTCTAACTGAGAGAAACAGATAAACCTACTTTTCTTCTTTCTCTCTCTCTCTTTCCTTCCCCATTTTTTGAGGCTTATCTAAATTTTCAATATTTCCCTCTTAAAAAGGATATCTATTAGCTGTGTAACAAAGAAAGCCAATGGAAATATTGATTAGTATTAACAGTGGCCACAAGTGGATTGCTCAGAGTGGGTCTAGATCTGGGCTCAAATCCAAACAGAAGAGTTTCTCCTAAGGCAGTTCTGGAAGCTTTCTGGGCAGGCAACCTGCACCTGCTCAGGCCATGACCCCTGGACCCTGGCTTGATTTTTGAGGATGGCACAGAGCACAGAATTAAGTGGCCATCACTTGAATCTGACTGGGTTGTTTGTTGGGTCCCTTCTAGCCTGTCTGCTCAGGGAACCCCTGGTCTGTTCCTAAAACTCCAGCAGAATTTTCAAGTCCAAGGAAGGAGTGCGAGATATGCAGGTGCCTTTGGCCCCAGACTGACAATTTTGGGGCCTGAGGGACCAATTCTGTTCTCTCTCCCCACCGAGTAAAGATTGCCCTAGATGGGGAGTGCCATTCTAAGGCGAGGACCCCTCAGTGAACTGGAATAGGGTTTTCCCATCTGTGGGTCCCTAGGGGTCCTTGGGAGGTGGGTCTGCAGCTATATTGCAAGAGGTCCCTGAATCCCTTTGCTCATTAAGAATTGTCTAGAGAATGAATAAAACGTGCAAATATTCTCCAAATGCTAGCTGGATAATATTTTAATAAATAAAACACCAATTTATTTTAAAGTGTTGCTGAATTAATATAGCTTTTTATTATTATGAAGTTTTTCAATTAATAGGTGCTAAAATTATAGCTACCACTTAGGTGTGGGTCGGCAACCCACAGCGATATTCTCTGGTGGTGGGGGGGATAGGCGGGGGTTCTCTTGGAGAACATTTTTATAGTCGATATATTTTTTTTTTTACAAAATTTAATAATCCCAGGAATAAGCATATTCTATTTCTCATGTTGAGAGTATTTTAATGACATCTACGTGATTTCAAGGCTCCTGCTTGCATTTATGCTGGCACCACATGATGACTGTCCTGACGGGTCAATGTTTAATGTGCAAGGAGGTGTTTCTCAAACTGGGGGCCCGTAATGGATTCTCGGAGAATGGGTGTGGGTCTAAAAGTCTAGTTAGTCCTCTTTATGCCAACCCTGGCTTCCGGGGGAAGCCCATTCAGTGTGGCGGCATAGACTGTCATGTGCCTAACGGCCACCAGATGGCGCCCCAGGCTACAGCTGCCTCCGGAGCGGTGGGGGCCCAGCCTCCCAAGTGCCATCAGTGCCCGGCCCCTTCCAGCCTCGAAGCCAGTTGCTCTGTCAGTGAGATATTGGCCATAAAACACAGAAGCAACATGGAGGGGATATTTGTTTCTAAGGAAGCAGTTGCATTTTTTTTTTACTCAGCATCCCGGAGCAAGGGAGAGCCCCGAAGGGACAATTTTCTCCTGGTCTTAGTCCCCGAAGCCTTTCCTGGGGTGGGTCCAGGTGTCCGCAGCCCAAGCTTGGGAGGGGTTCTGGCTTTTACACCCTTCTTGGCTGCTTCTGACCTGTCTCCAGTGGCTTCCCCAGGGGGACCGGGTTCCCTTCAAGCCGAGTAGCTCACCAAGGTCCCAGCTCCCGGGGTGGGGGGGGTGGCTCCATTTTGGGGCGCTTTCCTCTCACACGTGTCTCCTGCCTTGGCCTATATCTGCTCCCACGCCTGTTTACCCAGACCCGTCTGCTGTCCACCCGGTGGGCAGAGGGTCTAAGATCTGGGTCGAAGATTGCGCTAGAGTGGGGTCCTACGTCACAGCAAGAGCACCTCAGAGTCTCCACATGTCACCAACCAAAATGCCTCTTTCTTCTCCTCCGCTCCCTCCTGCATCCCTCCCTCCTCCGTTTTTCCATATTGACCCCCCGCCCCCCCCCCCCCGACTCGGCCCAATTCAGTTCAAGCTAGCTCAGCCCTGCACTAGCTCTGCAGGTGGTCCCCCCAAGGCCGTGGCTTGGCATCCATACTTGACCAGCTATCCCTAAAGCTGCCCTCCCCTTTTGCCTCTGTGGGGCCATAGCAGAGGGAGTACCTGACGGTCACTCGGGGGTCGTGGGTCACTCCACACACCATGGAGGCCTGCGTACCCTTGATGACACTCTGGTCCTGGGGAGGCTTGGTGATGCGGGTCCGGGCTGAAAGACAACAGGGAAACAGGGTGGTGAGAAGGGGAGTAGATGCAGAGGAACAGGTGAGATGCAGGTGTGTGCAAAAGGCATCTTCAGGTGACCCGGGCCCGTGTGGCTGAATTCTATGGGCAGGGGAAGGCAGACCCAGCACGTGGATGGCTCTACCGCGGTGGGTGACCCAGAATGCTAACAAGAACAACGTGCCTCTGTGGTACTCGCATTCTTGGAAGCCACGTTCAGAGTGGGGACTCATTTAATCTTCCCCCAGAGACCCTTGGGAGGGATGAAGAAATGGAAATCAGAGGATGACCAGCACAAGAGTGGTCCAGCCAGGGTAAAAATAGGATCGTCTGATTCCCCGTCTGCTGCGTCGCATGCCAGCCCACCGGTGCTCAGCCTCCCCAGGGGGCCCATGGGCGTGTCTATCTTGGGTGCGGAGCCCAAGTGGTGCAATCTAACGATGCTAGGGGCTTGAGAAGTTTCCTGAAAGCTGGGCTCAGCACCCTAGCGTCTGGGGTCAAGTCTGGCTGGTAGCCTGTCCGGGTAAATTACACTTGCAGTGGAACACGGCCGTGTCCGTCGGCTGACGTATTATCCACTGCTGCTTTTTTGATGAAAGAGACAAGTCAGTCGAGGAGTTGGGACCGAGGCCATCTAGCCCTCAAAGCCAAAAATAGTTACTATCTGGGCCTCCACGTGGCACCGTCTGCAGAACCCTGGCCTTCCCGTGGCCCCGCTCCTCTGGATTCATTTGGCCCTGTCCTTCTTACAAGAGGCGCCCTGGTGAGACAGCCGTGCCGATGAGGAGGCACTGGTGGTGAGAGCCCGTGCTCAGCACACACGCACGCACGGACGTGTGAAGTGTTCCCACTCTGCACACTCACCCCACACGACCAGGTCAGCCGAGGCTTCGTCGACCCCCCGAGAGTTGGTGGCCAAGCAGGTGTAGGTCCCGGCATCGGAGATGTGCGTGGGGCTGACGAGCAGGCTGCCGGACTCCAGCAGTGTGAATCGAGGCAGCTGGACAGAGCCACTGGCCAGGACGCGCTCCCCTGGAGGCGACACGGGGTGCGCTCGGGGTGGGCTCAGGCCGCGGCACGCAGCCCCTGGCTCTCTGAGACCTCGCGTCTCCCGTCCCCGGGCGGCTCTGGGCCGGCGCTCTCGGGTGGGCCCCCAGCTTTAGAAATGCCGGGAGGGCCAGGCCGGGGTCGGGGCTGAGGCCCAGCTAGGTCTCTGACATGGAGATGGGCACAAGGGCACTCGGTCACAGAGCCCGGGTCTCCTGGCGTCTCTCCCCACACCGTGCCGTCTGCCCTTCACCCGAGAAGGCCAGGGACTGTCTCCTGATGCAGCCAGGCACAGCTCTTGGAGACAGCTGGTCCCGGGCCGGGGGGGTAGGGGGGGCAGACAGCTCTAACAAGGTGGTGACGGGCATCCTGCCGCAGGATGCTTCTGGAGAGTCACCTTCAGGAGAGCAGAAGAAAGTGACAGGAGCGGGGGTGGGAGGGACGGGGGCGGGGGCAGCATTCCCTTGCGGTGGGACCTGGGGAGGCCTGGTGCCTGGGGCTGGGGTGTGGGGATGTGCCCCGTGGAGGAGCCCCAGAGTGCAGGTTTTGGTCACTGTATCTATTTTATTCTATTTCTTTTTTTTTAAGGTTTTGTTTATTTGGGGGGGCGGGACACAGAGGGAGAGGGAGAAGCAGGCTCCCCGCTGAGCACACAGCTGGACTCAGGGCTGGATCCCAGGACCCTAAGATCATGACCTGAGCCGAAGGCAGATGCTTAATCGACTGAGCCACCCAGGTGCCCCGATAGCTATTTTAAAGAAACTCCCCCTTGTCTGTACAGAGGGGCGTTTCCATGTGCAAGCCTGTGGGTGTGTCCATCCGCACACATGGCCAGGAATACCAAACTAGTGAGTGTGGCAGGTGATGGTGCCTGTGTCCATCTGTGTGCTGGCTGTGCTTACACTCATTCCACACTCACCGAGCCACGGCCATGTGCCAGACCCTGTCCTAGGCCCAGGGAGACAGCCGCGGACAAAGCTGAAACCCCTGACTTTGGGGGGCGGGGGGGTCAGGCAGTAGGTGGCATGATAGGCAGGTAATCTTGTGTATTAGAAGGTGGAGAAGTAAAGCGGCGGGGGGAGGGGGACGGGTCATGGGGAGGCCTGTGTACATGGGGAGAGCGGGGAAGGCAAGTTTTGGACACAGGAGTGGAGAGGGCACATGGGGCAGGACCGCTTCAGCTCTGCTGGTGCAGAGCCCTCTGGAGCCCTGTGTCGCCGGGGAGGATGGACGCCAACCCCCCAACCCCGCCACCTGCAGTCGCGGCCACCACCACAATATGATCAAGCAGCTGTCATTCATCGGGCTTCCCTGCTGCCTGGGCACGGTGCAGGCTCCTCACGCGCATGCTCCTGTTTCGTCCTCATGCCAGCCCGGGGTATGTGTACTACAGTCCTCGGTTTACAGATGGGGACCCTAAGGCTCGGAGTGAGTAAATAATTCACCCGAGGTCCACAGGTGTCAGAAGATGCAGAGCTGGGCCTTGAGCCCAGCAGGGTGGCATGCGGTGCATCCTGTGGTGTGAGAGATGGATGCCCTCCTGGAGTGTGCAGTGCACGACCTTCACAACCGTACACAGGGAACCCGACCTGGCTGGCTCCAGAACGGAGCTCTGAGGACTGCCCTAGATGGTCACAGGGTCACACCCTCCAAAGGAGATCAGCCCTCTACCTTTCTGCCAAGTGATGGCCGGCCGGGGCGCCCCCGAAGTCTCACAAGCCAGGACCACTGACATGCCATCGATCACTGTGCTGTCCGAGGGGCCCCTGGTGATGTTGGGGGCGATGCCTGCAAAAGGAGACAGTGGAGCCTCTTAGCTACACCCTGGAGGAGCCCCCACAGCCAGAGGGCCAGGTCCTTGTCCTGCCCCTGCTACCCTGGCTGCTGTGGGTCCCACCGCAAACAAGGTCGCAGGTGTCCTGATGGGGCCCCTGAGGGCTCCCTGTACCCCCTGCCCTGTGGGAGGACCCAGGCTACACTACTCCCCCAGCCTTGGTTCTTAGGCCTCTGTTTGGGGGAAACCGAGGACCCTGAGGGCAGCTCCCACCCTCCATGACAAGGTAAATGGGATCCGTCCTTCACCAAACATGACGTCGAGGCGTCGAGGCTCCAGTTTCTTAAGAGGAAAAGTGGTTATGGCCAATAGAAGAACATGACCCACTCTGCACAAGCCTTGGCCCTGGAGAGTCCACAGCCCGGCTGAGCTGTGGTTCTTCAAGGCTAAGCGCAGCCTTCTTGCTCTGGGCTTGCCTTCCCTAGTCCAGCCCTCAGGGAACCGTCTGGTCGGTCGTGCATGGGGGCGGAGCTTAGGGAGGGACGAGCACCAGCTTCCCCGGCACTCATCAGAAGCAAGAAGCAAGATGGCAGCCCTTCTGCCCTGACTCTCGCCCTCTGCTCCGTGGCTGCCCTGTTTGGGGGCCTCTGTGGGTCTGGGTGATGAGCCTGGAGGGGCTCAAGGAGGCCCATGACCATACGTCCTGCCTTTGGTGGCTGAGACAGGGAGCCCAGCGTCGCTCTGCACGCGCCCAGAGCCCGGCTGTCTACAGTGTGACCACTCACGGAGCATTTCGAGCTCATGCAACTCCATTAAGAGGGCAGGAGAACTATTATAACCACCAAAAGAGACTCCAAGAGGGCAAAAAGTCCGAAGTGGGGACTGAGATTCAAGTTCTGGCTCCCTTTGGGAATTAAGTCTCTCTGCTGGGACGCTGGGACGGGGCGGCTTCAGCCCTGCCCGGGAAGCCAGGGACAGCTTGGATGACAGAGCGGGGCCTGGGGTTTCACAGCTGCTTCTCTCAAAGAGCCGGCGAAGTCGCCCTTGGCTCACGGTTCCGAAGCACCAGACTGGGGCTGTGAAAGCCGGGGACAGCCACCCCGGCTGCCCAGGGACGGTCTTCTGGCATATCCTCTCCCTGCAAAATGCAGCATCTTTTCTCAAGAGGCTGCTGGCTTGGAGGAAAGCGGCGTCCTGGGTGGGAGGGACACAGGGGCAGGGCAGGGCCAGCTTACTGGTGACAGCCAGGTAGGTGGAGGTCTGCACCTCGCCGGCTCCGTTGCGGGCAAAGCACTGGAACATGCCGGTGTCGTCGGGGAGCAGCCCGCTGATCTGCAGGCCCCCGTCACCGAGCCGCCGGAAGCGGCTCAGCCTCTCCACCTCCACCACGGCCGCGTCCTTGTACCAGCTGATGGAGGGCGGAGGTACGCCTGGGGGGACAGACATGGGCCCACAGTTAGCCCACCTCCTGGCTCCCTCCATCCTGCCTCTGAGCCTGGAAGTCGGCAAGGGGTGTGTGTGGGGGGGGTCCCAGTGTGTCTTGGTTTCTAGAACCTTCTCAGAGGTGCCGCTTAATGGTCTTGGAAGAGGTGAAAGATGTTCTCAGCATGGCATTTCTTAAGTTCTTTATAACAGCAGGGGTTCCAAGAAAATTTAGCTTGATTAGTTTAGCTTGGAAATGCTGGACAGGACACATTAATTTTTTTTTTTAACTGCCATTTAATTTAGCAGAACTTGTGGTATGTTCTGGGAACCTCCAACTGGGGGTTCGTTTCCCAAACTCACATGACCACAGAGTCCCATGTCAAAGAGCATGAAGAAGGGGGTAGTGTTCCTCAGGCGGCCCTTGGGAGCCCCCTCCTACCTGGTCTGCAGAGGGAGGTGAATGGGGGCTCCCTGTCTCTCAGCCTTGCCCAAGTCATACACCCTTGGCCCAGCATGGTCTTCCTGCAGGTACCTCCAACCTCCCCCTGCCCCGGGGCTCCGCTCAAAGGCGACTTCCCCAGAGGAGCTCCCGCTCTCCATTCAAAAGAGCACCCCGTCGTTCCAAGTCCCCTAAGCCTGCTCGCTTCTCCCTTCTTCTTCCCAGCCCTTCTCCACGCTGACATTCTAGGACACTGCATTTCACTATTCCACGGGGCACACTCTTCCACGTAACACCTCTGTGATCAGGACATGTCTTACTATCGAAAGCATGTCATAATTTCATTGACAGTCTTTTTTCTTTCTTAGTGGCACATAAAATCATGGGGCACCTCACAACCCATTTTCGATGAAATGAAATAAGGTATCTTTGTTTATTGGTTCGTCTGCCTTCCTCTTAAGAATGTAAGTTTTGGGGTTGCCTGGGTGGCTCAGTCGTTAAGCAGCTGCCTTTGGCTCAGGTCATGATCCCAGGGTCCTGGGATCGAGCCCTGTATCGGGCTCCCTGCTCAGCGGAGAGCCTGCTTCTCCCTCTCCCTCTGCTGCTCCCCCTGCTTGTGCTCACTCTCTCTGTCAAATAAAATAAAATGTTTTTTTAAAAAAAGAATGTAAGTTCTGTAACAGCAAGGATTTGGCTGTTTGGTTCAGTCTACACCTTCCTAGCCCGAGAGGAGTATCCGCACTTTGGTAAAGCCTCCAAAAAACGTTTGTTGGGTGAATGAATGGAGCTTTCCCTTCCCTTTGTGTGGTCTCAGAAAGGGAGTCCTTACTCACGCCCTCCACGGACACTCTCCTCCTGCCTGAGCTACATTCTGCCCCTTTGCTCACAATCAGACCACGGGCCATGGTGCATGCTCTCTACCTCCCATGCGATCACCCCAGACTTCACCCTGGTTTCAGGCTGTCCTGTAGCTCAGCTGGGCCAGAAAGAGGGAGGCTGGGGGTGGGGAAAGAGGAAATTCTTCAGGAATTCTGACAAAGGGGGGTTAAGTAGAGAGAGTAGGGGAGGAAATGGAGCAAAATGACCCAGAAACCAGGCGGAGCTCATGAGACCCATCTCAGGCGAGATGTACCCAAGTTCTAGCAGTTCTGACATTACGGTAATTTGGCATTGTCTACAACTCCCAAATTATGGGCAATTTCAGTCTGTCACCTATCCTGAAATTATGGTAATTTGGATTCATTTGTAACCCTCGAGTTATGGTAACGTGGGTTGATTTCCAGTCCTGAGATTATGGTAATTTGGCCTGTTTGTTTCCTGGGGTTTCTGCTCACTGCCAGACTGGCTTCCTGCTCAGTGATGCTCCCTGGAGAAGGAAGTGGAATTTAGAAAAGTTTTGGGCAGGGACAGGGAGGGCTAGAGGTCTGGGGCGGGGGGTCCTTGTTCCCCTTTGACTCTGCCACTGTGTTACCTTTGGCCCGACAGGGAATGTCCACCACTTTCTCCATCTCCGCTGTGATGTGTCTCTCTGGCTCCTTGACAAACTGAGGCGGTTCTGCAGGAGGAAGGACCAGGGGAGGGGCTCAGTGCCATGCTCCTCTTGATACAACCACTGCTCGGGTCACCCTTAAGAAGGCCCCAGCCCATCAAACTCAACACCCAAAGAACAAGTAATCCAATCAAGAAATGGGCAGAAGACATGAACAGACGACATCCAAATGGCCAACAGACACATGAAAAAGTGCTCAACATCACTCAGCATCAGGGAAATCCAAATTAAAACCACAATGGGATACCACCTCACACCAGTCAGAATGGCTAAAATTAACAAGTCAGGAAAGGACAGATGTTGGCGGGGATGCGGAGAAAGGGGAACCCTCCTACGCTGTTGGTGGGAATGGAAGCTGATGCAGCCACTCTGAAAAACAGTGTGGAGGTTCCTCGAAAAGTTGAAAATAGAGCTACCCTACAACCAAGCAATTGTACTACTAGGTATTTACCCAAAGATATAAATGTAGTGATCCGAAGGGGCATGTGCACCCCGATGTTTATAGCAGCAATGTCCACAATAGCCAAACTATGGAAAGAGCCAAGATGTCCATCGACAGATGAATGGATAAAGAAGATGTGGTATGTATATATATACAATGGAATATTATGCAGCCATCAAAAGGAAGGAAATCTTGCCATTTGCAATGATGTGGATGGAACTGGAGGGTGTTATGCTAAGCAAAATAAGTCAATCAGAGAAAGACAACTATCATACGATCTCAATGATATGAAGAATTTGAGAAACAAGACAGAGGATCATAGGGGAAGGGAGGAAAAAATGAAACAAGATGAAACCAGAGAGAGAGACAAACCATAATAGACTCTTAATCTCAGGAAACAAACTGAGGGTTGCTGGAGTGGGGGGTGGGATGGGAGGGATGAGGTGGCTGGGTGATAGACCCTGGGGAGGTTATGTGCTATGGTGAGCGCTGTGAATTGTGCAAGACTGTTGAATCTCAGATCTATACCTCTGAAACAAGTAATGCAATATATGTTAAGAAAAAAAAAAGAAGATAGCAGGAAGAGAAAAATGAAGGGGGGAAATCAGAGGGGGAGACGAACCATGAGAGACGATGGACTCTGAGAAACAAGCTGAGGGTTCTAGAGGGGAGGGGGTGGGGGGATGGGTTAGCCTGGTGATGGCGATTAAAGAGGGCACGTTCTGCATGGAGCAATGCAATGAACCATGGAACCCTACATCAAAAACTAATGATGTAATGTATGGTGACTAACATAACATAATAAAATAAAATTAAAAATAAAAAAAAAATTAATTAAAAAAAGAAAAGAAGACGACCCCAGCCCTACGGCCCCTTCCCCCTGGGCGGGGACCCCCAGCAGCCCTGCCCATCTCACCCAGCACAGACAAGTAGGCTCCTCGGACGACGGAGGGGATGCTACTGCTGCGCAGGAGAGCCTCGCACTCATAGTAGCCGGCGTCGCTGCCCGTGGGGCTGGGGACGGTCAGCCGCCGGTTGTAGTCGCTGAGGCCGCCCGACAGCGGCACCCCATCTTTCTTCCAAATGATGTGCAGCTTGATCAGGGGCCTGGAGGGTGAGAGCGAAGCGGGCTCTCAGCCACAGGGGCCCAGGACAGGGGTGGCTGGGAGCGCAGGCCAGGGCCTCAGCCCCCGCCCCTTCGAGGTACAGCACTCCGGACCTCGGTTTCCTCGTCTACAAAATGGGACAGCTGTGCCCCCGGGGGCTTGTGCTGCGGCCGGATGCTCTAATGCAGGGGAGGCACCGGGAGGCCAGGCCGGCACTAACTTGGTGCGCGGGGCCCCCGAGGACAGGAGCTGCCGGAGCCGTGCGTCTCGCTCTTCTGTCGCCTGGCGCGGCGCCCCGTCCGAACGGGAGCCAGCGGGCAGCGCAGCGTTTCAGGCGCGGTGACATGACGAGGAGGAGCGCGAGACGAACACCCAAGGTCTGAAGAGGGAAAGGCAGGCAGACGGACATACCTGCCCCCCAACTTAGAGGGTGAGTCGCCACCCCCATCACCGACCCCAGCCCTTCAAGACCCCGAGACTGGGTTTGGCCTGCTCTCCTGTTCATCTTAGTTTTTCTTTCTTCTTTCTTTTCTTTCTTTCTTTCTTTCTTTCTTTCTTTCTTTCTTTCTTTCTTTCTTTCTTTCTTTCTTTCTTTCTTTCTTTCTTTTCTTTTCTTTTCTTTTCTTTCTTTCTTTTCTTTCTCTCTCTCTTTCTTTCTTTCTTTCTTTATGAGAGATAGAGAGAGAGGCAGAGGCAGAGGGAGAGGGAGAAGCAGGCTCCCCGCGGAGCAGGGGGCCCGATGCGGGACTCGATCCCAGGACTCTGGGATCATGACCTGAACTGAAGGCAGACGCTTAACTGACTGAGCCACCCAGGCGTCCCTCATCTTAGTTTTATATTTTTAAAAGATTTATTTATTTGAGAGAGAGAGAGCACTCATGCGTGAGCACGAGCAAGGGGTGGGGGGCGGGAAGAGGGAGAGGAAGAATCTCCAGCAGACTCTGCACTGAGTGTGGAGCCCAATGCAGGTGTCGATCTCACGACCCTGAGATCACAACCTGAGCCGAAACCGAGAGCTGGAGGCTTAACTGGACGCTTATCCGACTGAGCCACCCAGGTGCCCCATGGCCTGCTCTCCTGTTTAGCGCTGGGCGCATCCTCAAGCGGTCTGTGTTAGCTGCACAAGGTGTGCAGAGGGGTCCCGTGGAAAAGGGTCCCGTGGTTGAGTATGTGTGGGCCACACTGGCTTGAGGGCCATTAGGCAGGTTCTGGGCTGCAGGTCTTCTCCGCGCCCTTAGCGAGCTCCACACCAAGGCCTTTCCCACCCTCATGGGGAACCTGTGTCTCCAGGAGCGCATGCATAGGAATGCTGCTACAGGGCTGCTCTCTGGGACTCTTCAGCAGGAGGTGACCTCGGGGCCCTTGGTCTGACTCCCCACCTATCACATGCGAGCACCTTTCTTGAGTACTTACAAGGTGGGTTCAGCACTCCACCTACACGCCTTACCGGGGAGGTGCGTGCTCGAATCATTCCCATTTTACAGCCGAGGAGACTGAGGCCCAGATCATGGCAATGGGCCTGGGCCTCAGGGGGGTGACCTATTCTATTGCTACCCTGCTGTTGGCTGGGTGACCTTGGGCAGGTTGCTTGCCCTCTCTGGGCTTCGGGGTAGTTGTGGGAGGAACAGAAATCATGCGGGAAGTACAGTACAGCGCCCACATGTGATGAGGCTCGGTAATTACTGAACTGTTTCCTGCGTAAGGGAAGTGAGGGTCGTGTGTGGCCAGGAAGGGGCTGCAGATGGGTCTGACCCCAGGTCTTCCCTCCTGCCAAGGCCCCCACACGAGCCCTCTCCCAGCCCTGCGTCCCTGTCATGACTGCCTGCACACAAGGACCAAAACTGCCCCTTCCAGATCGCCCTCAGGGCCATAACTGAGGCGTCGATACCCCGAGCTGAGATCTGCTGCCCCGTAACTTCCCCCGCCCCCCCAGGCCCGGTCTCTCCCCTCAGGCCACGGAGAACGAGCCAGCCCGTCCATGGGTCACCCCTCCTCCAGGGTAAACGCCCCATCTCCTTTCCTGGGTCCTCACGTGACACTTGCAGACCTCCCTGAACTCGGGCTGGTCCCCTTGGAGCCCATAGGTCAGGAGCGCTGGCTGGAGTTAAAGGTGCAGGGGAGCGGGGGCGGGGGCCGTGCTACCCACCTGGCATTGGCCACACACTCCATGGTCACCTCCGAGGTCCCGGCCACCACGCTGGTGTTCTTGGGAGGAATGACGATGGTTGGGGCGATGGGGTCTGCAGGCCCCCCGACATCTGGGGAGAGGTCAGGGGATAGCTGGAGACAGAGGGCGGAAATCCTGTCTCCACTCAGGAGACCTTGGTCCTCATGGAGTGGGACAGGTGACCACGGGGCACCAACCCAAGCAGCATGACCCCGGGGTCCCTCTCACCTCTCCTCCTCCCTCTGGTCATGGGCATCTGCAGTGTCCAGCGAGCGCCCACTGGAGACCTCCAGAGCCCTCCCCACCTTCCTGTCACATAACATACCCTCCCCCTTAGTCCCTTGTCCTGTCCGTGCCTTCAAAATCCTTCCCTCCATCCACATTTATCTTATTAGCTTACTTCTTCACTGGCCCCCTCTTCCACCCGAATGCAAACTCCCGGTACTGGGTTGAATAGTAATCCCCCCAAATTCATGTCCACGGCAGCTGTGGATGTGACTTTCTTTGGAAATCGGGTCTTTGCAGGTGTGATCAAGTCAAGATGAGGTCCTTCTGTATCCGGGTGGGCCCTAAGGCCGATACGACATATCCTTACAAGAGGAGTGAAATGGAGACACAGACACATGGACATACAGGGGAGGCCAGGTGAGCACGGAGGCAGAGACCTGGAGTGATGCATCTCCAAGGCAAGGAGGAATGCAAAGGATTGCCAGCCACCACTAGAAGCTGAGAGGCAAGAAAGGATCATCCCCTAGAGCCTTCCGGGAGCACACAGGCCTCCCGACACCTCGATTTCAGACGTCTGGCCTCTAAAACTGTTAGAGAGTACATTTCTGTCGCCACAAGCCCCCCCAGTTTGTAGAATTTTGTTACAGCAGCCCAAGGAAGATAATACATTCCCCGGGGCAGGAACCTCACGAATCCTTGCCTTGGGCTGAATTAGGTCTCCTCCAAATTCGTATGTTGAAGCCCTAACCTCCATGTGACTATTTGGAGTTGGGGTCTTTTGTCGGTCATCGGCTTAAGTGAGGTCATAAGGGTGGGGCCTTAATCCAACAGGGCCAGTGCTCTGATCAGGAGAGAAAGACACACCACAACTCTGTCTCTGCCTACGCGAGGACACAGCAAGAAGGCAGCTGTCTGCGAGGCAGGAAGAGAGGCCTCAGCATAACCCAACCATGCTGGTCCCTTGACCTTGGACTCCCCGAACTGAGAGAGGTCACCACTGTGCTGAAGCCCCTGGTCGGGTAGCCTGTTACGGCAGCCCGCGCTGAGACAGCCTTGCTCCCGCCTCCTTCTCCAGCACCAGGGAGACTTCTGGCACATAGCAGGGGCTCACGTATATTTGTTCGGTGAAGGCACGAATGGCCCAGGGCTAGCCCTGCACCAGTTCAGGATCGGTGACTGAAATGCAAGAGAACATATCACGAGTGGGCTTTGTCAACACAATCCCCCGAACTCCTCTAACAGAGGCAGTAGCTTCGCCTTTTGTATTTTTTTGAGTTCTTTAAGAAGTGGCCAGGCTCTTGGTGGGTCAGCACAGGCCCGATATTGGCAGAAACTCCAATATTCTCCATGCACCTGCTCCAGGGCTCCTGGAAGTAGAGCCACAGAGGGCTTTTTCTCTCACGAAAAATCCATCCAGTTGGCTCCTTCCCAGGAGGTTCTGGAGGCAGCCGACTATAATGACCTGCACGGCCCTGGGGCGGGGGGGGGGGGGGCGCGGTGGGGAACAGTGACAGGACATCCTTTATGGGGAGAGCATGTCACGGCCCCACTGCCGCTCTGGGCCACCCCGTTCAGCCCTGGGCAGGTTTTCTTGCCTGGACTTCAGGCTTTGCTAGAAAAGTGAAAAAAATTTAAAAAATAAAGTAAAATGAAGAAGGAAGAAAGGAAGCATATAAAGCAAAATAATTGCAACAATATAAAAGCCTCATGTAGGTGCCATAAAGAGCGATCGGATTGAAAGCTGCTGATATAGCTGAATCCATAAAAGTGTGCTCTAAGTTGTTTATTACACGCCAGGGCGCACAGGTACCACAGCCCAGATTAACGGGGCAGGAGGAGGAGACAGACAGTTAGAGCCCAAGCGACATGCCCCACTGTGGAGCCAGGTAAACAGAGCCCTCAGGGTTTAAAAATAGGAGGGCCACCCCAGGACCTCAGGGCAACTCGTTGGGTGGAGGGGAGACTGACACCCATCCGGGGACCCTGGAGGTCATGCCTTGGTCCTGGCAGCGGCCCTGGGGCTCGAGGGTAGGGACCAGCCGTGGTTGGGGACCCCTGGACCCAGTGATGGAGGGCTGGGGGGTCAGGAAGACCTGGTTCAAAACCTTGCTCCGCCCCAGCCATCCTGCAGTGGTGCAGTGAGGGGGTGGTGGGGGGATTGGGGGTGTCTCAGCTGGGTCTTGATTTTCTCCGGGGCAATATGGGGATAAAAATGACCGCATCACAGGGTTCTGTGAGTTCAGCCCCTTGCTCAACAGATCTTCTCTGGGTGAGGGCTCAGTCCCTTCCAGACTGTGCCTGGTACCAGGGATTCCCCACTGAGTGAGGCGGATAGGGGTCTGTCATCATGGAGCGCACGGTCTGGATCTCAGATCAGTGCTTAGACATTTATCGGATTAGAGCTGATGGGATGGATGCTGGGAAGAAGGGCCTCGGTGGGGGTGGCCAAGCTTGTCTGGGGTGAGCGCAGAGTACCCGGTGCTGAGTAAGTACTCAGTAAATCATAGTCTGTCCTCCTTGGGGTGTACCTGCCTATGCTCGGGGACAGCTTCCTTGTCTCCCACCCTCCACCTGCCCAAACCATGTGATGGACCCAGAGACCACCAGCAGGTGAGAGTCCACAGACCCTCCAGGGCCTTCCAACTGAGGGTAAGAGTTCCCACCCATCCGGCCCCTTCTCTGCACTCTGCTGAACTTTACTCCCTCATCACAACGGCTACCAGCCACCGGACGCTGGTCATGATTGTCATCCACAATTTACAGATGAGAAAGCCAGAGACATTAAGTAGTTTACTTCCCAGTGACAGTCGCTAATGAGGGACAAAACCAGGAATGGGACCATGTCTCCGGGGCTGCAAACCCGCGCCATTAACCACTCCCCAGATCATCTCTCTGGCTCAGTCCTTGCTCGGGCGCAGAGGGAAACAAATCTCCCTTTTGGCTGAGGTCCGCTCTGCTAGAAGTTGTCTGAACTACCTCTGAGCAGCCCCTCAGCCCTGGTCCCTTTCCCCCTGGCCCCCATGCACGCCTTCTCCTTTCCCTGCCACCCGTGACCTCCTGGTTGCAAGTCCCCTTTTCTCCACTCTGATTCTCTTTGATTGCTCTGGACATTTAGCTCTGTGGACCCCTTTCTCCAACACCCCTTTCCCTGAGCTTCCAGGACCCACCAACTACACTGTGCCTCACACAGTTCTCCCCGGCTCTGGTCTCCGGAAGTGAAGAAGCCAATGGTCCTTGTCCCTCCCACCCTCACCCCCAGTTCCCTGGCTCCCCCTGATCTCACCAGCCTCCTATTCTGGTGTGGTGTGAAGGTAGAGAAGGACAGCTCGGGGTGGACTGGGGACGTCAAGACGGGCCTGGGTGGCACAGACTTGGCTCCAAGCAGGACACACCTTGCTGACAGGTGCTCTCTGTTGGGGGCCCTGTGCTGGCAGCTCCTTGCTCGCCAGGTCTTCGGATGACCAGCTGGGGTGAGGAGGACAGCGGACCATGCTTGGGGATGGAATGTAGGACATCTGCCTCATCGGACTCATGCTCTGGGCAGTGGGGTGAATGGGGCCCAAAGGTCAAGCCAGAAAATCACATGGAAAGCAGAGCAAGGAGGAGAGTTATCTTCCATGTGAGTGCCTGCCATGGACAGGACCCAGGGCTGAGAAAGCACAGAGGCTCTCCACACAGAGACAAAGTTGGATCCTGCTGCCCTGGGGTGATTCTGGTAACAGGCACCAGGAGGAGACACCACTGTGATGCATTCTCCTGGGGTCATCTCATCGAATCCTCCCAACTACACTTTTGCCAGAGGTACCAGGAAACAGACTCAAGGACCAGGTAACTCATCTGGGCCACAGGTCAAGCGTGTGGGGGGGTGGAGCAGGGAGGTGAGCTGCTCCCCTCTCCTGGGTAGGCATCCAACATGGGGGCCATGAACCACAGGTGGCTAGGAGCTCTTAAAATGTGACTGGCGCCCCTTTGATTTAATGGGATTTAATTTGATCTAATTTACATTTAATTAAAAACAGATCCCCAAATCAGTTATTAGAACACTTTTAAGTATGTGTAGAACAACTCGGGTATCCAACATCACCTTTCCAGCTGTAAATTTGATGAAGTCTAAATGCAGATCACGTATTTCAGATGAAAAGTGAGCAACCAAAAGATGCGCTCCAAGTATAAAATACACAGAGATTTCGAAGACTTAGTAGGAAAGAGAAGCCCAGCATAAAGTACCTCCTTAATATTTTCCGTCGATTATATGTGAAAATGGTAATGTTTTGGATATGTTGGGGCAAATAAAATACGTTAATAAAATTAATTTCCTGTTGCTTTTTCCTTTTTTAAAAATGAGGCTACTGGCAAATTGTAAATTACCCCATTCCTGAGTGTGGGGCCACGGTCCAGGCTTGACAGTCTGTGTGAGGTCATCAGGGTGACCCCTGGGCAGGGGTCAGCTCCCAACTCCAGGGTGGGCACTGGCTTTGTTCTTAACTTCTGCATTTCTGAAGAGCATGGGCATCCCTCCACCCCACCTCCCCGCCCCAGGGCCTCTAAGAAATAGAATTGCCCCGAGGGCAGAGGCGGGGGGGGGGGAGGGCAGAGATGGGGGGGGAACAGAGGGAGGGGCCAGCCTCCCCGAGATCAGGGAGGGGGGCTGGAGCTGGTGGTCGGTAAAGGGGCAAATGCTCCTGGCTGGCAGGCAGGCGGGCTGGGGGATTTTGTGTCAGTGACATGAACAGGGTTTTGAAGTGCAATCACTCGTGGGAGGAGAAATTAGCTGAGAATCAGCTGATTCTGCTCTTAATCCAGCACAAATCGCCGCGTGAGAACAGAAGACAAGGGGCGATGGGGTGGGAGAAACAGACAACCGGAGGAGGCTTGGGTAGACACAGGCGTCCGGAAGGGTCCTACCCGCCTCCCTCGGGCCAGATGGAGGGTTCGGGTGGGGAGCTGAGATGGAGCACAGAGTGAATGACATCCACAGTCCGCCCGCAGGGTTGCTGGCTTAAGGCCCATGAGGAGGAGGTCAGGTGTTGGGGAGGAGCACAGAGTGGGGGGCTCCAACCTCTGGTCCCAGGGTAAATTGAGTCACCCTGACTCAGACCGTGAACTTTGCCTCTTCCCCAGTGACTGAATTCTATTAGACTCCAGGTATCTGATCACTGGAGAATATAGGGGGGCCCAGGTCAATGTCAGAGGTCACCCTTGTGACCCTGATAGGTCAGTATCCTGAATGGAACCCTCCTCTGGGCATTCAGGTGTCTTTCTAGGCCAACTGGAACTTGGGGCTGGGGAAGGGGATTAATTCCGGGGATATGGGAAGGGGTTCTGCTGGTGCTCAGAAGGCCTAGGAATGGACACGGTAGGGCTGAGGAATGTTCTGGGCTTTCCAGACACCGGCAGACAGAGGCAGGGATCAGGGGAAGGACAAGGGAAGGCCCCATGCAGACCCACACCCAGGTCTTGCTGCAGGCGTCTGTGTCCCCACGCGACCATGGATGATAAATGAGACTTGCTTTTGGGGCAGGAGTGGTACAGATGTGGAGGGACGTGAACATCTGGCCCCCCAGCTTGTGTGGTTGTTCGGCTGCTACGGCAAGCTCGGGTAACCACGTACTCGGCGAGGCTTCTGGGCCTGGGCCGGCTGCTGGAGCAACCCCACCCGCCATCTCTCACCCAGGGATGGAGCGCAGAGGGAGGGGGCCAGGCTGGCTGGCAAGAATCAGGCCAGGGAGGGCATCCCAGCATTTCCATCAGGGATCAGAAACCTGCCTTCAGTCTCGGCTAGACGAATAAATACCTCTTTGCCAAAGGAGACCCAAGGAGCCACCCCTTTCCATTCGCTAACATCTGTTCTCTGCCCCTGGGGAGAGCTTGGCCCATCTCTTCCAGCGTGCTGGGTGGTTTCTGGGATGGGCAGAGAGGCAATTTTAGGCAGGAGCCTGGGCGGAGAGCCTGTGTTCCCACGAGTGGAGACAGCCTTGCTCTGAGTAGTGCTTTGATGGACCAGCTGAGTAGAAGCTGTGAGTGCAGTTCTCTTGAAACAAGCTCCCCATCTCCTGCATGCTCTCCCTGTCGGCACCTGAGCCCCAGAGGTGGCCGTAACCCACACATGCATACTCTCTTCCGCATCCCACGCCCGTCTCTGGGCCTCCAGCAGCCCTGCTCACAGCCAGCTCAGCGTCCCCTCCCCTGATGCAGGAACTCAGCTTTGTCATGGGAACGGGGTCCAGCACTCAGCTCCCTCCTTGCTTCTACCCTCACACTCCCAGTGCTGGGGCTCCTCCTCCTATTCCTCGGAGGCCCCTCTGCTGCCCTACTCTAGCCTCCCACCTCTGCCACCACTCCATCTTCCCAACGACCCCCTGGAGCCCCGTTCCCAAGATTTAATGACGCGCTCCTCCATCCGTCCCAGGCCCAGCCGCTTACTTACTCTCCACGGCAAGAGTGATGGGCTGGCTGGTCTTGTTATCCCCGTTCTTGTCATTAACAGCCTGCACGTAGTAGCGGCCTGCGTCGGGAGCCACTGTTGACAGGATGACGAGGGTGTTCTCCAGGGTGATGGCTCTGCGAAGAGGAAAAGGATCTGTCTGACAGGGGCCCAGGGGCTCTGACCATCGGAGGATGGGCGCGGGGACAAGAAGCTGGTGGCCCCCGGAGCCCCTCCTCCAGCCCAGCTCCCAGGACCACTGACTGCCTCAACTTCAGCATGCTCTGTTTGCCGAGAATCCCAACACGCTGCCAGGGCTGGGGTCAGACGCAAACCCAGCATGTGCACATAGGTCCGAGACCGTCCCCGTTGAAGCTTCCCAGCCCCCACCCCACACCTGGCCCCGGGCGTCCGAGCCCCCACAGCCTTCCGTCCTCTCCCACATCACGCCTTCAATGCTGAGTGTGACCCTCTCTACACCAGGAGGGTCCAGCGCTAAAGAAATCCATTCAATGGAATGAATGAACGAGGAACGGATGATGAGCAATGATCATGAATTTAGAAATGAAGAGGATCATTCCAGAATCAATGCCTTAACCTAATTCTACGTTTGTTGGGATTGATTCCAAAGCCATAGGTGGCCTGTAACACCGATGACGGGGGTTCCTCTGTGCCCCAGCCCCCTCTCAGGGTGTCAGGTGCTCCCTTCCCGAAGCTGGTCAACAAGGATGGAGACTGGCTGTGGGCTGAGGGAGCAGGAGGAAGGAGGCCAGCTGGGCGGTGGGGTGCAGGTCCCCTCTGCTGGGGTCCCACCATGCAGCCCCGCAGCACCTGGTCTGCAGGCAGGGAAAGGGGCCGGTCCAGGCGGGAAGCTGAGGACCCCATCTGATGCGGGGGAGACAGCCCCAGGAGCGCTGCCCACGCCCACTCTGCCCGGCTCCCCCTCTCACCCATTCTCTCGATGACAAACAAAACCATTAGTTTGTCAAGTCTATCTCGGATTCTAATGTGATGTGCCCGAGACAGCTGTTAAACATCCTTAATGTTAGTTTAACAAGGACAGACCCAGTTGAATTCTTTTCAAATTTTCCCATTAGGGGAATGTTAGAGTTTAAACAGGCTCTCAAATAAACATCCCCTCTGATGCCTCTCTAGCTGGGCTGTGCTGGTGTCCCCTCTTTCCTGGTTTTGGGGGGTTCATGGGCTGAGTCTCACACCGTCAGTGGAGCTCTGGGAAGTAGGAAGGGAAAGCCCTCTCCCCCCAATTCTTGGGTATCCTAATGATATTTTTTGTTTTTTTCTGGAGGAAAACCCCTCTCCAGCTAATGAGCTGATGGAAAGTAAGATAAAGCCAGGCTAAAATATTTTAAAAGTGACAAGCTGGGACAGGAACAGGGACCGTTTCCCTACAAGGAAGTCTCCTGCAGAGGTCCTTGTCCTTTAGTGCAGCTTGTGGGGCAGGCCAGGGTCGGGGAGGAAGGCTGGGCCATGTCAAGGGCCGGGCGCAGCTCTGGAATGAGCTCCGGCCACAGCCTCTAAGGAGCACACATCCTCCTCCATGCTGAGCCTCAGTCTCCACATCTGTGAAGGGGGTAGAAGAAATGCTTGTGAAGATCCCTCCCAGCCCTGAGGTTGAGGGATTCTGATTCCTGCCACTGCTTCGGTCCTATCTGCATCTGGCCTGAGGCTGTCACCCTCCCTCTCCTGCAGCCCTCACCTGGCCCACAGTCCAAGGTCAGGACTAATGTGATGGGCAGCAGTGCACCTGGACCACTTGACGGGAGCTCCCCACCCTCTCCAACACGGCGGCCCTGGACAAGCCGGCTGAATGAAGTCTCTGGAGGGTGGGCACACTGGGCATGGCCGGGCCCCACTCCCCAGGGCACCTGCCTGCCCTGAACCCCCTCTTGCCTCCAGGGAGGGTTCCCATCTCCAGTGTTTTCTCTCCTTAACCAGGAAGAGACCACCTCATCCCCCAACCCCTCCTTTTGCTCTATTTTATCCACATTACGACGGATCCTTCTAGGTCAGTGGTTCTCAACCGGGGGGTGCGGGGGAGGGGGGCTTCACCCTCCAGGGGACATTTGATAATGTCTGGACAAGTGTTAGTATCACAGCTGTGGGGCTGTGATAGGAACTAGTGGGCAGAGGTCGGGGATGTTGCTAAGTGTCCTACAAAGCACCGGACAGCCCGCACAATGATTTATCGGGCCCCAAGCGTGGACTGTGCCGTGGTGGAGATGCCCTGTCCTGGGTGAGATGGCATAGCGGGTGGCAGTTCATCCACGTAAGCAGGTGGGAAGCCAGGTGGGGCAGCAGGGCTGGGCTGGTGGGATATGGCAGAAGGTATGTGCACCATCTCCAGGCTCAGACCCTAAGGACCCCCCGTGCAACTCCTAGGTTCTCCCCTCTGTCAGAGCTGGGCAACTCTGAAGCCCAGGGTTGAGGACGGCAGAGCTCCTACCAGCCAGGGCCCTCGGATGACTGTGGAGGAGCGTCCTTCCCCTCCCTCGCCTCTGCTGGGACTTTAAATGAGCAAAAAAAAAAAAATACACTTCTCCGGTGCTAAGTCCCTGGCGTTTGGGGGTCTTGTCTGTAACGGCAGCTGGTGTTGCCTTAACTTGCGCTAGAGGCAAGGAGGACACTCTGGACTGGGGCCCTCAGGACCAGGGATGGAGCTCCGAATGTGGCAGAGGGACTTCGAAGCCCTCATGGCCTTTGACCGGCCCTCCCTCTGCCCTCAGCAGGTGGTTACGGAAGGTCCCTGGGCTTCCGGCCTTCTGCAGGATGACCACCCCCTCGATAGATGGTTCTGGAATGACCCTGTACCTCACTTCCCAAGCACACAGAGCTGTTTCTGGCACTCAGAAGGGCTTCTGGCCTGCTGCACCCCAGATCCACCCACTCTGAAAGAAGCTGCTGGAATGCTCTCGGGGCACGGAGGTCAGGGTTCAACTCTCGGACAGGGGCGGGGGTACATTTTCCAGCCACACTCTTCGGGCTCCAGTTGACTAGATCTTTCCCACTTCCCTCACTGGCCCAGCTCCCACCCCACCTTCCATCTATTCCTATTAAGCCAGTCCTTTTTTCCCCTTGGGTCCACGGGGGCCCAATTGATAATTTAATTAAGAATAAAAGAAATCATCCTAGAACCTGCCCAAAGCCCCCAGCATGTGTCTTTGTTGGGCAGCTTGTCTCCTTTTCAACAGCGAGCCCCAGGGCCACGGCAAAGTGTGGCTAATCGGCGTCCCTGCCCCGGCAGTGAGAACAGCCTTGCGGAGATAGCGCGCCCCCGTCGGCGCCCCGCACGCCCCGCCGGCTGATAGCGCTCAGCAGATACGTATCTCTGGCAAACAGACGCCGGAGAATTTGCTTCCAGGGACCTTTCCTCTCAGCCATGAATATTAATCCGCTGTAATTGCGGAGATACAATCTCCACAGCCTTGTCTCATGTGTTTGGCTGGAGTGTTGGAGCGGGTGGGAAGGCGGCGGGTGTGACCACGCAGGCGGGCATGTGTCTGCACGCCAAGATCATTCTGTCCCGGTGCCAGAGGCTGTTGGCAATGGAAAGGGGGTGAGGACAGAGGGCGGGAGTGAGAAAAGGGGGTGGCAAGGGGTGTTAGGCGAGGGGTGATGCAAGTGAGGGTGGAGAGAGGTTCTCATCCCCCACAGCGAACACGGTAGAGACGTGTCCACGAGCCCTCCTGCAGCCGCGGCACCTGCTGTGAACTATCATGGAGCTGCTCTTGCCTCTGAGTCTGGATGGGGCCTCAGCATCCTTCTCAACACAGTATTCCAGGCAGCCTCTGCCAACCAACTGGCCTGCAGGCTGCCATCATGGATATACCTGGAGCTGCGTGATAACCTCAGAGAAGGGAGTTAGGGAGGGCTCAGGACTCACCTGTCTCAGTACCTGTGTGGGGGAGCACCCCCCCTTCTGCAGTTCAGCCTGTCTGTGTTAATGGTAAACCAGGCTCTGCTGGCTTTACTGACCCTTAATGAGGCGCGAGGAAGCCTGAGCCGACTCATACAGCATGAGCCTGTCCACCTGTTAACCTGGGGGGGCCACTCCAATCCTTCCCTGGCTCTGTAGCCACACCCTTTGCCATGTGACTTCGCAGCTCTTCTCACTCAAGAGACAGAGTTCATCCCCTGCTTCTGGAGGCTGAGTTCTACCACATGACTCGCTTTGAGCATCGGGATGTTAGCAGAGGCTTGGCAGATCCATGTTTCTGCTTCCTTCCTGCTCCTCTGCAATGGCCAGAAGAAGCCGGGGCTAGCTGGCTGGGGGATGGGACATGCGGAGCAGAGTCCCCCCGCTAAGCTAACCCGTCAATAGCCAGCCGACCCCAGGCAAATCAGAGAGCCCAGCCCAGGTCCCGATCTGCACATTCATATGACTCATAAATGCTTACTGCTTCTGGTCCCTGGGACTTTTTGTTATGCAGCATTTCTGTATCTGTGGGTAACGGATATAGTCTAGGACAGTGGTTCTCAATTGTGTCTGCATGTCAGAGTCACTGCGGAGCTTTAACCGCCCCCCCAAGTGCCAGGGTACACCCCATTTCAACAAACTCAGAATGTGCAGGCGGGAGGATCTAAAGATCAATGCATTTTAAATTGTCCAAACGATTTTAACAGGTAGTCAGGTTGCGAATCACTGTCCCAGGACCAATTCTCTATGAGAGCAATCACTTTATCCTTCTTCTCTCCTTGTCTGTGTCCCTGTTGGCACATAATTTCCACATAAGACAGAATTAAGGACCCTGACTCTGAAGTCGCCCAGGCTGGAACCAGCTGTGTGAGACCGGGCAACGTGGTTCAACTCCGGGGGTTGGGGGGGCTCTACCGTCCAGAAAGTGGAGACAAAACCAGCCCCTTCATAGGACTATTGTGAGGGTCGTTCCTCCAATGGCCACTATTTGAGTGTGTGCTCTGGGGATTGAAAGGGGAACGAGACAGAGCGTCTCCCTCGTGGAGGTGCACACCCATCGCAGAGGAGAGGACGATGTGGGCAGTGTGCTTAGCCCAGGCTCGAGGCCACAGCGGCCACTCAAGGAACGACAGCTGCTGTTCATGCCGGGACGTTACCATGTTATTCTTGTGAGGCCTCTCTCACCCCAGAGGCAAGAACTGTCCATCTTGGCTCCCGCTTCCCTCAGAGACCAGGATGGGCCCCGCCCACAGCTGACCTGTGGCCTGAGGGGACCAGGACAAAGGTGGTCTTTCTTGTTTTCTGGGGAGTGGGGTTGAGGGGGGAGAGCTGGAGTCCAAAAGGAGAGAGCTGGGGCTGGCTCCAGACCCCGAGGCAGGATCGGGAGGGCCGGGAGCATCCCTGGAGGAAATGCTCTGCCCCTCGCCCTCTGTGAGGTGTTGGCTCCATGGCTCCTGCCCACAAGCCCGGCTGCCACAACCCACGCCCTGGGCCACACAGAGGGGTCCTTGTTAATGCTGAAAGGGCCATGTGTTTCTCTCCCTGCCGGGCCTCCCTGGCTTCCCCTCCTCCAAAACACACATAGCCACACCCTCACCCCACATGGGAAACAGCCGGGTGGCCACCCTGCCAGGGACATGCCAGCACCCTCCCATGGATGGGGATGGCTTCTGTCACTGCCTGTTGTGGGTTTCAGTGCTTTGGGAGGCAGCTGAGAGTGGGGCCGACGCCCTGGGGCTCCCCAGGAACGCCACCGAGCAGCTGTATCCCCAAGTCTTCACACGCGTGTTCCCAGAAAGCCCCTCCTTGTTGGCCACCCTTCTCTTGTCATCCGGGAGGTCCCAGATCCCCTCTCCCACAGGGCGAGCCCCCTGCGTCCCCCTCCAGAGCAGGGCCTCACATGCGGCTGCTGGGCGGGATCTTGCGGCCGTCCCGGAACCAGGTCACCTGTGGCCGTGGGAAGCTGGCGATGCGTGGGGCACGGATTACAGCTGCTTCTCCATGGGAGACACTCTGGTGCTTCTCGCCTTCCTCAAAGCTGCCCATGTCTGCGGGAGGGAAGAGCGTACGTGTGGGTCAGACTGCCCAGATCCCGTGCTGGGAGTGGTGGCAGCAGGATGGCCGTGGGGAAGGAGGCCGCTGGGCTCAGACCACCCACCCGACCCCATCACCCCCCCCTCTAAGCCCATCATCATGACATGCCCTGCTTTGTGCTTTGGGGGTTTCCATCCATACATCCATGAACCAATCGATGCATCCAGCAACCACGAAGAGGTTGGTCATTATTTCACACATTTTACAAAGGGAAAAACTGCCCAAACAGGCTCCGAGAGGTTCCTTGACTTGTCCAAGGGCACGTGGCTAGGAAGGGGGTAGAGCCAGGATTTGAACTCAGATCTGAGTCTGGAGTCTGGAGGGCACTCCCTGTAGGGCAGTCGGGGTTTCGGCGTGAGGAGAAGGGCACATCTTGGGGCTGGTTTCCTAGGTTCTTGGTGGAGGCAAGGTTGGGTACACTGGGGACGGTGGGGTCTTGGATGCTCATAGAGTATGGATATGATTTTCCTCCTCTGCCTTGGGTGGGAAGCGTATGGGGCTGCATGCACGTGTGAATGGAAACACCATATTGCTCTTTTAAAAACATGCCTACCCTGCTGGCAGATAAGGAGGGGAACATTTGTCCCGGCTCTGCTATGCCGGCCCGGAGGGGAAGAGAGCAGCAGAGATGCAGGCAGGAAACTTCTGGTGGCCCACCTGCCGGCTGGAATCGGGGTGGGGTTTGATTCTAGTAGCAGAGGGTTACAACGGGGCACGGGAAGGGGTCTGCGCTGAACGTCATGACTTTTGAACATTAATGTACATCCTTGCTACTCAAAGTGTGGTCCATAGGCCAGCAGCATGGGCATCACCTGGGAGCCTGTTAGAAATACAGAGTCTCAAGCCCCACCCCGACCTACTGAATCAGAACCTGCATCTTCACCAGACCCCCAGTGAAGGGTGCCCATATTCAAGTGTGACAAGCATCACTGTCCCCAACTTGGCCACATACCAGTTAGAAAAAGTGCTGATGCTAAGTTCAAGAACTCACCTGCAGACTTCTGTTTCCACCGCTATGGGGTGTGTGAGCTGGCCATCAGCATTCCCATGTGCAATCAGGTTCCGACCACCGAAAACTGAGCTGCATGTCCCCACTGCCCACTGTCCCCTCCCTGGCCAAGGCGGCCACGTCCCAAGCCACCTGGTCTCCTGCTGCTTTCACCGTTATTTCTCAACCCCTTGAATATCGCTGCCTCTTCTCTCTTTCCTTCAACCAGGCATCCCCCAGCCTGGCTAAACGTCAGAATCCCCCGAAAGGGTGGGCGGGACTCAGATGTGGGTATTTCTAAAGCTGCTCAGGTAGTTCCTACATGAGCCAAGGTGGAGAATGACCGTCTGGGCTCAAGCTAGCAGCTCATAGTACTTTGGTGGGTCTCAGAATCCCCTGGGAACTCGGTAAGCCCATAGATTTGTTCTCATCCTTTGCTCCTCCCCAGGGCATGGAAAGGCCCTGATTTGATGCACCTGGATCTCTGAGTTCTTGATTCGCTCTCTCTAGGACACTGCTGCATGCCAAAGTTTGAAAACCACGGGCCTATCCTCTCTTTTTCCAAAGTCCTGGGTTCTGTTCTCCTCCTGGCCCCACTGCCCCCTGGGAGGCCTCCCTTCATCTAAACATTTTGACCATAGTCTCTCTACAAAGACTCTCATATCTGCTCTGGCTCTTCTCTGAGCTCCAACACCCAAAACTCGATTTCCAACAGAAATGTTGGCATTTCTTACCTCCTTCTTGCTTTCTTCTGTCAATAGCTCCCACCTGCACCTGCCTGCAAATAGCTCCCGCTTGCACCTGCCCTGGAGCCTTTTGTGGTGCTTTGCTTCCCTTCCCTGTACCCACAAAGTCCTCTGACTCTTCCTCTGGTATAGCTCTCTCATTTACCAAGCCCCCCGACCCTAGTTCCCACTGGCCCACCACCAAGCGAACCCCGTTATTCCAGCCGCTCTGACCACCCCCCAACAGGGTCTCCATAGGCTCCCCCCCCCCATCATCTCACACTCTTCCTAATTAATTTTTTCTGGACATATGGCTGACTTGCTCAGAAACTTTGGGATCTCCTCATTGTCCCAGGAAAGTCTAAATCTCCTTGCTTGATTCAAGATCCCTTCCTAATCTGACCCCAATCAACCTTTCCTGTCTTAACGCCCACACCACATCATGTGCCTTCCTGCCACGCTGAATTACATCCTGCTTCCCATCTCAGGCCTGTCCTTGTGTGGGGCCCCTTCCTAGAAAGTCTCCAGAACAAGCCATGATTCACCAAGCCATGATTCAACAGCATCTCCGAGGGATCCAGCCAATTAAGGATCTCAAGAAAGAGAATGTGCTCTTGGCATCCTTGTTCTACATTTGGCAGGCAGTAAATGTCATGGTAATGGCTTTGGAGTCAACTCTGAGACTTGAGTTCAAATCCTACTTCTGTCACTTATTAGGCATGACCTTGGGCAAAATTTTGACCTTGCTGAGCTTTAATTTCCTCTTCTGTAAAATGGAGTTATGAAGAGTATGTTCCTCATAGGTTGTAGTTAGGATTCGGTGAGATACTACATGTGTGTGTGTCAGGATCTATCTTTCCACAGACGGCTGCATCAATATTTATCTCCCATCCAACACGCCCTTCTTATGAATGTGCTGGCAGTGATGGTGTGTAACTTTCAAGGCTAGGTCATCAAAAGGATGCAGCTTCCCCTTGGATCCATCTCTCTGTCCAGACACATCTACTTGGAATCCAGCCACCATGTTGTAAGGAAGCTCAATCTGGCCCACACAGACATGGGAAGGGTGCATGAAAGGAGGAGCTGAGGTCCCCAGAGGACAGCCAGAACCCACACTGGACATGTGAATTGATGTGTGCCTCGACGCCTCACATAATTTCAGTCCCCAGCCTTTAAGTCTTCCAGCGGAGACCTCAGTCATATGGAGTGGAGACGAGCCATCCCTACTGTGCCTTGTCTAGATCCAAGGCTCACATACTCGGTGAGCCTAATAAATGATTGCTATACACCACTATGCTTTGGGGTAATCTCTTATGCAGACACAGAAACTGGAAGAATATATTAAAGTGCTAAAAATTATATCTAATATTTGTAGTATTAAAATATTAGAATCGTATACGTTTTTCACAGCTTAGCTGAAACATCGACCTCTTCAGCAAAGATTACCCCATGCCACCAAACAGAATTAAAGAACAGAGATTGCTGCACGCTGACCCTCCATTGGATTTCTTCCTAGGTGGACTTCACATGCATGTAATCCTCATGCTACCACGGCTAGCTTGACTCTAATAAATACACATTTTTACTTATTTATTAATTTCCATTACTTGGCTCTGTCTATAAAACATTATGTCAATAAATCACATTGATTTCAGTTCTCACAATAATTTTATCTATTTAAAAAACTTTTCACAGAACTCTGAAGATATATTTGAACAATTTAAAGCAATTTCATGGTAATAGTGTTTCTTTCTCCCCTCTTGAGTTTTATTAGCTCCATTTCGTCAGTGAGGAAATTAAAGCTCATGGAGATAGAGTGGCTTATCCAATGTTAAGCAGTCAGGGCTGGGCAGGGCCAGCATTCAAATCTGCCCCCCCGCCCCCCGCATTTCCTCTCTGCTTCTTTCATAACTCATCCCCTACATTAACGTGCTTCACACACATTCTTTATCTCTCCCTACCATACTGTAAGCTTCAAGAGGCAGTTGCGTTCATCAGCAAGTCCCTACAAAGCACCTAGCCCTGGACTCTGCACCCAGTAGGTTCCTTCTAAATTCACCCAATGCCATCGTGCAATGACTCTTACTGAGCCCCTACTGTGGGATGGATGAATGGAGGGTTGGAGGAAGAGAGGAAGAGATGAATGGATGGAGAAGGAGGGGATGGATGGAGGAAAGGCGGGCAGGAGGATGAAATGACTATACACGGGTGCAGGTATGTAGGTATGAACGGTGAGAGGGATGGAAGGAAGGGCACAGCTGGTCTTGGTCCAAGTTTTGCAGCTGATGTTCTCCTCCACGTTTCCATCCCACAATCTCCCTGCCTCACCATGGCTCTCAGGCCCCCCAGAACCCTCCCAGTCTCTCCACTGCACTGAGTCAAGTGGGCTTCTGGGACCTGCTCAAGGAGCCCCCAGCTCTGCTCACGGGCCCCAAGGCACAGGCATGCACACACTGACCAGCAGCAGCAAGGGGCCAAGGGGGCGTCCACTCAGCCGGTCAGTGCAAAAGGGAGGCTAGAAGGAGGAAGGCCACACACTGGCAGAGCCTGGGGAGCCAGGAACCCCTGGGAAAACTCAAGCACACTAAGGCGGAAACAGATAAGGGTTTTCGCTTATTTCGCTCCCCGAGGCACACACTTGTTAACACACCATGTTATGCCTGCAGCGCTGATCTACCTTTCCCAACGAATTCCCCGAAGAGCAAAGAAATGTAAGCCTGGGGCACAGCTGGAAGTGGCCTCGAAATTCCTGATGTCTTTGTTACATCTTAAAAGGTCTTGTGAAGTATACATCCCACTTCAGAATACACTCATTGCTTTTATTTATTTCTAAAACATTTTTTTAAATCATGAAATATGTCATGCATACAAAAGAATGAATATAATTATATGTATACTTTACAGAAGACTAGAACACTCCCATACCCACCACCCAGCTTAGGGAACAGAACATTAACAAACCTGCCGCCTCCCCGCAAGGTGTCCCCCACCCCAGGCATTCCCCCCTCCCCCACCGAGGTAACTGTTGCCCCAAATGCTGTGGCAATCATGCATGGCTTTCCCCCCAAGTTTTGCCACACAGAGATGCATCCCTAAACAATTTAGGGTTAATATAGTTTGGTTCCAAGCCCTTATATGCCTGGAATTATTTTGTATGTCGTTTACCATGATTTGGGGGTTTTTTTTGGTGCTTTTTTTTTTTGAGCTCCAGCTATGTGCTTACACTTAGTTCAGTCATTGT